ATAATAAGTTCTTAAACTCGGTCGCGGTATAATAAATACATAATGAGAATTAGTTAGTGACACACAATAAAATAACTATTTTCCTATATTTTTTTGGCTCTGGGGCCACCAATGTATGGACGTTGAGCAATGTCCTTTGATGCGGTTTCATCACGTTTGTTTTAAGTTTTATTGACGTATCGGACCCTTTACAGGTTCCGTGTTTGCGTGTGTTAAATCTTATGTGAACATGGAACCTGTAAAGGGTATGAAACGTCAATTCACACCCTTAACAGATTTAAAAGTCGTTTCATTTATGGATAGTGCGCGTGAAAAAATAAGAAATCAATATATATTTATTTTGAAATAAAATGTACTTTTCTGTGTATCTACCTTATGCACAGTTTTGAATTTACTGATATTTTATTTAACCAGTTTCGGTCGCATTAGGTACGGTGAACAACATGTCAGGTAAAATCAACTTATATAATTTGCTAATTTTTTCCATTAGATTTTAAACTTTAATGCTTCAATTACAGAGTTCAAAATCGACTGCTTAGATTTAACATATTGCGGTAACTTGACTGTACGGCTTTAATGTATTGCTTCTCAAATACTGTGTCATGTTTTGCGAATGAAATTTCAGCTGTTGATACAAATTTTTAGTCTGTGACTAAAATAGATTATATAGAAAAAGAAAGCGACAAATATGTGTTACATATTTCTAAAAGTCAATAACTAGGCTACGCAATGTTTACACCGTGGACCATGATTTAAGGATGTCAAATGTTATCGATAAATACTTAGCAAAAGTATCATCTTCTTGGATCAAGTGCGGATCTATGATACCCCCTTTGAATAGTGATATAAGATTATAGTGATACCTGCGAAAAAAATCATACTTCTAGTCTCAACATCAGTGATTATGTAACCATACAATTAATAGATCTTAAAGATGCAGGTGGCCATCGATGGAACATTTTCAATCAAGTGTTCGATGTGATTATTAATCGGTAATGGACCACTGACCTATTTTTACCCTGACCTTAAACCCTTACATACATCTTGACTAATTTGAAGGATATTAAAATAATTATGCCATACAAAGAATCATTAGTGTTAGCGAAGACATTTCTTTGCTGATCGTGGCACTGGAGCCCACTGGTCTTATGATGGTTTTAAAAATAAACTTTTTGACCCGTTGGTGACCGGAAAGCTGGTTTGTATCTCATCCAACTGATTATTCAAAGAGAAAACTCTCAACCTTCTAGGCACCTTACATCTCAATAATGATTTGTGGGATATTTTATTATAGTTCCAAAAGCTACACGATTTTTGTGGTCATTCCATGTGGTCATTCCATAAAAATCGTGTAGCTTTTGGAAGATTTATGTCCAGAGCATTTTTATGGTAATATCCATTAATTACTTACACTATATCTAAAGGGATCAGACACTTTATACAATATTTTAGAAAATACTTAATGTTTTGTAATTTAGGCTTCTAGGCAATGATGGTTACACCTAGGGACTGATGAACTATGATGATATGGTGAGAAACAAGATTTGTATATATTTAGAAACACATTTATTCATAACTTTTTGGACATGCAGTTCAAATAGAATTAACAAAACTTAATCACCACTGCCATAAGTCACTTTCAGTTTTTCTCTTAGAACCTTACTTGTGCTTGTTGCTTTAATAGTTTTGCGTTGAAGAAGGTTCTGTAAGTAAAATAATAAGCTGTTCAAAATCTATTTTTAATTGAGTTGCGGTTTCGTATTTCAGAGTTCCTAATTTATAATTATTACAAATTATCTTTTGCAAAAACAGCAAATTGATTTCGTGATCGCCTGAATATATCGCTCACTGAATAGTACAGTGGCACAACTCAAAAACCATAATTTCGAGAAACGCTCTCCAAAGTTATGAAAATTTTATATATATATAATTATAAAAATCATTTCTTTTAGCATAACAGTTAAATCGTTTGTATTATATCATTACTGTTAAGTTTTTTATTTTTTCTTTTAATTATCTATGGGATGCCACCACAATGTTGTTACGTTTTCTCGAAATAATCGTTTTTGAGTTGTGCCACTGTACTATTCAGTTAGCGATATTGTCTGTGACTTGATACATAATAAATGTTGGCAATGTTTACATAATAATTGCTGGCTATGTTTAACGTCTTTTTAGGCACCATAAAGTAAATAAATTTCATTTTATTTTAATATGGTTTTTAATAAAATATACAAGCGGTTGATTAAACGGAACAATATTTGCGGAAGTAAGTGTTACTACTTTAAAATATAAAATTATCAAATAAAGGTAAATCATAAATATTATTTTTCTAAAAATTAACGTTCTCAGTAGTTCGATAGCGTAGTGGATGAGCACCGCGGCTCAAGAACATTAATGTTAAGCAACTTTTGCAAGGGTCAGTCACAAGATGGATGACCGAGAAATTATTATCTCGAGCTACTCAGTGCTTCAGAATTGCACGTTAAGCCGTTTGTCCCGGCTACATCTGTTGTTGTAATACTAGTCTAATCTGCATTGGGCCAGTATGGAGCGTTAGGGCCCTTCCTTCTTAAGCAACCATTATGAAGATCTGAGGCCCTGCAGTGGGGACGTAACAGGGGGCCACTACTAAATAAATTTTATTTAAATCGAATTGAAAACGGATCGAAACCGAATGATTTCCTTTTATAGAAAGTGACATACGATACAATTCCAGTTCTATTTTAGCTGGAATTGTATCGTATGTAACTTAGTAGAATAGAAAAACCAGTAAAAACTGTAGTTTCGTTCGGTTTCGATTCGATTTAAACAACATTTTTTTAGTAGAATTGGCCCCCAGGATTGATGATGACAGATTCCCAAAGACAAATTTTTGTAATTCAAACACTGCAAGGGATTGATAGATTCGGATTTTGAGAATGAAAAATTTTTTTTCATACTGTATTATGTTATTATTACAAACAAAAGTACCATTAAAACACAATGTGATGTATTTCTTTAATAGTATAATATTGTCCTCCATATGGAAGACAAAATTATACCATTAAATTCATTAATAAAGGCCATAGACTTTCACGATTAATGTGGTAAGACTCATATAATACATAGCTTAGACTGTACTTTTTAATTGTAGAATCGACATCACATTGGGTTATATGTTTCTGTCAAATTTCTTTACTTCATTTTAGGCCCTAAGATTTTGTGGGTAGAGTATAAAATCAACTGCAGAATTTGACACATAAATTAAACGGTATATAATCTCATTAAAATCTTTTATGTACAATCCAGAACACTACAACTATCTACTGGCAATCAACTTCCACAAATTCTTGTTTAAGTCAACTGATGACTATATCCTAAGTTTAATATTTCTATCAGCCCTTGCAGTAATTCGGTAAGTCAACAAAACTTGCACGATTCTCCTTGCAAGTCGCTTCCGCAATTCTGCAAATTTGATTGCTAGTAGAAACTTTGCTTTGAGCTGTAAAGTTTCTCCCGTTAATTTTAAACCTGAAACGTTGATGTAAAATATTCTTAAATAATGTCACCAGGTTTAGCAAAAAGATTTAATAAAGCAACAGATATTTTAACAAAAAACATGCGCATTAAAAGAGTATAAACATCAGAGATGTATGATATCGAAATATTAGAGGTCATTGTGGTAATAAATCCCGATGTGGTAGCACAGTGTGCCGCCGAGATCACTATAGTGACGGCCACTGTAGTCTAATAGTCTGTTGTTATCTCCAGTCGTATTCTCCTTTAATTGACTGAATGCTTTCATTGATTGTGTGCGAAATGCCGTCTTGGTCGCGTGATCACTGCGCCCGAGTTGTTGCCACGTCAACTTCACCAATATATCTCTATATTATATCACCGGTAATTTTTCTATCAACAATACCGGTAATCTGTATAATTCAAGTATTCGATACATTATCTACATGTATAGAATTACCAGGCCTCATCGGGCCTCAGTGTTATGCTTGAAATATTTTTTCCATTACATAGGTACTTTTTATATCTCCGTCATTTACAGCGGGGCGCTTTCAAGATATGCCCCCAATTATATGATCTGGCGCTAAAAGTGCTGCGGCGAACAAAACGCAGTGAGAATCACTGCTATGTGTTCAAATAAATTATTAAATGAAATTTCATATAAAATGCAAAAAATCTTTTTCTCTAACCTATTACTAAATATGTAAATTTTGGTTCAAGCGCACTATTCTTTACAAAAAACTACTTTTAAACGATTTTATTACTTTAATTTCTTTTATTGAAATTTATATTTTTTTATAATAGGAAAATATTCTGCAAAGGATTTTATTTAACTTCCAATCACTTTATTAATGTTATTAAGATCAAGGAATTCTAAACTGCTTACTTATTAGTTTAGGTATAGGCACACCAATTTTCAGTATATAGACGCTTTTATTAGTATTTTATATGTTAAAAGCCCATCTTCGCCCAGAAGCGCAGAAGCATTTCGGGATCTTCAAAATTTTGCTTATTTATGATACTCGGTACAAAAATATTTTTACTGCTCTCACTTCACTGTGTCGATGTTGTTCCGCCGTGTTACCCCACTTCCATCCGACAGTTATTTACATATTCATATTATATCACCAAAACATATATGTACATAATAACTTATACTAAATTACCCTTTTTATTTATTTTTTATATATGCGTAGATATTATTACATTTTTGTATCAAAATAATTGTTTAGAAAAAACCTGAACTTTTTTAAAATAATACGTACTAAGGTGTATAAGTTGAAAAGAAGCATGCTTTAAAGCGTATTTACACTGGTCGATGTGATTAGAGAAGTGATACGACTTGGTTGCGATCATCTGTGCGGTCATTTCATTGGTCAATAAAACATTTCCAAATGAAAGCAAAGAACAAATCGCCCACATGGCGTACGTGGATTCATCGATCAGTGTAAATCTATATTAGGGTTCAAAGGAACTTTTATTAATGATATATTATATTTCAGCATTGCAAAAGAAAATGTGTAAGTCAGCAACATTCGTGCGTATGTGGCACGTCACCAGGCGTTCTCTGAGCCTGGAGCATTCGCCTGCGCACCAGTTCGCATGCAGCCAATGGCAGACCACCACTCAACCTTCCACCGCCTACCTAATATACAGGTGATAAATAACAGTAACAATAAATTAATAATACAAAACATCAAATACATTTCTTAGATTCCAAGATAAGTAGCTCAAGTGCCCTTGTTTCAAATACTCTATAATACGAGAGTATTCTGGAGTATCTGAAACAACGAAATGACATAACGACCAGATTCGAGGCGATTTAGAGAAGTTTATTTTCTATATGAAGCCAGAGATGGCGACTTTAAAACCAGTTCAAAATACGCCAAAATTAGAGGTCAAATTGATGGTTCCTTTTTTAAAGTCGGTTATTTTAGTATTTTCGATACGTATAATATACGATATGAGTTAGCGATGATAATCGCACTTTTCGACAAACACTTTGAATAACATACATATAAATTTTTATTAAAGATGACAAATTTGCATCACAGGTCCGGAGCTCTCTCCTTGCAAGGTCAGAATTCTGGCTAGAACACAAATTTATAAAATTTACTCTACAAAAAAATCACAATAGTTACCTATGAAATTCACTGCTTTTAATTTCTTTTTGTAAAAGAGAATTGATAAATATGTGTGTCATAATATTTTGGGAGTAACTGATTAAAAATCGTTCTTTTTTTACTTTTCGTAATTCGGAGCAATTTATCGTCTTCCGTCCCTGTCAAACCTTCCACAGTTTCTATAACGCAATAGTTGGACAGGGATGCCCCTTTCTAAGCAGCCATAAACAACACAAGTGGTATTTTTATTCTGATCGCAGATTATCCGTATGCTACACACATTATAGTTTTGACGTGACGTCTGCTTAAGAGCCTAGTAATGCATATCAGTGGTTAGGTCAAGACACCCCCGCTAGAGACCTGCTGTATATAAGTTAATTTAGTATATTTTATTTCCAGATGGCTACTATTTATCACTGTCCTTTCAACGGCCATCGCCAGTTTCGTATGCCAGAAAATTCCACCTCGATATGATGGTCCAAAAATTGAACTAAACTACTTCAAATGGTTTATATACTTCACAAACTGGGGATTCATGCTGATCGCGCTCCAGGCACTCTTTGCTCTTACCGTCGTGCTCTCTTACAGATCTCAGAAGGCTATTAGCAATAGTAAGTATAACAATGGATTACTTGAAATATAGTGGCCACTAAAATAACATGCAACTTGTTTTATACGTGTTTTATGAATAGCAATATCTAAATTAAACTAAGCATTATTTCAAATATCGTTACTTTTCCTCATTTCGGGCTATTAAGTTGTATTTCATCTTTACAGAAATTCCACTAAATGGGGAACAATATCCGCGTGGATATTTATTATAATATATAGAACAATAAAAGATAATCTCCACATCATTACTCGGTACCATACATAAGCATCAATGTTTCTTTCTAGATAAGACATACAAATGCCAATATGTTGTTTTAAACTTTAAGGGTCATTAACATCAGAATTGTTACAAACGGGATTGCCATCTACCATGTGATTTCCATCCCGTGTTCAGCAATAATTCTGAAGACAAATATCAATTTCGCGGAAAATTTGAAAATGTTCTCCTTCGGATTGGTTTACGAAATCGTCTATCTTGTATATAAAATAACAAACTGATCTATCAAAATATTTATGAACTAAATGAACCCTCGTAGATATTGGTCAAGAAATAAGATTCGTGCTATAATCAAGTTTGCTTTGTACCTTCAGGAGCAAACGTTTTTGCTAAATAAAACACAAAATACCGACGCTTCCTACTGTATCTTCAACAATTGCTATTTGAATTCACACCATCACAATGCCAATTGCGAATTGCTGTCATATCACACTACACATCCGGGCTACGACTGTATAGTATAGTTCTTAAGAAATCAATTGCATAGTGTGAATAGTTACAAAGAACCGGTTACCAGAGCACTAACCGCTTATAGGTCAACGACCAATTTCAACCTAATGTGTGATTCATATTACAATATATCAGTCTCATCCACATGAAGAAATACAAAGGTCAATCACCTGTATCCATACCGGAGATATCACAAATAATTTCAAAGTCTATATCAAATGAATACAATAGGTATGTAATATAACTTAACAATGGTGTAAGATATATCAAAACAAGAATTGACCACGCATTACTTTTTACAGTTATTCGGTTTCATATTTTTTATTAAATTCGAGAAAAGTTCCTCCCTGCCCTGCAATTCTGTAAAAAACCAGACCCGACTTCGAATTCACTCATGTATCCGAATTCGCGTCATTTAGTGTAAAAACTCTATTGATTCCGTTTTTTTTTATAAAAATACAAAACAAAATTGATTGAATATACATAACTCAGCCTCAAATATACTCCTATGTCATTCGAAAGTCATTCCAGTTATGCCAAAAAAGAATATTACCAATTCAAGATTGAGCGGATGTCGCTTTTACAGTGGATTCGGACGCTTGAGTGAATTCGAATTCGGGTTTGGCCTTTTTACAGAATCGCAGGGCTGGTTACGAAAATTGGTGGGTTATTCATTGTATTTTTTACTATATACCTTATTCTGTTGAAATTTAGTAGTTCCAATTACAATATTATCACAACATACTAAGAGGTAATATAATTATGAAAATGGAAGGCAGAATAGAATAACACTTTATTGTCAACATCACGGATACAGAAATTAACATGCAAATATTACAGTGTAACAATTGGCGGTCTTATCGCATAGAGCGATGTCTACCAGACAACCTAAAATACAAAAAATGGAACTCATAGTCACAATCGCTTTTATTAACTGTCTACTTCGACTGCGATATTATATTACAATCAAGAATCTAATATTTTTACAAACTTCTTGAATACAATGTTGATAATAATGTTGAAAGTTTGATGTTGAAAGTTATGATCAGTGGCATACGACTACGAAATAAGAAATAATATAAATATTTTGGTTTTTGAGTTTCATTTTTTTATATATCTTTTTGTGTACTGTCCTTAATATTGCTTTCTTTGTAATGTGTCTCAGTTTTTGTGATATAAATATTATTACTTAAAGAAATTTCGTTTATTATGCAATTATTATGGCGTAGGTATATAATATAACTAGTGGACGCCCGCGACTTCGTCCGCGTGGAAGTCGGTATCCCGTGGGAGTGAGAAGTTTTCCCAGTAAAAAGTACCCTATGTGTTATTCTGATGTATAACCTATATTGCTGTAAAGTTTTATCCAAATCCGTCCAGTAGTTTTTTCGTGAAAGAGTAACAAACATCCATACATCCATACTTACAAACTTTCGCCTTTATAATATTAATAGGATTTGGCACAATGTCAAGATCCTCGCGTGGGTGCGTGTATTAGATATTATTTCCTTGAAAAGTGGCTCATGCGAATCAATTAACTGAATGATGCCGTCTCGTGCTGTGATGTTATGTGGCCATTAATGGAGTAGCATGTGCTCCCGCTGCCAATAAGTTGCTTTCAGGACAATATTATATTTATAAGATGTAGAATATTATATAATACTCTATGATCAATTTTATTATAGACTAGGTTATTTCTTCTAAATCGGTTAAGTACTTTTTCAATTTATATAAAAAATTATATAGTATGCAATTAGGTAGATTAATTCTAGTTATAACTAGTCAATGCCACACAATATGTGGTATTATCTTAGTAAAAATTCTCATTATTTAAAGCATGTTCTAAAAACCTTGAAATTAATAAATTTTTATTGATACTTACTCTTAAAAACTGAACTTGAATTTCAATAAGATTATATAGAAATATTGAAGTTCATTGACGAGGCTCGAGGCATTTATAATTTGTCATAGCGTCACACTAACTATGTAATATTTCTCGCCTACCGTAACCAATTGCCATCAACATATCACAAAGTCAAATTCATCATCAAACATACTACGATAGCATTTTAAAACATGGCTGTCCATCGAAAACAAATCAATCATAATTTAGTTATCTTCCTGTTCCTTGTAAGTGCGTTACATTAATAAAGCTAGGAAAACCTCATATCCGTATTATACAAGTTCTATGTGTTTACACTTACACTAACTTTTACCGAGGCTATGTCACCCGCGTATAATGTAGCTGTATATAGTTCGGTAGGTGAAAAAAATTTCAAAATCGGTCCAATACTTTCGGAGTCTAATCAATGCAAAAAACAAACATATACTTGTATATATATATCATATATCTTTAGTATAGATGCTCCCGATATAACAAATTCCCAAACATTGCGAAACTTTAACACAAAACCTACACGATTAGATACGAGTACATATTTACAGATGAATCCCTTATAAAAAAAAATACATTCATCAGTCAGTTTGTAAGAAATCAATTTGACTCTCAGTATCGGAACATTCGACATTCAATTCAGGTCGTCAAGAGGACCGAGGTCAGACGGACCTATTGATACAATTACACGTCCAGCCCGACCGAGCTCGGCCGACTTATAATTATCGCTATTGGTTTCCAATTCCCGCATTTCGCGATGTCAATGGACTCAGGAATCTTAATTGGCTTAGTATTGTGAGCAAACCAATAATCAACAATTTCATGAATTATTATGTTCACTTAAAAACTTTGAAACGACTGCAAAAATGATTACGTCCAATACATATTCAAAAACGGATGTGGAAGACAGCTGCTCAAATACGATGCTAATTTGTTAAGCGTTCTTATTGGAGTGTTCTAGATCTTAATACTGTAGATTGTAATATGCAATTCATATATGTATTATGGCTTTTTTGGGAATATTTTTTAAGAAAGATCGTAAAATTACAATATATTTTTCGACCGCAATAGTTTCAGAGTAAATAATTCAAGTCCAATTAAGAACACAAATATTTATTATTATTCCTTGACTCGAGTTTGCTACGACTTCTTTTCTTAATGAACCTATAGCGACTTTGTTGGTAAATTCGACCGCAAAAGTTTCAGAGGAAATAATTCAAGTCTTATTAAAAACCCAAATATTTATTATTATTCCTTGATCGAATTTGAACAGACTTCTTTTCTTAAAAATAAAAAAAATCTGTTCAATTTTAAATAAACAGCTCGGTACATCACTAAATGGAGATCTTTTTAGGATTAGCAAAATCGTTGGTTCATACGTATATCTATATTAAAAAGAGATCGCGGGTCGCGGTCCTTATCCACTACGGCACTGAACTAATCTACTAAACATTGTACGAAACTTTTGGACCGATATTTTAAAAATTCTTTCATCTACAGGTAGCTACATATAATTTATGCATACGAAATCGCATAAAAACAGTTGTAAATAAAAAAAATAATTTTTTTTTTCAGCTTGTGAGGATGACGATGCTCTGATGCCACGACGACAACGCACGCCGTTACTATGCCGTGCTTATTGGCTCACACAGAACATTGCTACGGACCTGGCTTTTGTCATCACACTCATATACTGGACCATAGTTTATGATCCTAGTAAGTATCTACTGTTATAATTATCGTATACGTCAATAGAAATAGAATACAAAATTATATGATGGCAGTTATCACCATTACTTCTCAATTCTTATTCTTGTATGACAGTGCATAGTCCTAGAAAGTTAATATTTGGTTCTTATTTGGCACGACACATCGTTATTTATAGCTTACATTTCAACATTAAAATTAAGGGTAATTGTAGTTAGATGATTAGAATATTCTTTAAAAATAAAACCGTATTATTTCCAATTTCATTTAATGGAATTGTGTTATAGGAATGATATCTGAAGGCATACTACTATTATGTGTAAATTTTCTCGGGTGCACCTATATAAATTAGTACAATATCTCACTCTTGAATCTTTATCCGTTTCTTGAGTCCCTCAGGTTCGTGTTCTCTCTGCCTACCCACAAGGGATTTGGTAAGATATTATAAAAATTCCATTTTTACCTGTAAGATTAATGAAAAGAAACAATAATAAAATGTTTATTTTCTTCCTACAAAACTCAACAACACAAAAAATATTTTTTATTATAGGACGAATACATTTTATTTTATAGAGAAAAACATTATGTATTAAATATTTATCAAATGTAATATTATTTTTTACAAATATTTCTGGGTCTCAACTTTTTACAAATCAACTGCAATGATAAAATATCACCAGCTGTTGAGGCTATTGTAAACAAAACAAGGCTATGGTTAAAACAACTGCGACATTTATTGTAACACTGAATATTTGCAACGATATCTATTGTACCAACTGGTTACGGCATTTGTTACAGAACAAGTCTTTTTAATGTATTTTCTATACGTGAACGTAATGTTATACAATTTGATTCTTTTACTAGGGTAATAGAGTTACCTGGAGTTACCTCTTGAAAATAAAAGTGCGTGCAACTTTCCTCTTTCTTTCTATGAAATGGAATCATAATAAACAATAAAGTTTGTCGAAAACAAAAATTGATCATATAATTAAAGTGGCTGTTTTTATTTATTACAAAATTGCAATATAATTTTTATGTTTATGCTAATAAGCTTCGAATTCTTATTGTACATTCCCTCTGCTACGAAAGTACTTATTCTAAAAATGCGCCGCATTGCTTGACGTACTTTTACGATTTATGCTCTTTTAACTCAAATCATCTACTGCACTAGTCAAAGACGACACGACGAGCACATGCGTTCTACAGGTTTAGATTTAAATTTGAAAAAAAAATGTTTTTTTTCAGAAATTCACGATATAGACGCTCTTAACCTCTTAGTCCACGGAGGCAATTCACTGGTGATGATTTGCGAGTTGATAGTGACAGCGCATCCAATAAGAGCAGCACACGCGCTTTACAGCGTCGGCGCAGGCGTTACATACGGAGTATTCAGCGCAGTGTATTGGGGGCTCGGCGGAACAGACAGGTTCGGCCTGCCCGCCATCTACCCAGCGCTCAACTGGAACCATGCTGGTAACGACGGCTTCGTTTATTATTACTGATGACAGACTCTACATTTGTTTCTTTAAATTTAAAATTCACTATCTTATTGATATGTTTTTTTTTTTTCGTAAAATTGGAAATTTATGACTTTGCACTATCATCCTAGACAAACTACCTTTTCCCATAATTTTAATTAGATGATCAAGCGTCAGTTCTTAGCTAGATTATTTATTGGAAAAAAAAACTTGCACAAGAAACAAAAATATGGCATCAAAACAACCTCTTCAATTTCACTCACTCATTCACTCAATCGGACACATTACCAAATAAACAAACAGTAACCACTAGCAGCGTCGATATGATTTATTCGATCAACTGACGCGTAACTGTGTAACGGTGGGTCGTAAAGGTCGTACTACACAATTTATTTTATCCTTGATTCCTGCATCCAAACTTATTGTCTTTGATCTGTAACAAAATTTATTTTTATTATTCTTTTCTCGTCATTTGAAATTTGGATTAACACGATATTTCTGCGCACGATATGCTCTTTCTGAATGTCAGTTCGAAAAATTCATCCGGCGAGAACTTTTTATGTAATTTCATCATATTGTAATAATCTCCTCCACATGCCAGGTACTGCCTAGGGTCAGTATAAAATTATAATGGTTTCTGGAAATAAACATTTTCAAATCAGTAAAGAAACTAGTAAACGACACATCATTGTGTAAACATATATTTATACAAAGTATTTACTTAGTTTCACCAATTATAAAACCCACTAAAGGGATATGTAATTGTTTTATTTAAGTACCTACTAATGCTACTTTTCATAATTTTAGAAATCCATACAAAACTGTTTTTATGTTCTTATTACTATTTTGTTGTACATTATTTATTTACACCATAAGTAGACATACTTATCAAGGCTAGTAGCGTTTTATTTACTGTGACGGGGTCGGTGCTTAGTTAGTGCTTCATTTTTCATATGGTACGTTACAAAAAGTTATTTCAACAACGAATCTATATTATATATTAAACAACTCAGCTAATACTCAATTACCTATCTATATAATTAACCGACCACAGTACAGATTCAATTTTGAATACTAATGTGTGTTTAACAGGTTCGGCATTCGGTTTTGTGGCTCTATGCGCTGTGATTCTACTGCTGGCGCACGGATTTGCAACTTGCGTGTCCGCCGTGCGCGTCTGTGTAGCCGCACGCATGCGCACACGAACTCTCGACCGGCTCTCTCTGCCCACTCACTGACCGAGACCGGCTGATGCACTCACTGCACTCTACATGGTACTAGCACTCATCGCCATATGGAATAACGGCGGCTATTGTCACAAGTAGTGCTAATCTAAATTAATACTTTATAAGACTTAATACCAGGATAACTTCATCTTTTTGTATATTTCCATAATAATATTGGCTCAATAGTAATAAAGTATTTTTTCTGACTCATATATTATGCTGATAGCATAATATTAGGCACTAACATTAGGTATATTTGTAAGCAGTAAGCGTTAGCATAATTGTGTATCTAGTACATAGTGCAATCTGTTTAGAAAATTACCTACAATTTCAATAAAAAAGTATTATATATATTTAAAAATCGTACTAAGGACTGTTTACCAGTGAAATATTTAGCAAATATTTAGTTTATTAGAATTATGTAGGTGGTGCAAACTATTTGTTCAGAATAAGTCAGTTACAGCCATCGAATACAAAGAGGTTATCAAAATGCGGGTCTGCTAATTAATATTTCTATCCGCGAACACTGTGAATCTAAGTATTTTATTTACTCACTTTATGATTCAGTTAACTGAATAGAGAAAGCCAAAGAGCCAAAGAGAATATGTGTATGACTACAACTCTGCAAGCAGCAAATGAATTTATCACATCAACTTCATTCCATTCTTGTCCATGATTTTTAAAATAAAGACTCAATATTTTATACTGCCTTTTGCATTAACTGCTATTTTAATATTTTTTAATTTCGTTAGAATCAACGAATCTCATTTATTTTGATAGTAAACTGAACTGATAGAACAAAAGGGCAGATTTTTAAACTATAGGTAATAAATATCTGACTTATGATTGTTAAAAGTAAAATCTTATATTAATGATCTTAGGACAAATGTCAAAATCAAAATGATTTATTGAATATGGTGTCCTAAAAACAGCGTTTTGTCATAACTCACTCAGTTAATTGTAAGCATTTCCTAATTTAATAATAATATTATATGCATTGTGCTGTGAAGTATTGCATATCTGAAATGTAATTATTATTATAAGATATAAAATAGTGAAAAGCAATACCAAAAAATATCTATCGTAGTGTTTTTCGTTAATATATTAATTGGAAATATTTTAAAATTGTTAATATAAACAAGCTCACGCTTATCTATGAAAAATTGTTAGAAATAATACTTAGATTTAAATATAAGCTTTTGGCATTAATAAATGAAAGCTATAAACATGTGAAAAACGCTTAACCGGATATGAAAGAAATAATTCAATACATAACTGTTTCACTACTCGTAATCCAAATGTCACTATAATATTATAAAAATCGCTACATTGTATACCGCGAGATTGTAAGCTGTCGTAAAATTGTGATTTGGAACATACTGTTTATAATTTGATATATTAGTTCCCAATAGATTATAATTTAGCAATATAAGAGTAAAAAAGGTGACATCAACATAATTAAAGGTATTATCTTTAAATGCATTTATTTCAATTAAGTGTGCAATTTGTATTGTTTATGGTTTAGAGTTGCTAATGAGTGCGATTTTATGCACATGGGTAAATAGTTCAGTTTATTTCACTATATTGACTGTATTTCATAATGAAAAGTTCCTTTTTATATAATATTTTCTCATAAGTACTAATATCATAATGTGATTTAACGTAAATTCCACTTATTATGCTCGAGTCGGATAAAAAAAACTAATACTAATTACCAATGGAGTATTATGAAATTGTGAGTATAAAACAAAAATGTAAGTAGTGTCGTTTTATTTTATTTTATTGTACAATAACAGAATACAAATTGTACTTTATAGTTAACGTCTATATAAATATATATTTCAGTAATAATTGTAAACTGCATTCGTTGAAAATTGCTGTCAATTCTGTTGGTCCAACGTAGCTCCGACAACAGCGTTGTCGCAATATTGAAATTTCGAACAAATTGAACCTTTATTACCTTTTGGAGGCGATTTTGTTGAATTCAACGCTTTATTTTTTTATTTTTAATAACACTGTTTCTTATTGAGAAAGTATGAAGCTCTAGACTTAATCGATGTGAAAAAAGAAGCAATTATTTCAAATATCCTAGTGACAATATTAACTTACTTTTAATTTCTTGTACATCAATATGTCGAACACGTGTTGAATATTTATCCAATGCCTAATATGTGATAGTAAAGTTATGTAATAAAAAAATAAACTTTTTATTTAACTCCCGCATTACGCCCGTACCTAAGATATTTAGTTTGAGATTCATTAAAATAAAAAAAATCTTAATCAGTGCGCTAATCAGCTAATTTTAAAGTCTATCGCAATTCCTTTCAAAGTGATAGTAATAGATTTACAGAATTATTTAACTTTTAAAGTCACAATCTTTAAAAGAATTCAAGAATTGTATAAACTTACAGCCGGTTTCTGAATTGAGAAAAGTATTAAATAAATATCATGCCATTATTTCCAATAACTGAAGTATTTTACGTTTCTCGAATCAAAGGGTCCTAGTTTTATCAAACTACTATCAACTGATCATTAAAAATACTAAAATCGGAAACGTAAGTCTAAGGCCTAATTGCGGAATTTTAAAATCAATCGCTATTCCTTTCAATTTGACATTAGAAATATATATACGAACTTCACGCTACAACTGTTTGACATATGATAGCGATGCTATCTTAACTTTTTTTTAAAGATATCGTGTAAACAAAATAGCTATCTTTACGTTAATTTTAATTTTGTAAAAAAAATAGATGAAATGTTATTTAAGTATAAGTTACTAAGTTTTTATGATGTCTCAAATCATCATTTGTTCCAAAAAAAGTTATTAAAATCGCTATACATCTTAAAAGTGATTAACGTCAAATTAAAAATATCGTTCGTTCAATAACTTTCTTAAAGTATTATAAATAATATTTGTGGCCAGAATTTAAATCAATATAAAATCATTAAGTATTTATGTTCCACCGGTGTTTTTACCAAGGCATTGTATTTAAGAAATTTTCGGTCATTTGGAGATCACTTAAACTAATGACAATTTTAGTGGACGTTTATGCAACTGGCTGTATATTTGTTTCTGTATAATGTGCCTTTTATTCATACACTCCTAAAACTATTATTGAGCAAATATTGTTAGCGGGATTGCAGTATGTTATAATAAAGGCGCTCACAGTTCCACAACAGTACTTACGTTAAAAGAGAGAAGTATAGACGAACGTGTTAATACGTCATCAGTTTTTATCAGAAATAGGGTGACTCTTAACTTTATAACATTATTTACAATACAACACCCCTAGGCATGTGCCTATAGCTTAAATAATGTAAAAAACGTAAAAATAATTGATTTAATTTAACCAAAGTACAAATGGTATGTACTTTGGTAATAAGTGTATACAAAGTAATAAGTGTACCGAAACTTGTTACGTAATAATTTTATAGATCTTTCTAAGTAGAAATTACATTGTTTATGTATATTGGACTCGAAGGCAGTAAAGGCTTTTCCAGTGGATTTTTACTTAATCTGTTGATAGTTCAAAACGGATAACAAACATTTGTTCTGATGTAGTAACCTAATGTGCTGTTGTGTGTTGTATCAATACTATTTTTTTATTTCAATTTATTATCTACTTGCTTTCCGTTATCGGCTTCTCCCGGGTGGTTCCCCCCCAGGGAACGGTTTAGTGGAATAAAATATTGTCGATATATTTATTCAGGATTAGAATTATCCGTATATATAATTTCATTAAAATCTATTCAGTAATTTTGAGTGAAAGACTAACAAACACGCATACAAACACCCTCACAAACTTTCGTATTTATGATAATAAGGTAATTGGACTTTTCCTTATTTGATTGTTTAACAATGTATGAAAAGTGGATTCTTTCTTGTTTCAAACTTTTTATATCATGATTTAGCTGTAGTAGGATTTTCGTTTACTTTACTTTATGCTCACAAGAGAACGCTGTTGCTAATTTAATATAACGTAACATAGTCTAGCACGCTGACAACTAAGTCGTTTCTGAGTAGTTTCGAAGTTATAAGGATAAAGAACAGATGAACATTCTTACAAACTTGCAAGGAACCTATATGAAGAAAAACCCAACAAACTCTTGCCGAAGCAGAGAGCTTGATCTTTCTCCACCCTAATTTACCATTAATTATAAATATCATAATCAGCATATTTCTTTTTTCCATATCTTTTATTTTCATCTATTATATTTAGTGAAGATAGTTTAGAAAATAAATATTTATGATTTGAAGTCTGATTGCTTTATTTTATTTAGCTTTAGTGAACATATTATTACACTTTAGTGAACACTCAAGTGACTCATATCTAATATAAAATAAACCTAACATAAGAAATTTTATCTTTTAGTTCTATACCGTGTCGTGTAGCAAAGAAAATATAAATATTAATATGAACCGATTATAAGTAGTGAACAAGATGCCGAATTCGATACGAATAATTATAATGATATTGATTTTTAAAGAACTACCTCTATATTCTTAAAAAAATAAGTTGTTAAAATTCAATCCTTCTTAACATTATTTTAAAAATATATGAAGCCATTGGATGCCATTCGGATATTTGTGGATGCAAAGTGGATAAAGTGGCTAATTCCGAAGTTTGTCTATTTAATAAAAAAATAAAACCAATATGTTTCAAACAAAATCGAATATTTACTTCAAAATAGACTATATAACGAATATATTACATAAGTTTTTCGTTGAAAATAGTACAATGATATTTTTATATTCATCTTAGAACTTGTCAACTACACTAAATGGACACGAACAGACGAAATGTCACTATACATACCGGCCAAAATCATAACCCTCCTTTTCGATTCGTCGTAGTCGGGTAAAAACGACAAAACATTAATTTATAACATGTTCAAAAATCTAATTACAGTGGTTTGTTCGGATCCCATTTGCATATATAAATTGTTTCTCAACTATTCTAACAACTACTAAACTACTAACTATGAAAAAGTAAACGGTTTGTCTTAAATGAGTAATAAAAATTGATAATTAAAAATTTAATGTACGTAAACAGAAGGTATATATAATTCCTTTAAGAATTTCAGTATTGGCTACCTTAGTTTATTCTAGTATATGATTCCTTTTAAACATATCGAGCGATCCTTATAAGAATTGGAACATATTTTCCTCTTCATTGGGAGGCTGTCTTAAAAATTAACCTGTCATTCACGGCTAATTTTTCCTTCATTAAACCTCGTCAGATGGTACGCATCAGTTGCGCTACGTGTTTTTATATAACAACACAATTAAAGATTACCACCTATATAAGATATGATATAACAATGCTATTTTATTTTATCCTTTATTGCATTTTAAAAACACAAATGGCGGATTTTTTGCTAAAGGCATTCTACCAGATAAATATGTTGAAGTTTGAATGTTAGGTGATAAGAATAAAACAAACAAATATAACATATAAACAAAGTATCTAATTCATGTCAACTACATAGCTTAAATACACCAGAAATTAATCATAATTACATAAATAAATAAAAAATGCTATAAATACCTCAACAAATATATAAAAACGACATTAAAAAATACATTACGAGACAATTCATACAACATTCGGAGATAGTACTTGCGCACGAATCTCTTGAAAACCATTCTACTCTGAGCAGTTTTGATATGCTGGAAGAGCATCATTGGAAGAGATTGAGTCAGGGTAAAGGATTTGGAAACAAAACTAGTATAATGAACGGTAGTTTGGAGAATGAGGTTGCTACAAGAGCGAAGATCACGTTGATTACTGGAACCAAAATATTGAAATCTAGACTTCATATATCCTGGGGTACATGGATCGTACAGGATTTTAAAAAGCATACAGACAATTCGCAGGTTCCTGCGTTGGTGAACAGTTAGCTATCCGAGTTGTTTTCTGTAATCAGAGATGTAATCGTATTTACGGTGTCGACATATGAACCGCATAGAGCTATTAAGCAAACAATCCAATTTGTTGGGAAGAAATTGACTAGAGTAAGAGTAACAGTCATCAGCGTAGTCGAAAAAGAGTCTGCATATGCAATTGAAGTGTAGTACTGTATGAGAGAAAAAATCAATCTATATAGTGACCTAATCGTATTGAGAACTTTACAACACACTCCGGCAGCCTGCACCTAACTAAGAGAGCATTCTATGTAAAAGCCTAATTTTCTAACACTGGAATGGAATAATTTGTTCATTATACAGCAAAGGAGTAACGGTATTCATATCAGTAATCGACAATTGTTATCTTATTTCAGTAGATAATCAATTTTAGATTAATTTTGCATATACTTTTTCATATGTTCCACAGAAATTTATATTTCGTAGCAATTACATATGGTTTAACATGCATTTATACATCACATACAAAAATACCTATATATTATTTAGTGTCAATTCAATCCAAAAAAGAAAAATTATGTCATAGTCAAACATTTCGACTGAGCAATTAAAATTATACTGGTTAAAACAAAATTTACTCAAACTGCACTTTACTCAATAATCCGACATTATTAGTCGAGATTTTAGCTGTATACCCGTGTGTAAATCCATAAATATTAAGTAAATAACCTTACACTAAATCAAACAACATCTGTATTTTGTGTGTAGCGACCTTTAGAAGTAACCTTGTGTGCGGTCGCGGGTTGACTGCAAGCCGCATCTCCGCACGTCAGTTGCGCGCCAAAACACGCGCTTGTAGCGCGCACGCAGACCGCGCGGTATGGTACGGTAACAGTGATCGATACGTGATATAAAGGTAAGACTAATATGTGAAATTAAAAAAAAATAGCTCAGGTAAACAGAATCGGTTAAAAATAGTCGCTGAAATCCAAGGTGCTATTTAAAAACATTTTTAAAATTAACAAGTCAATAAACACGCGGAAATATTAAAAATTATAATTTTATTAGGAAATACGATATGTTCCGCATTTCATACTATTTAAATATCGAAAAAAAGTTATTGTTATTGTAATTGATAATAATCAATCGGTCATAATTAATAAGTGAGTGAATAGAATTTAATTTATTATATTAATGCGTTTAGTCGCGTTCCACTTTCCTGGTCCAAATTAGTCGAGTGATGCGATGCCAAGATACGAATGCATTTGTAAAGGCCAAGAATTAAAAGCCTGTATATTTAGACGAGCATCCTCAGCAAAGACTTGTGTACCTAATGGAGTATATAATATATGTATGTCCTCATCCGTTTGACCTAAAAAGGGCCTCGGAGCTAAACTAATATTACTAATGTGGTATTTGGTAAGCATAATAGGGATAAAATGGAATAGATGCCGAAATTTTTGATATGACAAGATAGATAAAATATTAATTAGTTTAATCTTTTATACTACAATATGACTTAGTTGTTAACTTAACTATTAGATTTTTTGAAAACGAGGAACCGGACTTTATCCAAGTTTTACCCTGTGTTTAGTAATAATCAATCAAGATTACCTGAATGCATACTCCTTTTATTCCAATACTTCCGATGAGCTATTAGTAACAAATGAACATAATAATTCTTCCACATTTTTTTTTGAAATTTATACTAAAGTAAGTAAAAATTAGTACTAAGTACTAATATTAATGGCAATCGGTTTTAATAAAAAGTAGTTAAAACCAAAAGGAAGTCGCGAAGGAACAACAATCCATTCTAATTTCAATCATATTACAACACAATGTAAATCATGAGTTTAATGACTACTGTAAATTATGTACCACACATAAAATGTATGCCAATATCAATTGCTCACGAAACCAGAAAGAATAAGGTGCATCCTCGTCTTAGCACGTAACGGATCTTTTTAAGTTTCTCTATCCTTGGCCGTTTACAAATAAATAAGCAGATAACAATCATGAACTAAAAATGGAATGAAGACCCTGTTTTGGCCACTGCTCCCTTTTAGGCCATCGAGTACTTCAAAGCGGTTTAACTAACGCATAGGCAAATTTATTTACCGTGAACTATTTTAAAAATGTTATACTATGGCAAAACTAATACAGCTAACACCTGTTAACGTATCAAAGTTCTCTTCCCAGTAATCCTTTTAATAATCATAAATTCAAATAATAATCCTTTTAATAGCCAAAACCAGGTTATAATCTTGAAATGTCCAAAACCAGGGCAACTGGAAAATTTGTTACAGACGAACTTATACCTAAACAATGAGAGCTTTTAGATATACATATATGTATAGTATAATATACATATAGCATTCAAACTCACCAAACTAAAAACAAAAAAATACACTCAACAGCAAGTACTGCATTTAAAATATTCTTATTAAACTTGTATTTCTGCACATGTCCTTATAAAATAGTGGTCCTTCTTGACCACATTCCTAGGAAAACACTTCTGTAATCATTATCAAATACCAAGTAGTTATAATATACCTATTAATTTAGAATATATTTGCATTATTTGCCCTTGCAACTCAATTATTCTGTTTTAAATTAAAAAAAAATATCAAAAATGGTGTTGAAACTCTGTTGAATAAATGAATGTATTTGTGCTCTCTTAACTTTTATAAAAGTTATGTGAAACATTTTACAAAAAATCTCTCAAGAGCGAGTCGGACTCAGGCGCAGTATGCCGCATAAATGTTAACTTGTGTAAGTACTACTCCATATTTTTGGAGATCAGACGGAGTGAATAGTACATATTATTTGTTTCCTTAAATAACTTGAAAGCTATTTATTCCCATAAATATTTAAAATCCTGACAATAAATCAGTGGCGGAGTAACCACATTGGGGGCCCGGGGCGGTAAGCGTCTAAATTCCATTTAAATATGTGCTACGGTCAGACGTTTTTAAAACATACTATTATAAAAAGTCTGGTTACGGATGGCCGCAACGACTAGCCTGTGGTTCTCCAAGTATTCATGGTCTCATTGAATACGTTGAAATTATGATGAATAAAGAATCATGCTATGGCTATCATGAACTATTTTATACAAATAAGAAAAGTACAATTCAAGCGAAGGAGAAATTCGGCAATGCCCAAAACTATATTGTTGCCGTTATATCGATAAATATTATAGAGTTTCATATTAATTAGTTTCATGATAGGACTTCTTTATTATTATATTTTTTTATATACAAATTATTATATACATGAAATTTAATATTTACATCTATGCATAATGGGGATGATGCCTGAGTACAAAAAAAAAAGAAATTATTTTTAGTCCGTCAGTCGAAAAATGTCAGATGCGTATTTTTTTACTTACATTTGACTGGCTACATCACAGTTTCGTAGAAAATTTACAAAATCGTGACGTCATGTGACATTTGAATTTACTGTAAGGCCATCATTTATAATAACGCAAAAAACACACGTTATATAATATTTCTCAACAATAATATCTCATATTTACACTTTATTCGTTACATAGGCAGAAATAGAATAAAAATAAGCTAAGTAAATAGATACTATAGAGTCCTTGGCAACCCTACCTCTTAAACGTCAATTTCCTCTGTTATCTATACTAATATGCGCATTTGGGTCAAGCTGTATCTCTCTAGTGTTAACTCGCTAATTCTATGCGAATTCACACCAAACTAGATTTGAATGCTGACAAAAAACTCTTATACTGACTGGTTTTTTAATAAAGATTGATTGCTTCTGTGAGTATCACCCTCTGGTGGTTTAGAATATCCCCCCGGGAACTATTAAAGATTATGCGATTCAGCTGATGCACTGCAAATGAATCTTAAAAACAGCATTTCTTAGAGTTCCTAACTGGTTCTTATCTATAAGTCCTCCCATATAAATTCGTGGCGATAACGTGGTTTTTCGAGTATCGCATATGCGTGTTAATTATTTAGACTGATTAAAGGATATTGGTTTTAAATAACAATCTAAAATATTACAACTTTTAATAAACTAAAAGTATACATAGAACATAAACACAGTACGGTTTTCCTCATATGGAAATTATCATAATTGTAATTCCCAATAACACTTTAGTCACATAATTGTTTTTTAATGTTTACAGATTGACGTTGATACCGGACCATTGGTTCATTGCTTCAGCCGCACCATGATAAATGAAAGAATAAGAAAGATATAAAACCTACGAGGTCTAAACAAGACACAGAATGACGCAATGGAAGTGGCAAACTGCCTCGTGCTTGAGGAGTACAGAACCGATTCCGGAGAAGTTCGGGAAATGTTGCCGGGTGGCCATATCACCTTTAATATGGCGGATACCAATCCTAGTCTGGGCGATGTCGATATTATCGTGGTCCGTGGCATTCTTCTGGGGACCTCTAGGAATGTTTTTCTTGTACATGACACATTGGGGCCTATTATTAATAGTGATAGAGTCCGTATTTGGCATCATCGTTACTGTTAAGAAATCCCGTACAAATTACATGGGTAAGATCTTAGTTTAGTTATTCTAATGGTAAATCTTTTATGTCACTCTCAAAAAAAGTCTGTCTTATTTGGTTGAACTTATTATAACATTATTTTATATTCATATGTAAATGTTTAATTCGGGAATGAAAATGCAGTTTGAAATGAATTTTATGGTCGAGTATTTGCAAAAAAATTGCCGCCAGTATTTACTAACGTTGTTTCATTTAAATCACCATAAAGGTCTTGATCATTAAACCTTTGACTGTGACTATATCGCTTATTATATGTAAATTTATAAAATAATGTCAATACTAAAGGACTTACTGCCAGTTAAAGTTTATAACAATTACAATTGTAAATTGTGTTCAATTCTCTTTACCTTACTTCAAAAACACTAAACCCAGTAACGCAACATTTAATAACAATACTAATATACATATTCGAAAATTATGACAAAGAATATACGCAGGTATTCATGCTTTACACATGTTTCCGATTTATTAATATTAAAGTCACATAAATGCGCGGTTCGCTATAAGAATAACAAAGCGAACGCACAACAACAGCGTATTCTAGTCTTAGTCATATTTTATCTCTATCGAAGGATTTATCCTTTCACACCTTCTGTGAAACCTTTTAATAAAATCAGTAAAAAGGTTTATATCGAGAAATACTATTATGTAGTTCAATTTTTTGATAAAATCTTCATTTCACTATTTACAATTCTTCCCTTTAATCATTTTTAACATTTCTTTGAATATTTAAAAAAAAACGACGAAATTCGCATCGTCTTTGTAGGCTTTTAGATCTTTTTTCTATTTTCCTCTAATAGCTTCGAATTTATTTTCTCCATAAGAAACATCAAGGTTTAGCGTCAGAGTAAAATTACGCTAAAATTGCAATTTTAGTATTAGTCCAAATTTATATTACACAAAGAATAACCAAACCTTTTCTTCTAGGAGTAAATATTATTCCCGTAGAACCTCGTACTAGGTTAACCTTTGCTAAGTCTCTGTTTAATAATATGAATTTTCGCTTAGTATTAAGTGCAGTCTTAGCGTAAAGTTACTCCAACGCTATACCTTATTTATTAATACCACTGTATAATCATAAACGATTTGGTCTATTTTATGCAACACACAACATACGAATTATGAAAAAATACGCAATGATGACAAATTTCTTAATTAAACTACTTCAAAAAAGGAGAAGATTCTCAATTCGGCTTTGTTTCTTTTTTGTATTGTAAAGTTAAACTAATCTAGCAAACAATCCATGTCTAAGACAGACTAAATCAAACTTACATAACGTATGCTTTATATTTGAATAAAATAATTACCCAATACTTACTATTTACCATATGTCGAGCGTATGTGAAACATCAACGAATAATAATTCACATCAATATAAATTTTTGCGCAGCATAAATTCACACGCTATAGACCACATAATATAATCTCTACTTAAGAAATCTCATTAAAAACAATACGAATTTTAGCTGTGTGTAATATAATATATCATAAGAACCATGTGTCATGTGAATTATTAAAAAAAAATAGATATAAAAAAGTAATACCGACTTCAAAATTTAAAAGTGATAAATAATACTTATCTCGGAACCTTATAGCGACTAAAGTCGGGCTGAGGTTTTCTTTAGGTGATTAATTGAATAATCGCGCTGCATTTCGAATACTTATAGTACCGGGTACTATAGTATTATTAATTAAATGATATGCACCCGACTTCAATAGCATTTTCTTGAATAATAGAGCTATTATCCTTACAAAAGATACAATAACTGTTTCGCAAATAAAATCGTCAAAGTCAACCAGTAAGACATTCAAAGCGTTAAAAAGGTCGGATATCGATGATTGCCTAATGTCCTGGCATTGTGCTAACTACACTGTTGCTAATATGAGCGGCAAAGAAAAATGGCCACCACTCGAACAATTGTGACGCTAATTGTATGTACTTGGTAATGAACAACGTGACGCTCGTAGTAAAACTATAATAGTTGGAAAAGTCGTCCATGGAAATTAAGTGACTGTACCGAATAACAACGTTATTTCCTTCTCTAGCTTATTATGATAACAATAATTTTGTTTTGCGTCAATGAAACAAAAATACTAAATTACTACGGCTGGCGTAACTAAAGTATATTTATAACTTATATTTCTACAAAAAGATCGCGAAAGACTCGAATTCTAATTCATTATGACCATTATTCTCATTAATAATACAATATGTGTGGGAGAATTATTTCAAGCACACGCTTTGAATAAGCAAAGTACTATTATTAAGCGATTTTGCAACCCTACACTGCATAATTTGGGCCATGCTTTACAACCACAACTTTACGCTATTTTTGTACTTACGCCTTTGAATTTTTTATCTATAAACTGTGAATGATTTCTTTGTTGAATATAATTTAAAATCATTTGCGTGCTTCTAGTCACAGCCAATTGCCTCTGTGGCTTTATATAAAATGTGTTGTATAATTTGTACATACATAATCTGAGACAATAAAATAATAATATCATGATGGGGATGTAAAATACCCAATGTAAAGGCTCATGCCTCTTTTTGATTATCTATTTTATTTCTCCCGATAAGTTATAATTATCCCAAAGTATGCATATGAGATAATCAGTACCATCGGCAATCCATAAATTCAAAACATAAATACCATTTTGTACGACAAAATCAAAGATAGCAAAAATCCTTCGCAAAACTTTCGCAAAAAGAAAACTTTACTTTTATGAAGTTTTCAAACAAGTCACTTAACGGCTAAGCTAGCCAAGAAACCATGTGCAGTGCAGTACCTTAATAGAGAATACTTTTTAAGTATGAATATATTCGCATTTCCATGCAATATAACGTTTAACTACCAGAAATACCATGGTCAAAATTTAACGTAAATCTCAGGCATTACAATGTGCAGAATACTTCAAAATATGCTTTTGTAGGTAACAAAAGTAGTCACGGTCAAAGATTCACAATATTAATGTATGATGTTGGTGAAAGAAGCACCTGTATTACAAGGCGACATAATACTCGTACATAAACACCAAACAAAAGAAGTGCATTGAACCGTGATGCGAAATTATCTTTAAAGTAGGTTTTGACCAAAAACCTTGACAGTTGAGCAACCAGTACACCCTCTCGATTGGCTCTCAGTGACTATATCACGGTCCGTTGATTTTAACGTTTTCACTGTTTAGTTCTTCTCCGTTAATATTACGAACTCAACGTGTTGTCATAAATAATAATAAGATGATGCTCTAAGTAAAAGTGAAGGAGTGAATAACATCTGTGGTGGATTTTTTGTAGCAGCGGTACTCAAAAGGAAACAAAACCATCGGCCGCTTACATACGGCCAGAAGGCCAGTACTCAGTTGTGACTTAGTGAGTGTAACCGTTTGTGGTACCGTCACGAATAATGGCGCTAATAAACTGCCTGTGGAAATGTTGGAGGAAGTGTTTGTTAGAGCATAACTCGCCGTCGGATTTCTACGTGAGCTGTTGGCAAAGCAACCATCTCTCGTGGCCTCTGCTATTGCTGAGGTCTTTCCTATTTCTTTATTCGTCGAGCGTGGTGGTCGTTTTGTTTGTACTGGATCCTTATATATGTTATCGGTTCATGTACTTCACGCACTGGGGATTCCTTGCCATTGTACTTGAAACAGGTTTTTCAACGGCAATATCTGCGTATGCTCTCTTCAAGAGGCCGATTGGTAAGCATTTTTTTGTTCTGTTGCTATAACCTTCAACACTCGTTTTAATATTACAAAGCAAATGTACCACAAAGAGATCGAACTATTTTTAAGTGATCCCTCTATAAATTATATGAACTAAAATATTGTGAAACTTTTTGATTTATATATTCTTTTAATACATGACATAAAAATTGGCAACTTAGTAACAGATTTTAAAACGTACTTAATGTAGCCACACATTATATCTTTTGTGAGTGTCGTAAATTGTTACCCATAATATTGTTATATAATGTATGTAACACACATACCGTAGAGATCACGTCTCGTGGGCCACAGCGCGGCCTCGTGCCGTTTGCTGGGTTGTCAATGGCCTAACGACACTTTAATTGCGGTCGTTCTAATGCGGAAAATCTCAAATAGTCATAAGAAAGAGCCCTTTATTCTATTCTCGTCTTGGACTCAATTTCAGTACCAATTGGAATTATAGTATACACTCGCGGTCTAATAATATAGGTTGATGGCAAAAATGCAAATTAATGACGGATGAAACTAAATTTAAAGAGAATTTAATTATATTTCAATGAAAAAATAAACACTTAAGTTGGTAAATATTCTATTTCCTATTGTTTTACATTTGTTTCTTCGTTGTCGTTTTCATATGTGAAAAAATCATACAAAGAAGACGGCTATTGTCATCTAACACCAATATTATTGAAGTACTACCACGTAACAAACACTAACATAATATACACTCTTTAAAATAAGGCAGAAATGAATTAAGCATAGCATAACAACAATAGATATAGTATGTTCTACAACGCAACAAAACATCCAACGTTTTGGGAGACTCAGCAGAACATAAGAAGATCGGGAACCGGCAGTCCGAATTGTGTTCAAGACGCTCAAAGATTTATTGTTAAGATTACTCTCCAACATCGTCCCATCACCACAGTTGAAGTAACTAATCTAATTCAGGGGAGCTGTAGCTTGGCAACCAAAGAACAGACAAAAGTCTATTTACGCGATCTATAGTTAGAGAACGAGTTCCACTGTCCAACATAGATCGCCATACTGGCAATTCATAGATTTGTTTCTCGATCTACACTCGATCAAAATCCTAGTCGACATACTACGCGTGCTAATTACTTTTAGGGAAAAATAGTCGACCAATGATCGATACATCGAAGTTAGAGCTGGAACGAAGTTAGAGCTCATTTGTTCAGTTACGATAAGTAGTTTCGAAGTTGTAAGTAAACAGATGAATAATTCTTACATACCGGGCCAAAATTATAACTCTCCTTTTCGCTTCGCCGCTGTAGTCGGATAAATAAACTTGAATAACTAAGTTTAGAGTAACGTAAGTTTTTTATTTAAATCCCATTCTTTCTTAACGTGTGTATGTGGCCAGATTTTAGAGGTAGACAATAATAGCATAAAATATTGTGTGCCAAAATTTGAGTGATAAATACCGGGTAGTGGTCTATCTTCATTTGTTTATCAAAGACAAACTCTTAATATTGAAATAAACAGTAATATTTCAGATAATAGAACTATTTTCATATAACGACTGTTAGGATTAGTCAGATATTTATTGTGTCAGACGCAATGTAATCCTATTGTGGGTATGTATATTATACACTGATATATTTATACCAACAGATGTAGCAATAAGAAATAATATTACTTCATTACGACACAAACAACAAAAAAATCTGAATCTATTTCTGTCACATAATAATAACAAGAAAGTAAATGCATATTCAGTGCAGAGCAGCCAAGTCTGATATTGATATCCCCTTCTGACATTATTCATTATTACTTTGGTTTATTTTCATAATTCGAATGGCTCCCATTAGGTATACATTATTGTGAAATTTCTCTTCATTTAATCAGTAAATTGTTTAATTGGTAAGCATTCTCAAGATAACGTTACGTCGAGATATTCAAAGCATTAGTTGTGGAACTCCAATTAGAAATTCAAACATATTTTTGGAAATACCTCAACAAAAATGCGAAAAAGAGCAAATTGAAAAGAATTGGCTAAATATAAGCCATAATAAAATAACTAAAGAACCATAAACGCAGACAGACTGTGCCAGTAGTGGAAACATTAATAAGCAGCCCTACGAATCTATAAAAATCCAGACCCGAATTTGAATTCACTAATGTGTTCGAATTCAAGTAATTTAGTGTAGAAATTCTATTGCATCCATTTCTATCTCTATCATTTATATCTCAGATATTCTATTCGTATGTCATTTTGAAACTCACTTCACTTATGCCACAAAACGTTATTACCAACTCAAAGATGAGCGGGTGCCGCTTTTAGAAGTAAATTCGGCCACCTGAGTGAATTCTAATTCGGGTTTGAATTTTTACAGAATCGTAGGGCTGGTGATGATGATGATAAAATAAATATTATTTAAGACATTAATAATAACAAATAAAATATTTGATATAACCTACAATTACAAAAAAAATAACTATCAGTATATTGCGACATGGCTTAATACTTTGATAAATCGCACTATGACACTCTAACTCAAATATTTTAAGTTTAAATCTGATGAAAAATGACGACATTCAATACCAATAATATGAATTTGAATAAATGTTTAATCTTTAAAGTATTTGTTTATCTCCTTATTATATGATCCTTGGACGACACTCTTAGTGTATTGCTGATGTAGACGTTTAATAAAAATAACTTTTACACGATTTGATCATCTGTAACCTTTACGTTATTTGGAAAATTTTTCCAGATGACATTTCGGAGATTCAAAAAGTTTATAGGTTTTATTGAAAACATAACTTTATCTGATTTAATAGGTTTATTTTATCTTTTCAAATTGATTGCAACACTATCTCAATAATTCACTGGAGCGATATATCGGCGTGAATCTCATCTTGTGACGTGTTCGATGCTTGAGCGAATGAAAGGCTGACTAAGCTTGAGACTTGATTTTATTATACGGTAATAAAAGAAAAGAAAACTGGAACAAACAAAAAATGAATATAATATAAAAACAGTATGATTACCTAAATATATAATTAAAGTTATTAAATATAACAAATACATACCCCGTTTCTGGGTTTTCTGTAATAGATAACCCAGAAACGGGGGTGAAACCCAGAAACGCGGTGTAATAGATAAAACTTGGACGATATTTCACGAAGATATACTTTTAGATTAACATTTTTATATTTAAATTTGTATGATTAAATTATCATGTTCAGACCAGATGATTTTTTTACGAACTGACCCAGTATAATATTGTAATCTTTGGAACTGACATTCATAAAGTGTGTATTAGATTACTCAAAATTTCAAATTACGAAAGGTGAATAATAAAAAGAAATGATGTTGAAAATCAAAGACAAAAAGTTTGCATGCGGATACCTAGGACGAAATAAACGGTGGTACGGCACACCGTTGCAATCTTTTGTCTTCTTTTTTCTTTATTAATGGCTTATCTGCGCATTTCGCACTATTCTGTCAAAGTCAAGTGATTTAATTATTTAAATTAAATAATTTTTTACATGTAAAATGAAAATGAAATTAATGAAACATGACGTAGGCCTCTTCTTTTGTCAATATCAAAATTAAAAGTGACAGTGACAACTCTGACAGATTGTGATTTCCGTAATACAATTGATAAATAGTGATGTCCATGGTATTCGATTTTTTTATTTGAAACATATATATATATTTTTAAACACGCGATGAGACCGTTTCATTATTTTTATGGGTACCTAGTGTATATGAAATTAAAAAGAACAAATATATAAATAATTGTCAATAGGATGGTCCGATCAAATACTTTGTGTGAATTTAACACTTAGGTTTATGTCGTTTCCAAACAATTCAATAAATAGATTTATTGAACTAAAACTAAATCATCATAGATATTATAATATTAGACTAGATTATAATATCTATGATTTAAACAAATAATAGAAATACAGTACATATAACCAAATGTATTTATCTATTTATACTTGCAGGTCAGATAAAAAAAGCCCTAAAATTAATTGTTTCTTATAATATGTTTAGAAACAACTTGAATGGACTTCTATATATTTAAATTTCTTAAATCACTCTCAAAAGTAATTATTAATTGACTTTCAGATAATTATTTTGTTACACGCTTTTCTTGCTGCCTGCAATTTCTACTTAAATACAATCAAATATCTTGACGTGATTACTTGTTGTTACAGATGCCACATTCGGGCTACCATGGTACGTCAAGACTTATTGGGTGTTGTACAACGTCACAATTCCCGTGGCATTCCTCATAACTGTTTTCTACTGGGGTATTTTGAAGACCTGTAAGTATTTTCCTATATTTATCATTGTAAGGTTAACTTAATAATTTCTACTCTAAAGTTAAAGGGTAGATAGTTGACATGTCATTCACTAAAAACCTTGGGTATGCTATCAATTTGGATGTGGTACCCGGGAACTCTAGCGTATTCACGCGGCCTGTAATAGCTAATGTAGAAGAGACTATTGGTGCCGTCGCAGTGAGTGTCGCATGGAGTCATGGTAACGCATGGGTGGTTATCAACCGTCCGCGTTCATGTCTTAATCACCAACTAGCACAAGAATCGTATCATCGACTTATTGCTTACTACTTACAATAAATCATAAAAGTCGTGCGTACAGAAATATCTTATAATCTTTTGCTCTCCACATTGTAGTTGACCGTCATTTCAGTTATAAACATTTCTAACATGCCGTATCGGCAGGTTAGTTAGGTATTCTATTAAAACAGTCTTGTACAAAACTTGCTATAATGTAAGATATAATCATACAAAATCGAAGTACATATAAATTTTAATATCTAGGCACCCAATGCATAGCCAAATCAGATGAAACATTGTTCCTATCAATATACTACAAATGTAAATATACTGTACCAACGTGTGTTTAAATATGTGCCTAACGACGGAAAATAAACATACTAAAACGTGACAATATCACAAGGCCTGTTGGGATGGAACATTGCGTTCAAACTATTATTGTAAATTAGCTCTCGGTGTACGTCTGTCATGTATCTATACTGTGCAGTATTTAAAAAAAATAAGCTACTTATAAAAAGAAGTTGAATATAATTATTCCCAATACAAAACAGCAACACTTCAAAGATTTTCTATTTTTTAAATAAAAATATCATATTATACGTCAAACGTAAGACGTCAATATGTTGTGCGATCGCTAAAATAAACTTCCCATAAAAATTCTGCGATAATGCCTGCATGATTAATTTACATAGAGATCAATGTAAAAGCCCTCCGAAGTAAATGTTTACTATATTTTTACTAAGTTTTATTTTATGGTCCACGGTGAGATAAATTCCATGACATCATTTTTATCGAAATAGAAATACCTTGTGTTCGTCAGTTTAATTATAACCTTCCAGTTAAAAATATAATCACGAATTTCCATAATGTTATAAATAATCTTGTTTAACAAATAGAAGTAGATTATTCACTTTATTACTTTTTAGTTTAAGTAAACGGAGACAATATTTAATAAGCAAATAACTATTTCGGGTCTTAGCATTTCAAACAAATTATAAGCATAATACGTTTATTGCTGCATTTCTGTTCTTACTGAAAGTAATTTGGAATCATAAAAATGTAGTTATTAATATTTTTAATATAAAATTAATTTATGAATTTCAAAAGAGAGACAAAATGATCGAGGTGAACTAAGTGTGGTTAAAAAATTAATATAATCAATAAAAATATAGATATACAAACTAATGTCAAGGAAATCATGTTTTTCTAGAATTTTTATATAGATAACATTTATTTAAAATAGAAAATGAATGTATATCCGCAATCAAACAAAGCACAATATGTCCACGTAAAGCGCAATGTTTAAAATTTTTATCATTTATAAAATTATCATTCGCCTAATCTTGTTACATCGTAAACTCGAATACTAATATTCTTAGTCACCAAATACGAAAATATTTTTTAAAGTTCTACTGTGGCCAACGAATGCAATCATAGTTAATAAACCATAATCAACTTTGAACCTTCACGAATTCCCTTTATCTTCTAATATAGTTACGTCATAATATACGCAGCTACTAATGCCATATTTCCAATATACCTGTTGTTTAATCTTTTTTTGTTATGAAGTAAAATGTCAAATATATTAGTTGTATCAGCGGACATTGGAAGTTTCATTTCTAAATAGTGTGATATGTGTACATTTTGGTCCTTCAGCCGGATAAAAAAACATACATTGGGATTGCAAAATTTGTGAAAATTAAATAAATTAGTTGTATCAGCGGACATTGGAAGTTTCATTTCTTAATAGTGTGATGTGTGTATACCTGTAGTACAATTTATACACATTCTTCATTATTATTAAAAAATGAACCGTGGGAGCCGACGTCCACACCATTCCTTAAAAAATAATCTAACACTTTCAGCTGGTAAGATGGAAAAGTACGCGCCCAATCCAGTCTTAGACGTAATGCTACACGGAGGTAACTCGGTAGCGATGCTAGTGGAACTGCTCCTGTCTGCGCATCCCAGTAGGCTGATGCACATTTTCCAGCCGCTTCTCTTCGCCCTCGCCTACCTCCTGTTCACAGTAGTCTACTACTTCGCAGGAGGACATGACCCGTAAGTGTACCCTACAATGTACCTAATAGCCTTACTTCTTATATAATATATTATAAAAGCTGAATTATAATAAAAAAAAGACAAAGGTAAAATAAATTTGGACATGTCTACCGTTCTCTTTTTGAAACTTAAGATATTAAGCTAAGGACATTCAAAAATCTAGACAGCGTCGAGACCCTGATCGACTTGTCTTAAATGTTATTTCAAAATCAGATAAGTATGGGAAAAGTTGTTTGGCTATGTGCGACAAAGTGTATATTAAATTCCAAATGAATTGAAATCATTAACGGCTGGATTTTTTTTAAAAGAAAATTATATGCCTGGCTCAATTGTAATTTTTATAGTATTAGCGAATTTTTGAACAAACGGAATTTAAAAAATTATATTGACTTTTTAAAATAAAAATTATACAAATTGTAATTTTTTAAACTATGACGTAAAACCAATGTATTTCAACATAATAAGAATTCAATACAACTTCAACACCTCTACAACTTTAACACCACATGTTAAGGGAAATTAATAATAATTATTTTTAAAATCCCGACAGGTTACCCATAACGTACCCTGTCAAATTAAGAGAAATTAAGATCTTGTCGACCATAAACAAACCTTTGTCTCCATATCTTGCGTTAAAGTGGACTGATTATATTAAATGCTAAGATGCTTATATTGCCTATGATGGATGGTAATGAGGATGAAGATATTGTATGAATAAAATAAGAATAAAACTCTACTTTCTAACCACTCTTACTAACTACTATCGAAAGGTAACCCGCTGTATAAATGATTGAAGTTATTTAGCTAAGGTAGATTTGAAGGGTCAAACGCCATAAAAAGTTATTGATGCTATTCCATTGATTTAATTATTTTAGTCTTTGTAAAAATTGTAATCGTTGATGAATATTTAACATGCATAAATTGCATAATAACGTGATTCTGTTGAAGAACAAGGTCAAAATAGACTATAATATTAACCATACGATACCGTATGATACTAAGCTATCATTTATATAGCATAATGATATATTTACATGCCATAAATTAAGGTCAATTATTATTTTTTTGTGATATCGGCTATTTCCTACGCCTAAACTCCCTGGTCATAAAAAACTGCTTACTGGCCAAGTTATATTGTAAAAAAAGTAGAGACAATGAAAATTTTCTTATCTTATCAAGAATTGAAATGAAAAGTTAAAAAATATATAACAAAATAAACAAGCGCAATGTCAATGGGGTTCGCGTATCGAGAGTTATGTTATGGTCCGTTCAAGGTGCTTTTATATTTGATATATCACATAATATAGTTCATAAAACTTTTTCTCAATCTAGTAATTTAAAATCATATATAATAATTACTTAGGTATTTACTAAAACGCCTCCACTGACATGTAAATATGTATGTCAAGCAAATAATCGCTCCGGCAGTTTCACAGAAACGTAGGATTTAACTGACGGACGGAGGGACAGATAAAAATGCGAGTTATCCTTTAATGCGTTCATTTTTTGGGATATAAAATAACTTAAAAACAATTAGAAATAAACAATATAATCATTTTATGTTCTTTCTAGTTGTTTTACCGCAAATTCATTCTAGTAAATTACAGCCTATGTTACCAGTGCCCGTGTATAGGTTACTGGTTAGAAAAGAATTATTCAGATTAGTCCAGTAGTTTCGAAATTTAACCAATGCAAAAAGAATCTTTCCTATTTATAATAATAGTATAGATATCCCTTATATACGGATCCCTAAAACAATATTAATCGAGTGTTTTGCTAAGATCTACACATCTACAAATGATGATCATAAGCACGATATTTCTCAATATGTTGACCTCGCGGAGTCACGTGCATGTATCTATGGGAGGCCACTAACACATTCAAGTTCAACGTCAGTCAGAGATTGTTCTCTTTACCTTTAGACTGGTAATTAATTTATGTTGCAATAAATTATTAAAATATAAATATAACCGTCAATTTAAGAGCCAGCAGAGAGATTACGTAAGAATCCGATCCCTAATTGGAATTTACTTAGGTATAAATCACTTCGAGAGCGAATTCGCTTATCTTATATTAGTTTGGAAATTATATTAATTCCATTTTTTGTACAAAAATTCAAAACAAGGTCGACTGATTCATACATGTCTCGGATTCTATCCCTATGTCATTTTCGAAACTACCTTCACCTATGCCACGAAACTTTAATACCAATACAAGGTTATGCAGATGTCGCTTTCTTTAAATCTTCAAATTTTCACGCTGGTTAAACAAAAAAAATCTCACGTTTTATAAGAGCTCAAAAAATATACCGAGCTATAACGGTACGAATTCGTCCAAATCCTTATTACATCCTATTCTCTTAAAAGTATTGTAAAAATTTTTGATGAAAAAATACTTAAATTAAGAAATAGTACTCATATGCATCAGTACGTTGAAACACAGGTACAATAAATTAAACAGGGCCAGTTTTACAGATAACTTTATAACGAACACTTATTATTATTATTAAGTACATTAATAAGAATTTGATCAAATATTAACTGAAGACGAAAAAATGACAGCCGAAACTTAAAACAACACTAATTTGTCTAAGGTAATCCAGCGCAGTAAATCAAAATCAACATCTTTTTCTGGATTTAACCTCTATATAGTTTAGTATTTTAGAGAAAGTTAAACTTCCAAAAGCATTATAAATCAATTGAAGCGTATAAAACCTGACCTTTTCAGATGGGGTAACGCCTTCATCTACCCGGTGATTGACTGGTCAAAGCCGCAGCAGACTGCGGTAGTGGTAACATTAACGGCACTGTTCCTGGCGCTCATGCATCTGGTAGTTGTTGCCGTGGCGGCTACAAGAGACGCTATCTCCCGTCGCTTCAGAAACACTACTGGTATATACAACGATGGCTTCGGAGATGAATCATGACGATAATAATGAAGCAAAAACAACGTGAACAATATGGACTTATAGAAATGTTGTTGCACAAACGTCTATTAAGCTTTAATGACAACTTGAAGCTGTATATAATGTTGAATTTTAGAATTTGAATTGGTAAATTCCCTTGAAATAATTATCAATTTTAATTAGACGTTTACGCACCTGGAAATGTTAATGAGTGTTATTTCACTAGTGATATTAATCCAAACTAAAATTCTTGAGAGTAAAATCAGTAAATGACAATGTTGGACTCACCCTTATATACTATATAGTCGACAGCACAGCAGCTATGGTATTCTATTTCAAAACATCCTCGAACTCGATATTGAGCTTAGCGCTTACTGTCATGCATGTCATAGAGCTGCAACAAAAAAAAATTACCTTTTAAAGTAGGTTTTAATTGATTGAAGTAAGTATATATAACAGCGCTTCTTTTTTTCAAACAATTTTCCCATAAGTAATACAGTACTGCATATAATGAACCTGACGGGCTTTTCCGCAATAAATTAATCTATTAAATTCAAAATAAACGCAGAAATTAAGCCTTTTGTAGTCATCTAATATAACGCTGTATGTATACACAGTACCACAATATGTCAAATTCTCACAGTTGCTTTTGAGCTCTATCCTCAATGCTGTTAACAGTACATGTCATCATCTTATCATGATCTCCGAAATAGGATTTTGTATTTACATTTGTAAGATTTTACAGGCTATAAATTTGTCTCTCACCACCTCGCACGCCGTATTTTACTGTTATACAATGTACTTGTCGCATTCGTTTCGTTGAGAAACTTTTGGAATCGTAAAACTCGAGAATGTCAAGGGCATAACACAGAGTTGGCTATTAGTGACATCTTGCACAGAAATAAAACAATTTTAATGTGTTTTTACTGTTAGTTAAATACCTTTTAGGCGTTTTCAAGGACGGTCATATGTATGCTAGCTTGTTCTTAAGTACAGTGTAATTTTCGTCTAATTATTGATAATTTTTGTGTTGATTATAATATCGCACACCTAGATCTAAACTGAGACAACTCAAAAATTGAAGTGAGTTTTGACTTTGTACAATATACAAATTCTCGGTGATCATACGCATCTATCCAACATAACAGATTCAATAAAGGTTCGGGGATGAGCCTCTAGATAACTTTAGCTTTCTTTTGTCGAATCAACAGTGGTCGCGTTCCTGCCACGTAAATAAATGTATTGTCAGACCTCGAAATTACTTTTTTGAGTTGTCTTAGTTTAGATCTAGGTGTGCGATATATTTACACTTTGTTGAATTATATCAACAACAAAGGCGAATTATTTATTTGAAGTACATAACTTCAAAAACAGTTGTTAATTTATTTCCTGTGGTCTATACTATATCTACGAAAAATATTAGTACATTTTCTCCATTAAAAAAAAGAGTATTTGTCGCAACAATGGTTATCTTTTTAATGGATTGTAAACAAATTTTGAAAATACTCTTAATATCGGAGAAACTGAATTGAACCTCATTAAAAGTTACCGACTTTTTCGTTAATAGTATATTTTTTCTGATTCAAAAAACGGAACCCTAGTGACTTATTTTTATCAGTAAGTATTAATAAACAATGTTTAGGTTCAGAGTAAATTTACGCTAAAATTGCAAATTTTTGTATTAGTCCAAATTCATATTATACATAGAATAGGCAATATTTCTAGGAGTAAATATTACTGTATATTTACTCCTAGAAGGTTTGGCTATTCTCTGTTTCATAATATGAATTTTGAGTAATACTAAGTGCAGTCAGCTATTCTCTGTTTCATAATATGAATTGTGGCAGTCACAGCGTTAATTTACTCCAATTTTAGTTAGATTATATCAACAATAAATTTTAAATACAAATAGGTACCTTTAAAAAAATGATAACTTTCTTCTATTACTCTTATATTAATATGTAGCATGTAGTTTTTTAGTTTACATTTAGCGTAGCAAAGCGAACTGTGATTAATTAAAGGAATACCTGCCCTAGTAAATATTTTACGTCTAGTTGCAGAAAACTATTTTTTTTTATATATTATTATACATATCATCTGGCTTACGATATTATTTATTACACAACGAAAAAATCTACGTTCCTGCAACTGGATATTTATAATACTAATACCTACTGAAAGTAAAACTCATATAAATGTCAACTTAATCAAATTAATATATATAATAGACCTTTACCTCTTTTTAGGTTCTCTTCTTAATTTTTTTCATTTTATATCTACTAAACTATAGTTACAGCAATCGTATTTTATTTTTTCGATCTTTAATATATTTAAGAAATAAAATCTTTATTTTTTGTAGCAAATTTCTTGACAGTTGGTTACTTAACTACCGCGTACTGAAATTTACGTTCGAGATTACCAATAGTAAATTTTACATCAAGTTTTTCTTTAATTTCAAAGGAAAAATGCATTAATTAGTATGAAAAATCTTTTTCATACTAATTATAATGCATTCTTTTTCTTTTGATCTTTCAATGTAAAGAATAGTGTCTAATCTATTCGTAATAACAAAAAAAAATATTGTAGTCAGTCATTGTAATATTTATATAAAAATATACACTTTGTTTGAAATACCAAAGTATAAATCAAAATAATTAATAATATCCAATATCTGAAAAAACTTTTAAACGGTTTCATCGCGTTTTTATTTAGTTTTAAACTAAAATATAAGAAATCAATAAATATCCTATATTTTTTCTTGCAAATATTATTTAAGGTGATTTTGCAATTAGAACAATTTTAAATTGTAACTTGATTAAGATCTGTTACTTTATATAGATATGATAAATTAATTAATTTCTATTTTACAAATTTTACAATTATGTTACTAATTTTATTATTCCATTTGATTGCTCAAATAGGTATCATAGATTTTACGAACCATGAAACTGTATATAAATCGGCTTGTTATTGACTGAAAATAACTCACATGGTTTTGGGTTTAAATCAGTTGAATTGATTTTTTTATGATATTAAATAAAATTCGAAGTACAAATATGACTTTTATTTAACACTTTAATTCTTGGTTTACTTCTTTTACTTCTTGTAAATATTCTTAGAATAAAACGAAATATAAATACTAATAACGGATACGCATAATAATTGCGGAGGTTAAAAATTTAATTTATACTTCCAAAACTACTCAAAGTGGTAATTGTAATTGTAACGATCGACAGTGAACGTAAACGACAAAAAAACTTACACTAAGCGCTCTTTTTTGACGTAAAGCGTCAAGATTCGTGAGCGCGTTAAGATTTTAGTACGGAATCCGGTACAGCGCCCCTAGCGGTAACTACCAAGAAGTACAAATCTCCATACAAATACTTAATTTTTCTATTGAATGGATAGATTAACTAAGCTTGTAATTTAAGTTAGATTGTCTTCTAATGTAACTATAGGTATAGGAATTTACTATGTATAATAATGACTGATAGATAACATGCTACGATATTATTTTAACCTCTACTAAGTACGATAACATTGTACCAAATCCTTATACTATACAATTTAATCGGAAAACTTTTTTGTATAATCATTAAAGCTAAAATTTATTTAAACTGATAAAGTCGTTCGTGATCAGTAGTTAACATAATATTAATTAATATTTATCATAAATCCAAATTATATTTTAATTGAATTATTATAAAAAACACACAATCATTCTGAATGAGTCACTTAAGCTGAAATGGATAAAGGTAAACGCAGCGTAAATACTGTCTGGATAAAGTGGAATTATCAAACTGTAAGTTTAACTGAATTTTTAAAAATTCACGCTGAAAGAAACAGCTCTTGACACAATCAATACATAAGACATAATAGGACGTAGTATTATGTCCGAAATAAACATGAAACCCAAGAACTTCATGATAAGGTAAGGTATCTGACCCGACAATTCAAACCTAAGACCTGGTCAATAGAAAATTCTACTAGCGAATAAATTACAAAAATATGGGACATAGTAAAATTCTAGAAGGACTACTGTACTGCTCGATTGAGAAGATTTCAATAGCGGGGCCGAATTTGTTATCAGAATTGAATCGATTTCGTATATTTTTCTAAAAATACATCACATTCAATAATGTCTTATAGCAATTCATACGGAAAATTCCTAAAGCCGACCGATATGTTCGGCGTGTGTGTGCGTTCACCTTAACCAGAAACCGATTGCAAATCTCGGAATATCCATCGTTATCAGATAAGTTAAGTCCACGCGATACTGACAAACGTGAACGAACAGTTGATCAGTCGAAAACACTAAAATGGGTGCGAAGAAATATTTCAGAAATCAATTTAGTTTGAAAAGATTTAGTTTAGAACATGAGGAAGCATGGGACTTCTATTTGTGCTGTTGGCAAAGGAATCGGTCACCGTTTCCTTTACTGTGTCTAAGGTTTCTAGTATTCGTAGGATGTTTGAGTATTCTTATAACATCTATGGTGATGACGGGACAGCGGGTGAACTTCGGCTTCTGGTTCATATATATGACGCATTGGGGACTATTCCTCATCACTATTACTGGGGGACTCGCTTTCGCCGTATCAGCAAGGGCGTACTTTCGGGGACCTATTGGTAAGTTCAATTTCCAGATATTTTGTTTATATAAGGTGTAATATTATTATGTGCTAGGACGTCGTGGAGTGAATGAGTTAAGTATACTGACCAACTTTTACTATGAAAGCAACACTGAAATCGGCTGTTTCATACATTGATGTGATGGTTAGTATTACTAATTTGTATGAAACTACTGATTATTTTTTCGTGAATTCAGTGTGCACCCATAGTAAAATTGGTCAGTATACTTAACCCATCCATCTCATGAAATGTATATTTGTAGGAATGGAAGTAATGTGTAAAGATGGTACAACTTAAGAAAATATCTAAGAAATAATTGTGAATGGTTGTTATTGTCAAGACACAAATGCACTAGGCGAATGCATTATTACTTCCAATTTACAGCACGGAGTGAACCAGACGAAACTCAACCACAAGCAGAGTGGTAAGTGTAAGTTTTACGCTAACGCGTTCACTAGTGAGCGCGTTAAGAATTTGTATGGAGATTTGTAGTTCTTGATAGTTACCGCTAGGGGCGCTGTGCCGAATTCCATACTAAAATCTTAACGCGCTCACGATCGACAGTGAACGTAAACGTCAAAAAAACTTACACTAAGCGCTCTGTTTGTCTAGTTCGATCACGCCCTACTGGTAATAACAAATAATAAGTACCTATGAATTTTAAAAAAGTGCCTATACACATATTTTTAAGAAAAAGAACATAAAAAAGTTTCACTAACAGCTAAAGTTGGAAAAATTTCGATGATCGAATATTGGAAAACTGAAAATCATTCTTTTTTCTATGATTTCTAGACGTTACGATGAAATCACTTTTTAAACTTTAATAATTTCCATACATCATTATATTAAATTATATTTCATTAATTTTGCATTCCGAACACTATATTGATAAAGAAAAAAACTATAGTTGATATTGTAATAATTACAACAGATTTTCATTTTAAACAAAAGTTTTTTTTTTGTCTGCTTATACATTACTTGTACATTAGTGCAAATATGCTCAATTGTAGCGAAATCTTGAATGATGGCAAGTTAAAAATCATATCTTTTCCCGACAGTATCCTTGTATATAATAATATAAACAAGCTACGTAATAATCTTAAAAATTACCTACTGAATCTTTGAAAATTGGTTCCAAGTAAAAGCTTTTTTTAAGTGTAACAATTGATATTTATAAAATTATAGAAAATAATTTCGTTATTATAGTCTTAGTCATCTAGATATTTTATTATTCAGTTAAATTAGTTAATAAATTGATATATATTTTTTTAAGTGAAATCTATGGTTTTAAATACAAATCAAATGAATATTAAATCTATTTCAGACTCTACATTCGGTATGCCGTGGTACTTGAAATGTTATTGGGTGGCTTATAATATGACGTTACCGGTAGCCTTCTTCATCACAATTTTTTACTATATTCTCCTGACGGATCTCGGTAAGACATCTTTTTATAAAAATCTTCTATGCACAAAGGTCTTAATCGGTTAATTATAATAGATAATTATTTACTGTCTAACCAGATTTCAGGCCAGATATAATATCGATACTGTGTATTTATCTTCAATCTACTTTAACAATAAGTTATCGTATTTTAATAATATGATTAATTACATTTATAAAAATAAATAAAGTTATTATTACACCTGTTAATGTCCCCGCTGCTGGGTCTCACGCCTTTCCAATGGATGGAGTCGAATCAAACCCAACAGCGAGAATGGACCCACCACGAGGGCCCATTGCAGATTGGTGTGTATTAACGACTGCAGATGCAGCTGGGATACATCTTTAAAAGGAGATCATCTTTAAACGGCTTAACGTGCCTTCCGATGCACGGAAGTGCTTAAGAGTATTTTTGGTCACCCATCCTGTGACCGGCCCTTACGAAAGTTGGTTATGAACCTTATTGCAGACCGAGCACGTTAGTAAACTACACGCTATCGAACTCTCCATAGTTTTATAAGATATTAAACTATAGAAATTCATAAACCGTCTAATTTTATTATAAGAAGTCGTTGTGGACAAAAATGTAAAGTTCTAAGATATTTTTTATAAACTGATGTCCTTTTAAAGATGTACTCTAAGATACCAATTTAATAGATAGAATACTTATTTCCTTAAGATATACAATAATATTCTGTATTATAATAACATTAGGAATTTTTAAATTTATACGCGACTAATAAAGAACATGCTCCTTTTTGGAAGTGAGCTAAAAACATAAATTATTCCAAAACAAAAAAAGATCTCATAACTGTTTAAATTTTTGTTACGTCAATAATCGTAAGTCAGTTTCAGAGAAGCCCATCCTCCACAGCAAATTATATCATTTTGTAACATTAAAGAAGGATGCCTTGCCATTTCAGTTGAAGAGTACTCAGTGGACCCGGTGTTGGACTTGTTCATCCACGGCATCAACTCAGTGCTGATGTTCGCTCTACTGATGACGTCACAGCACCCCTCCCACCTCCTGCACTTCTACCACGCAGTAGCGTTCGGGCTGCTGTATATGATCTTCGGCATCATTTACTATTTCGCCGGAGGAGTCAGTCCGTAAGAATGAATGAAAAATAGTAAACCCTAGTAGTTCGGTGGCGTAGTTGATAAGCGATCGTTGTCGTTAAGCAACTTTCGCAAGAGTCGGTCACGGGATGGGTGACCAAAAAATTATTATCTCGAGCTTCACGTTAAGACGTTGGTCCCGGCTGCATTTGCACTCGTTAATACTTTCCAATCCGCATTGGGCTGCGTAGAGGGTCATGGTCTATCCTCCTTAACCATCTATAAGGAAGGCCTGAGCCCCTGCAGTGGGGACGTAAAAGGGCTGATGATGAAACCCTAATATTTTAAGTTTTCGAATTAGTGGCACTAAGTGGGATATATTATATTAATATTATAAAGAGGAATGTGTGATTGTCTGTTTGCTTTGAATAGAACTGCTTTAAAAAACTCTTTCATCTACTAGAAGCTACATTATACGAGGATGCTATGGTCACCGATGTCGCGAACGATCTCTATATATTCTGGAGTACTGGAATCATTTGCTGTATAGATTGTCTTCTCCGAATTTTCGCTCCTAGACTCTCGACTACCGACCGAGTGTTAGGCATTGAAAATTACCTGCAATAGTAGCTAAACACGATTCAGTGCTTACCAATTTTTTTTATTTCAGGTTCGGTGACAGATGGATATATCCGATGATAGATTGGTCCAATCCAGGTCCAACTGTCGGAATAGTATTCGCATCTGCTGCGGGGCTGATCATCATGCATTTCCTCGTAGTACTCATTAGTGTCTTCAGGGACTGGATCTCTAAGAAATACGTGCGCAATATGAATTCTATGTCTTTGACGAGTTAATCTCATTTCCCATCTATCATATTTATAGAATGGCTAATTGTTGTAACAAAGAATAGAAAATGTAAAACCATAAGCCGATCAATCTTCTTTTATGCGTCGAGGAAATGCTTTAAGTATAGTCCCTGCCGTCTGACGAACGACTCTCTTCGCCGTCACCGGAGGCCTACCCACTAAATCTCCTACGGTGTACTCTCTGCTCGGGAATGAGATCTGGGAAGCCGTGTTCAGCTGAAAAGTAATTAGATCAAAGTTGCGGATTGATAACAAAAACGAAATTATATTTATAATATGTAAGTTATTATATTTGATCAATTTTGCATTCAGAATGATATACTGAAAAATATTTTTAAATGAAAAATTCTTAAAAATAATGCCCTTTGTCTCTGGCACTCACGCGTGCTGGCACAGAGTGGCACAGAGTGCCAGCACGCGTAGCATGAAGAACGCGAGAACATTTTGTCTTCTCGACCCGAGAAACTGACAAATGATTGCAGACAAAGCGTTTCTCGAGTTTGTCATGCTACGCGTGCAGGAACAGAGTGGATTTTAATGCAATTTTTATTAAGAATATTTTACTAAGTATCAAATATCACAGATTGATTAACCGTCAAATTGATCCTCTTAGATGGATGAGCCGGTATCAAAGCATATTAAGAACCACAATGCCCATTACTACTGTTAAAATATTTGCAAAACTCTTATAAAAAGCTAAGCATTGAGATCTAAAACAACAACTAAGAATAAAAACTTATTTCAAAAATAGAACGTCTTAAAACTTTAAAAAAAATGATAAATTCGGGCGGAGTTTTTTGTAAGTCATTAATTAAATGATAGGCGCCAACTTCAATAGCATTTTCTTAAATAAGTCGCTTTTGAGAAAAGTATTATCTATCACTTTTTTAAAGTGTAATGTCGGTTTAAATATTTTTTAAGATTAAGATTTCGATTGTATTTTTATAACTAAGAGATAGCTACATTCAAACAACTATATTGTATTGTATATTGACACGTACATTTTTGCAATATTTTATAAAAAAAAAATTAGGTATATTGAAAAATAAATTACGCTCCTTAACATAAGAGAAGGCTCTCTTGATATTGTCAAATAAGCACATTGTTCTTCTTTGATCACGTTAACATTTTCTTCATTCTACGAAATTATTTTGTCGCAACAGGACCACCCTGTTGCACAAATGTCTATTAAAATTAATTAAGTAATTAGTTTAAAGTGATACATTTTTAATTTTAGGATATTAATAAGAACTTTAAGCCTCATTAAACCTTAACGGAGATTTGAACAATTATGTGTTAGGATCGCATAATATACAAGGCCTTCATTAAATTTAGACATTGCGCCGCCTCTGGTAGTATTTAAAGGATGTTACACAAAAGCTGAAAAGTAAAGGCAACATAAAACTTTTGAGTGTAAAACTGTACATTTTATTTGCAACATAATGTTTTAAATATAATAAGCATTATTATATGTAATTCTATATTTGTTTTGCCTTACATCGTTGCATGAACATTCCAATCTTATACAAAAAAAAAACTAACAAGACAAGCAATTACATACTCATGGCAACAATAATGACAAACACTTTTTTATTGTAGCAATTAACTTGCTGGGAAGTTATTAAATGAGTTTTTACTATCTCTAGCATTACGTTTATTGTAATAACCAATAAACACTGAAGATGAGCTATAAAATCATACAATTGACATGCCGAATTACCATGATGTGGTGCTTGTGTCCTACAAGTGACTGTATTTTTACTGTTCCTGTTATGTTTGGAAAATATGAATCATTTTAACTTATAAATATTTAATAAAATAAATTTTATGATACTATTTTAGAAAATAACTAGAAAAAAGTAAAAAAAAATAGCAAAAATAAATATGACATTAAATTAGGTACAAGAAAGTTCATTAAAACAGATATTATATAAACATAAACGCACAAATAACAAAGATTGCCCAGACGCCCATAAGTTTTAGCTACCTTAGCACTGTGTGACGTCACATACGGTCAGTTGCAAATACGTCCATTAAGGTTTAATGATGCCTTTAAGCTCTTATGATCGTCAAATTTGTATGGGTAATGTCGCTTTAAACGAATGACAATTTTAATGTACAATACGTTTGTGCAACTGACTGTTAGTGTGATGAATTTGTAGGGAACATTTTCGGCCGATTAGCAAACTATTTTTCGCTGATATGCTACTGCTTCCACATTATCAGATATTAATAAACAATTTTTTATTTATAAAAAAGTGAACCTATAATAACTTTTGCATATAAACATTTTATAATAATCTTCAAAATTTATCTTGTTTAACGCATAACGAACCACAAATCAAGAATGGGTCTGGTGGGGGGGCAAGACTTGCTTCTCAAATTGGACAGGTTTAACTTTTTAAGATGTAGTATTTTAGGTAAAGCTTAAATGTAATTAGTATGTAATTAGGTACTGAAATAGAGCTAGTTTATTAAAATATTTTGAATGGTTTTGTATTTAAATATAATAAAATCACATTTTTTTTCTTATTATTTATATTTAATAAAACTTGCATTGACAATGCTATACCTATTGTTACTTATTGAAATAGTTCAGAAATTTACCAGTCCAGCACGCGTAGCATGACGAACTCGAGAACATTTTGTCTACACTCAAATGTCACTTTTCTCGGGTGCGTCCATACTATATCTCACTCTCGACCCGAGAAACTGACAAATGAGTGTAGACAAAGCGTTTCTCGAGTTTGTCATGCTACGCGTGCAGAGCCTAGTTGTGGACTCGAATCACACCTTTAGCACCTGCGATTGGTGATTTTTAAAGTATTTTTTTATCATAATTATAGTTAATAATACCCACAATAGAAACGCCGTTCTCAAGTGGTTAAATAAACATTATACCACAAATCGATTTGTCGTTTCATTCAACAAAAACGTTATGTTGCTTTTAGATAATTTGATTGTTTTTGAGATAGGATAATGCTTTAATCTGTACTGAATTTATTATCTTTATTTTATAAGTAACTAATATAACAATAAAACACAGCAATATCGGAACATTGATCTGACAAATTAAATAATCTGATAAGAAACACAACCGGGTATAACTTGAAATACAAAGGTGTAGTTTAAAATATTCTTAAAAATGTGTGTTTTAAAAAAATATCTCAGTCGACAATTCCAAGTGGATAAATTAACTTTACAACATGACGACGCGTCAGAGTTCTACCTTTCCTGTTTGCAACAGAACCGTTCACCGGTACCATTGTTATGTATCAGGCTTATACTGTTTTTAACATGTGTCGGTATATTAGTGATGTCACTGTTAGTGGACCATACGGCATTTTGGATAATATACATGACAAACTGGGGCGTCGTCATTATAACTGTCACCACGGGATTGGCTTTTGCCGTGTCTACGAGAGCTTTCTTGAGAGGGCCAATTGGTATGATAATCAGATATACTAAATAACATGACTTAGTTAGTTTTTCGTACCCAAAGGGTAAAACAAGACCCTATTGTGACCCCGCTGTCCGTCTGTCACCAGTCTGCATCTGATTGTTGAAATGTTCACAGATGATATATTTCTGTTGCCTCTATTAGAACTTATACTAAACACAATAAAACAAATATTTAAATGGGGTCCCCTACAGCGAACGTGATTTTGTATGTGTTTTTATAAATAATGAAATGAGAAGTAATTAAAAGGTCAGCCATAAAAAAATTTGGTTAGCCACAAAAATCAGTATTTTAATCGTTTGATCAGCATTTAAAGGTTTTGTATGCAAGAAAAATAAAACAATCGGCAATCCTTGTTTCGCAAATAATCTTGATAATGATCAGTAATTTAATCATATACAGTCAGCTTAAAATAATATGTGTATGTCAAATAAACAGTCTATCCCCAAAATAACTACTTGATCAGAAAGATTCAGGATTGGTCAGCAAGAAATATTTGTCCGGTTAGCAGTTCATTTGATCGGTTTGCGTATTTAAAGCATGGTTAGAAGAATAACTAATTGGTTTGCATTTTTATTGAAAAGTCTGCAATGTACGTTAAAACTGGGCAGAGCAAGAGTAGTCGCATGATACTAGTAGCCAATCGCGTGCGTGTATTGTCATTCGGTGTCTATGCGGCGATTAGTAGCTGTCAAATTACAGTGATAACAACTTGTTTTATGTTAATTAGTGTGAATTTTGATATTTTGCGAGTGTTATATGAGTACTGTAGGTAGCAGCCGGGACCGACGGCTTAACGTGCCCTCCGAAGCACGGAATCATCTTACTTTCGGACAATCAGGTGATTCAGGCCTGCAATGTTCTAACCAAACTGGGAAAAACTCACAAAGAAATATTTGAGAGTGTCCCCACCGGGAATCGAACCCAGTACCTTCGGATCGAGAGCTTAACGCTCTAACCACTAGGACACGGAGGCAGTTAATTTAATTAGTTAGTTTACTCTAAATACCCATTCATTATTTTTGTAAGGAATGCGCCCATTTTGCGCCAGTCATTATTGCTATTTTTATATGCTTCACAAAATTAGATTAGTTGCTTCCCTCTAAGTGCTGTTCAAAATTGTATTTAATATGCGTCACTCATTGCAGCTTATATGATTATTATGCTAATAAAAAATAATTACAGCCGTCCAGAATGTAAAAAATTGTCGATTGATTTGATATTGTTTGCTAGCCATGGTCTGCTGACCAATCATATATTTCAACTGACAGAATATATTTTTCTGCAATATTTTCTAGCAAAAAAGTGAATACTATGCTAACCCGTTAAATAACACCCATAATGAAATTAACATTCATACATATTATTTTATCGAATTAAAGTTCTATGCTTATATTTTAAAATCGGTGAACAGTTAACCGAACAGAAGCGAAACAGATATGCGGAGACCAAAGAGCGTACTTTTAGGCACTCAGCTATGCTATTTAGTAAAATCACAGCCTCGAAATCGACGTCGTCACAGCATAGAGCTTCAATGAAATAAAACCTTTATTATCTTTTCAAGTAGGTTTTATTTGAATGAACCTTTATGCTGTGACAATTATAATATAGTTGGACTTCGTGGCTGATTTTATTAAAGAATAGCACTGCAGTTCACCTTATCTTTTTTTAAACGTAAGGGATTGTTTTATGAACTGTCCCCACCAGGGGGTGTGGGACTCTCCACCCGCACGGACCCTCCAGAAGGTAAGTCGAAAGGCGGGTGGCATACCCACTAAGTGCCCTCCATGCACACTCTCAATTTCGGAGGAAAGGCCTGGAATTAAGCAAGGAGTGGTCCACACATAACCCCCGACACCTTGCATCCCCGGCAGGGCATCTAACGTACATGTATAGATGTTTAAATTTCAATTACTCGGCCGCTATTGATTATAATATTCAGTTAATATTTTCTTTATATTCTATTGATTACTTTCTCTATATTTTTCCAGACTCTACATTTGGATTGCCATGGTACCTAAAACTCTATTGGGCATCATACAACATCGGATTAACAGCCGCCTTCTTAATCACCGTTTTTTATTACTCATTTCTATATGAACTAGGTACGTAAAGTCCTTCACACAAAAAAAAGTATATATTATTCTTAATTTATTATTTAATTTAAGAATATGGCGTGTTTTTCTGAGTAAACATTGTTTATTTTTAGTTGCAAGTCAATCATAATCTTGATTTAAAGCAAACGCAAAACCAAGGGTTAATTCAACTACAATACTGACATGATATGCATTTTAAAGTTAATAAACCTCATTCGATTAAAACTTATTTAAAGTCTTAAGAAGATTGCCTGAGCCTTCTCTAGATGGTTAGATATATGTTACTGTACTGATGTTTCTTTTTTTATTTTAAATTCTCTAATAATTAAGTATGTTATATAACTTATTTTTAAGCTTGTTCTATGTACGCACATACTTACCTTATATAAATCTGCTGACTCCAGGAAATATTACTTTTATCTGCATTGTCTCAGAATTATTAATTCCAAGAGATCGTAGTTTTAAACATACAGCAAGAAACACTACGAGTATAAAAAACAATAAAATATTGCAGTTTTAGAGTCGGAGATGGAATCTAATCCCATTACCGATCTTTTGACTCACGGCATCAACTCAGTAGTTATGTTCCTACTATTGATAACGTCGATGCAGCCCTCGCACGTCCTGCATTGCGTGTACCCCATCGCTGTTCTGACAGTCTACAGCATCTTCAATGTCATCTACTACTACGCTGGAGGAGAAAATCAGTAAGCTTCTTAATTCTTCGTCATAAATCTAACGGGTCATCAACACTGAAGTTATTTCTTATAGTCAAACTGAAAGTCAAAACTGTTTTTAGTCCATTTTTTCTATCATTCATTCGCGACTTATTTTAACTCTGGAGAAAAATAGATATAAGAGACTTCATAACATTTTCGAAACAACATGGTGTAACATTATTGTTATTAATTAGTCACGAAAGGCATTCCCGCACACGAAACATGACGAACTCGAGAATGTTTTGTCTACACTCAAATGTTACTTTTCACGGGTGCGCCCATACGATATCTCACTCTCGACGCGAAAAATTGACATTTGGGTGTAGACAAAGCGTCTTTCGAGTTTGTCATGCTACACGTGCTGGTTTATTAAACGCTGCTTACGGTACGCGCCACGAAAGTAAACCCAAATGCAGGACTTAAGTGTAGTTTTATTATAACTTAAATAGAAGTTATTTATTGGTTCGTAGATTACTCGTTTTCCTTTCAAAGCTTTTTTCAAGGAAGACTTATTTCTTATTTAAATTTTTAATTTCTTCATAACGTCAAAAACATCAATTAATAAATGTAACATATATATATAATTGTAAACATTTTATCTTTTTTTAATACAATAAAATCTTTATTCGCTGTTGTATTTTTCGCGGGTGCATAAAATTACTACATCTAAGTATATGTTGTTTTAAACTTTCATGGTAATTAACAACATAATGATTGCTAAAAACGGAATTACTACCATGTACCTTATATTTCAATTAGTTTCTTCAGCTACTCCGTGATCATGGCGCCTGCAATTATCGGGAAGTTATGAAATATAAGGTGTACATGATAGCAATCACGTTTTTAACAATAAACGCATCACCTTTATTTTATTGACTGCCAAAAGAATTTATTCTCGGATGCAATCAGTACCTCCGATATTATTATCGTTTATTTATACCTTGGGCACAAATGGAGGCTGCTTTTTAAAAAACTACCTGTATTCCCTCAATTTTACGGATATACAGGTAGTTCTTTTTGTTTTTTTTTATCTAATCTCGTAGATAAAAGAATTTTGCGTCGGTCCAGTAGTTGCTGAGTCCATGCAAACAAACAAACATATTGTTTAAAAAGAAACATTGATTAAAAACAAACAACAAACAAACATTTATTAAAAACTTTCGTCTTTATATTATTGGTATAAATGGACTAGGAGTAGCTCGGTGACGTAGTGGATAAGCGCCGCGGCCCGCGCTCTTTGTTGTTAAGCAACTTTTGTAAGCGTCGGTCACGGGATGAGTGACCAAAAATATTACTATCTCGAGCTATGTGCTTCGTAGGGCACGTTAAGCCGATGGTCCCGGTTGTTTTACAGTCGTTAATACGCATATGCATACGCACTGGGCCAGCATGAAAGATCATGACCCATCCTCCTTAACCATCCATAAAGAAGGTCCCTCCGAAGAAGCTGCTGCGGCTGAAAATGAAAAAGAACATGAGAAATGTACTAGGTATTGTTAATTAACCATTCAGGAATTACTTAATTCGCTTAATGATTTAACGGAAACCGATTTGGGAAACACTTCATCGAACTAATATAATAGCATTAAAATTAAGAAATCTGTCTCCCTTGCTCAGATTGTTTAAGTTCATTTACTGTACTTTATGAATTCTTTATTGAATAATGACATTTTGACATACACAGAGAGTGTATATTGAGTACTTGAAGTTGCGTTGGCTGTTTATTTACAGCGACAGATTCTCATTATATATTATTTTTGTTTCAGTCTAGGTGACCGATTCATATATCCAATGCTTGACTGGTCGAACCCTGGATTGGCTACTGGAGTCCTCTTTGGATGCCTGGCTGGTGTAATAATACTACACGTAGTCATAGTACTCGTCAGTCTACTTCGAGACTACCTGTCTAAGAGATATGTACGAAATATATATAGCTTATCAATCACAGCATAATTAATAAACTATCTCACCTACTTGCTACATTATGAAATTAACTCTAAAATATAGGTACGGATGAGATACAGATATATTGCATCCGGAATAAAAAAAAATGTGTAAACACATAATATAATACCAATATACTTGCACACAATAAAACAAAAAACAAAAAAGTTATAGAGAATTACAAAAAAAGAGTATGCAGAAGGCGGCCTTATTACTAAGCAGCAATCCCTTCCAGACAACCTAAGAAGGACAAAAAATTTAAATGATAAAGATTATATGAGGTATTGGGTGCAACGATAAGAAGGATACAATATATATCATTATAAAAACTATATATATAAGGAGATAGAATTATGATAAGGAAAGGAAATGGCTCTTAACTTTATCGTCAAAAGAACTTAGTGAGCGAGATTTCCTGACATCCTCCGGAAGTGAGTTCCATAACCCTACAGCATATACAGAAAAGAAATAGGAGAAAAAGACGGTAGAATGACGAGGAATGTCTAAAGCGAGATTAGAAGATGATCGCAGGATAAACTGATATATATATATATTTGAAATAAATAAAAATACTTACCTGTAAGTAATCGAATAACGTTGTGCGTATTGTAATTATAAAACCAGAGATACCACTGTACCAGAGAGACTTTACTGTAATAGAATAAATACTATTAATACATGTTTAATTCCCGATTGAGTTTTGACAACGTACGAAGAGCCAACTAGATTAATGTTGTGTCTTTTTCAAAATAAAATAAATCCAACGTGTATTCAATAAAATACTATATTTCTTAGTCTAAATCTTTCACGACACAAGATTCTCATCTGTTTTGTGAAGATTTGTTTCTCTACATTTCCTTAAGAATTAATCGAGTAAGTAAAATTTTATTATAAACATTGTAAATAAACATAATCTACATTCGTATGTTTATTTGCGGGATTGCAACAATGTACCTTATTTATATTGAATCTTCGATATTTACGAAGTAATTGCGTGATCATGGTTTTTGCAACAGCGCCTAAATATTGAGAACTCAATAAAAACCCGGTACATATTAGTAAATATTACTCCAATGTTAACCATAAAATTTTGATATAAATATAAAGATTTTAAAACAGCATTTTGTTAATAATTCCGAAAAGTTTCTTAAGCATAGAGTCATGAGTAAGAGTGGTAAAATGGAACTGAACCTACTTCATTTCTGAAGGTCGTGCCCGTCTTGAAATGGGTCGGCAAAAAAACTGTGTAATTAAGACTGTTGCCGTTTGACATAATCAAGAAGTTTATATATTTTACACAATCATAGATCATAGAGTTTTTTTTATTGTTATAGATTCAATAAAAATCATATAAATTACTTAGAACGCATAGAGAAAAAAATATATAAATTAAATTATAATCTCGAGTTTTCCTTCATTTCATTTTCATTTTACATGTAGAAATTAATTTATTTTAATTTAACTTTATTTATTTATTTTTATTTAATCACTTGACATTGGTAGAATCGTGCGAAACGAAAATAAGCCATTATTAAAAGAAGAAGAAGAATTATAATGTCATAAATCATACTTTGTTTAACCTATAACATTTATTTTCAATAAAACTTACAATTTGAATTCATTATGATAGTATTTCGACGCAGTCGTCTAGTAATCGTAAGTAACACGCCAAAATGTCGTGCTTTAAATTATAACGCTTCAAAGTCGTTGAGCTTCAAACCACTTCAATGGCATTTGCTAAGCTGTGTCAAAAATTGTTTTCAACTTTAATTATCGATTTTCACTTTGAATATCTGGGAGTTTTTAGAAAAATCGAAGAAGAAGAAGCAGATTCCCGAAAACCTGCTTGAAGCTGATTTCTTCAATTCTACAGTCTCCAGTTATTCCAGGTACCTGTAGGAACTGAACAATTAGGTTAGAATTGTAAATATCTTTAAAGTTTCTTTTGAGAAAATTCCAAATTTCCATCCGTCTGCGAAAATTATTTGTATTTTCGTTTCAAGGTTACCTGTGATCACCAAATTATTAACTTACTTTAGAAATTGATATTAACTCACATTTTATATTCATATTTTCCACATACAAGCAAGCTAAAGAATCTGACAATTTTCATCTTATAATTTCCCAAAAGAATGATAAATCAAACTATCCTTTAGATAATATTTTTCGACTAGTCTCAATAATATTCTCAAAATTAATTTTGATTATGGTCGTTACAGTAAAAATCCAAAAAGAGAACCAAGGTCAATACCAGTGTACAGTTTTGGCACAACACGCCCTCGATAAAAGTAGTAATTCCAACTGATAACGATTTCCAATCAGTACTTGCGATAACAGAAATGTCCGAGTTCTGAACTAGCGAACATCATGACCACGATCAAGAAGTATTTCAAAGAAGAACTGCAATGGAGAAATTTAAATTTGGAACATTCGCGGCCGGCTGACTTCTACCTGAGCGTTTGGCAGTCGAACCGCTCCACGGCGCCACTCTTAGTGCTGCGGACGTTGCTCTTTCTAGCATCTCTAGGGATCACTGTGACGTCCATTGTGTTATATATTATTAATAGCTGGGTTGGATTTTGGTGGATCTACCTTACTCATTGGGGACTCTCTGTTTTAACGCTAGCTACTGGATTCTCAGTTGCAATATCAGCACGTTGTTACTTCTACGGGCCGATTAGTGAGTATTACTTTTTTTTATGTAACGAAATTTTAATTTTAAAACGATCTAAATGTCTCAGAATTCTAAGTAGACAACTATGTCATTACCCTTTTTATTTACGTAACTTAAACGTTAAACTTGTGATCAGTTAAGTCCGTACCGGTGAGATATGCACCTTTATCTGCATGACCTACTTTTATCCGATTCGATGTCGGTAAATAACGTTTTAATATTATAAGGAGGTAAGATTTGGTTTTTTGTTTGTATTTAATAGACGCCAAACACACTAGACCAATTTTAAAAATTCTTTCATCTACGGGAAGCTTCATCATACGCAAGTGTTATTGATATAATCGTTTATCCCACTAAATGATTATTATCTATACTTATATTATAAAGAGGAAAGATTTGTTTGTTTGCATCGAATAGGTACCCAAACTACTGCATCTTTAAAAGTTCTTTCATACGGGGTTGACATAGGTAGTCGCGAAAAAATAGCTAGTTTACTATATTTACCCATCTCACATAAAGTTTTCTACGCTTTTTAGGATTCCGTACACAAAGGGTAAAACGGATACCCTATTACTAAGACTTCACAGTCTGTCTGTCTGTCATCAGGCTGTACCTAATGAGCAGTGAAAGTTATACAGTTAAAATATTTCTATTGGCACTTCAACAACGAATACTAAAAATCAAAATAAAATAAATATTTAAGGCTGTTCCCATACAAAAAGCGTGATTTTTTTTGCTCGTTTCCGGCACGCAACCTTTCGTGCGCGAGTATGACTTCCACTTGGCCGGTTTTTTTATTTAGGGGAAACTATAACATAAGCGGGTAATATACTCTATAATAAATTACTCGAGCAAAGCCCCGGGATAACAGCAATGCTACACGAAAAGAGTGCCGTGACCCATAATTTAGAAACATTTAAAATTTATTTTTCATTATACAGGTGGTGAATATAGATTGCCGTGGTATATCAAAGTGTACTGGGTGCTGTTCAATATTGCAGTACCATTATCATTCCTCATTACATTATTTTATTGGACAGTACTATTTGAAGGTAATGTCATTTCCTAAATAATTTTGACATATCTATTCCTTACGAATGTTCCAATTATAATGCTAATACAAATTTTTATCTCGCTGCTTGTCCCACAAGGTCCTGTATGACATATAAAACTTCCTTTTGAATTACTTTTTATATTGATGTAATCCGCGTTAAAATATTAAATAAGACATCAGGACGCGACTATATCTTATAGTCTTTATAGACGTTGGTACTTATATTCTTTATGAAAATCATTAAAAAAACACCTTGTCCCTGGCACCCTGAGATATTTTAAGCATTTTTTGTTGAAATTAACCTACATTCGATTCAAATAGGGGTATATATATCGGCCAGAGTTTTGAATGACTGAGAACTATAATGAATGAACAAAAATTTTGACAAGAAAATACAAAGAACAAATAATATAAAGAATTAAAAAATATTTAATTGGGTGCATGTACTCTACAGAATTACTAACTACTACCTACCTAAATGTATATACTTAACTTATTAGTAATTTGTTGTTCAATTCAATTCTTAGGTAGGTTACAATACTAAATGTATGCCAAAAGAGTGTCATTGTTCAATCCAAATTTTAATATATATAATAGGGTTGTTTATAACAAGTGAAAATACCTACAGGTTTATGTTAGGTATTTTCGGAAATAATAAATCATTGAAAAAATAAATCATTTTAACTCATAAATATTTCACAAAATAAATTTTACATTTACACTGATACACACTGATTTAGACAATACTGATTCAGAAAATATTACGTTTTGAAAAGTAGTGAAAATTATTTTACAAAAATTTGATAAAATACATGAAACATTAAATTATTTACATAAAATGTAACCACTTTCATTAAAATAACTATAGCATAATCGCACATTTAACAAAAATATTAAAAGGATGGCTCAAACACCCACATATTTTTCACAAGGCGAAAAATATTTGGGTTTTAAACATTTTTCCCGCATTTGTTAAGAGTGTTTCCGCCTTTTCGCCCAACGACCAGAAGTGCCACAAGCATGGCACCCTATCTCCGAAACCACCAAGCAGACATGCTGTTGCTTCTACATTATTTCTCAGATATAATTTATTTTTAAATTAAAATCAGTAGTCAAATAGCCCTTGTTGAAAAATCTTCATTTATTAATCTGTTTTTGTCAAAAACATGAAAAGCATAACAAACCATTGTTCTTTTTTTTTTGTCAACACATTTTCAATTTTAAAATCTTGTTTTTATTTTTTGTAGCCAATATTGAGGAAGAACTAAATCATGGACATGACGTTGCTGTGCACGGGTTGAACTCTTTGATAATGTTCATTCTGCTGATAACGTCTTCGCATCCAAGCCGCATACTGCACATCTACCAGCCACTAGTCTTTGCTGTTGTCTACTTCCTGTTCACACTGTTCTATTACTTAGGCGGAGGCGTAAACAGGTAAACATTCAAATATATAGCTTTAAAAAGCTTCATTAGAATTAAATGAAATGGAAACCGGTGGAGTACTGAAAATCCAACAACAGGTTTGCATTACATTGTTCTAGTTAAATTTTTACCGCTCCAGTGATGAATAATACTGACCCGTATTATCAGTGTGACTGCTGAATATTTTAAGTATTCTTATGAAAGATTTGAGCAAAGTTTGTTATTTAATTATTTAAATATCGAATATGTTTTTTTTAATGACCTATAATTTAATTACAATGTTAGATATCATATGGTAGCTCATGGCATGCATCTATATTGTTTTCAATATTAGCAGCGACTTGTAAAAAATAATTTATAACTATTAAATTATTACACTTAAAACCTCTCATAAAATCATTTATCGGATGTTAGTATTGTACCTACTATATTTACGGCCTACACGCGTAGCATGACGAACTCGAGAACATTTTGTCTACACTCAAACGTCACTTTTCTCGGGTGCGTCCATATCTCACTCTCGACCCGAGAAACTGACAAATGAGTGTAGACAAAGCGTTTCTCGAGTTTGTCATGCTACGCGTGCTGCTTACTATAAATCATTGAAGAAATGTATAGGTAGTAGGCAAAAATATTACATTTTCAATACCAAAATATAACATTAATTATTCATGAATGAAAGTGTCTAGTACGTTAACTGTTGAATAATGCGACAGTTTAAACAGGTAGCTTATTTGAAATTATGAATTTTATTAAGAGCTAGTAAGTTTCTCTCGCTCGTTAATAATCTTCTCCTTAGTGAAGGAAAAACAAAATGCTTTAAATTTGTACTCGTTCGTAAAAATATTAGTTTTTTTTTATATAAAAAGTGATGTACACACAAATTTAATACAATAAATAAAAATAAATTAACGGTGCCTGTCACTAGACTGCAAAAAGTTAATAACTCATTCAAGGGTCTTTGTGTGCGCTTCTACAATAACGTCCCAAGCAAAATACAACAATTAGATATCATGCAGTTTAAATCTACTATTAAAAAATACTTATTAAAAAAGCTTATTACAAGGTATCCGATTATATAACAGATAAGAACCCTTGGACTTGAGATGATCCAGCAACTGGATAGGTGAATACTTCTAAACTCATTATCTTGTTTCCATTATTATTAAATGACTATGTTATCATTATAAGACCATAGGATTTTTTTTTCTCATCTATTTATAATGTATTGATCTGGTAATGACATGGTTTTTGTAAATTAGCCTGCTGATACATTAAACCAATACTCAGATAACAGACACATATATTCTTTTAAATTGCGGACACAATTATAACTACCTTCTTGTATGTTCCAACAGAATGAACCAGTAATTTCTTTTTAGGTGAATATTCCATTTTCTTATCGAAAGTGGTACCGAAGTACAAACTTCTGTTACAAGTATTTGCCTATTCAATTTTGTAGCAATATTTCGTACCACATAACTACCACGCCATGTAGCCTGAACAAAACCTTAATCTAGTTTATCGCTTTAAGCAGAAAAGTTTATTAAACAAATCCAATATTTTTCGAGAAGTATCAAAGGCTGACTATACTATAAATATTTAAGCATAGCTATAATGAAAAATGTTATATACTACGACAAAGAACTTCTTATGATTTTTCACTGGTTAAATGTAATAAATAGGTACTATTAATAAATAAGAGCTACAACAGCACACCTTATTACAGACACATATAACTAATGAAAACAATGGTCATTGTTTTCCAATTTGTGGATAACAACCTAACGACTGTTTTCCCATTAGTTCGCTACGAAACAAAAGATAGAACACGAAGGTAGTTAGTTATTACTACTCTCTGATAACGTTTGTAAATATTCATAAGGAGGTTATAGAACTACGTGCAGTAAAAGGTATAGTAGTTCATACAAAATCATTTTCATTTCTGATTTTAATCCTTTGCTAATAGAATTCAAAATCGATTTTTAAACTTCAGCAATTGCGCTAACTTAGTGAGCTGCTATATGTACCTATAAGTGTTTAGTAGCTTAGTTTAAACATTATAATAACATATCAGTACAGTTGTTTGAAAAATAGCTAACTACAATATCACCAATATGTAGGTACTGGATTTATATAAACGAAGAAATTGTTTTCCTCTTCGTGTATTTTAAGATGTGACCTCACCATATTATTTATTCTTAATGACTGGCAATAGATGGCGCTAGTTTCCGAATTAGAAACAAATCCGATTTCATCACCACACGCAAAAGATACATCATTTCACTTAATGCTCTTTTCAGAGATTATTTCAGAACAAATAAAGCAGTTCACGATCAAATCGAAAAATGGCAAATCCAATGTGTCAAAATCATTAATTCGTTTTTTATCTAAAGTATACGTGTTCCGTGCTTATGACACAATAATATTGATGGAAGGACTGTGTATTTTCCCTATTAAATTCTCCTGACTTTAAAAAGTCGATAATGTCGGAACTATATTTAGCTGTCCCGCTCCACTCCGCATGGATCGGTTTCATTATATTTAGTATGGGAGTGATTATACAATCAAAGTCCCGATTTAGAGTATATCTGTATATATAAAAGGTAAACCTGACTGACCTATTTAACAACGGACAAGCGAAATTTCTGTACCTAGAAACTTGATTTGGTACAGATGTTCCTATCGTGATGTGAGCACTGAGTAAGAAAGGATTTTTAGAAATACAACTCCTAAAACCCAGTTGCATAAACTTTCATTAAAATTGTCAATAGTTTAAAGCGACATTACCGATACAATTTTTCAAATTTTGAACATTCATAAGCGCTTAAAGTTGTCATTAAATTTAATGGACTTTTGTGCAACTGGGCGAGAGTGAAATAGGGGGTGAAGTTTTGTATAACATAAAACCACGCGGGCGAAGCCGCTTTCGGAAAACTGTGAATTGAATAGATTTATTTATTAAGTGAACATACTAAATATGATTCCTTAAATTTAAATTAAAACTAATGAAACCCTGACGGACGTACCACCGTTTCACTTAGTATCACCATAGACTAACCCTGACCATTGATCTTATTCCAGAGATGGCCAACCATTCGTGTATCCTGTGTTAAACTGGAATAAAGCCGGACAGACAGTCGGTGTGGGTGTTGTTACTGGACTACTGCTGATTCTGTTGTATATCTTGGTGGTCAGCATAGCGCTGGCACGGGACGCGGTCTCTAGGAGATTTGTCAAACCTAGGACCAGTGAACCGCCTGAAGCTGTGCCATTGAGACAACAAGGACAATCCGCTGTGTAAATTATGATATCTCGAATACTTTTTTATTAACTAACATTATTAATTAACATTATATTATTGGTCAGAAATTTTAAATTATTAAAAGTTAAAACGCCTATTTATATAAGTATGAAATACTTAAGAAAGATATTGTCGTTGTGTCGTCGTGAAATACTAAAAAATGATATTAATGTTATTTTGGATGGAATGTTTAAACAACTATTCCTCTTTATTTAATAAATAAATAAAATTAATAAATAATATATAACGTAATTTGTAAAATGAGTTTTGAATTGAATTACTGAACCATTAAAAAATACACAGCGTCTACAGCAAGCAAATATTGAAACAATTTTTTGTGCCTTTTTTTTCAATAAGTCTAATGTATTTAAATATTGTAGGTTAGCAGTGTCACTTTAACCGTCTCTCTAAATAAGTACATTCGACATAATAAAATTGTATTTACTTCGAAAGTAGGAAGATAGAATGGTTTACCAAATATAACATCTCATGCTTTGGTTGTGTACAAAGAAATATCGTCCAAATACATAAAAATCAATAATTTACCTGTAAAATTCTCAATTATTCCAAATAAAGAATTTACTTTAAATTCTTAATTCATAAACTGGGTGTAAGAAAAAAATGGCAAAATTGAGAATTTTAGAGGTATATAATTATTGATCTCAGACCTTACTTAAACCGTCTTAAACGTCACCTAAACAGGTTTTCGTTTCGGATTTTAAACTTTAATAAAAATAGGACTTTTTGTTACGTGAAACGTAAAAAACTTAATTTATTGAGAACAATCAGTTGAGATTTTGCGCTTTTTTAAATCAGAAACCGGTTGTAAGTGTATACCATCTACCTTTTTATAGGGTAATTTGATAAATATGTGTCATTTAGGGAAATGAAATAGTTTGCATCTAATTAATTCAAATAGTTGTGTTAATATTCAACCAAAACTAAAATAAGCTAAGTGATATTTAAAATAATTTTTACGCGCTTGTGTGTGTCTGTATTTTGAATTCTTTTATTTAAGTATTTGTTAGTTTTATTTTTTATTATTTCGATTGTAGGCAAAGTGAACATGTAATGTAAAAAATTAATAACTTATTTATATCAAATTGATATTAAATGTCGGTTAACTTTTAATTAGTAGTAGTCATTATAAAGAATACAGATTTTTTTCTGAGTAATTGAGTTTTTTTCCCTTTTAATTATAAAATAGCACTAAAGTAGTCAAAACTCCAGTTTTATTGTTTTAATTACAAACTGTAAAATCCCTTCAATCAAATGAGTTTTTATAAAACTTACTTTTCAAGCTGTTGCAACTGTTTTTGCTTTAAGAGCAAATAATTTTCATAATTATTTCTTCAATATTTCCCTGGTATTGAACGGTTCTTTTAACGGTAGCAAAGAGTTTGAACGAAAGATATTAAATTTCGATACAGTTATGCCTTAATTTGTTTAAGATTACGTAAACTATAGTGAAAAGTGAATGGTTAGAATAGCAAATCGATTTGATAATTATTACCAATTCGTATTATGAATTCGTCTTAGACAACAAAATCGATTAGTCCTATGTATAAGGCAAAGAGTAAAAGTATATATACATAAATCTTTGATCAAAGGGTGTAATATTGTTATGTTCCAGGACTTCGTGAGGTGGATAACTTAAATGTACTGAACAACTTTTACTATGATAGCAACACTGATGTCACGAAAAAAATATCAGCTGTTTCATACAAAATTTTAATACCTACAATCGCCAGCAGTATGAAACAGTTGATTATTTTTTCGTGAATTCCCACGACCCCACGATGTCCTGGCACATAATGATATTACACATTATATATACCATTAGTCCATCTAATTGCCTCTGATAGAATTTAGTATTAGAGCTTTGTAATGATGTAAACATGCTTTTGAAGAAGCAAAGGAGCAGTGATCTAAAACGCCATGGATTTATTAGTTTTATAGATGGTTTTTATTGGCGGTATTTTAGTTGAACAATTCACATATATCTTGCTCCACAATTCCAATAACAAAATTACATGTGATAAAGAGAAATAATAATCAGGCCCGTCTTAAGACAACAAACGCCTGGGTGCAAGAATTACAGGGAAAAGTGTATGTGTAAAAAAATATTTTTCTTTATATTAAAAAAAAAACAAAAATTGATAGATATTTCAAGACTCGTTGTTCAGCGTCAGCGGTTGAAAAATATAAAAAATATTGAAATAAAATTACAACTTTGGGGCATGTTTGCCCCAAAGATGCAATCCTCTTTCCGTCATGAACAATGGCTTGTCCAGTGCCGGGTTTTTCTGAAGGAGTCGGTGTTTTGAAGGGAAAATAATATTAAAATGGAATTTCATCGGTAAGCAAACGTCGACCGCTAGTCGACGTGGCTCCTCCCCCCCAACGACTCAAAATACGCCGGAATGGTGAGTGCGTCATTACCTACCTAAGAATGCACGGACAAGTTTTAGGGTGACAAAATAAAGGTGTATGTTAACGTTGTTCAAGCTGACTATGTAATAACCCTATTGACGAAGATACCTTGTATAGTATACCAGAATCTGATGGCACAAAAACAAAAGAAACAATCTTGATTTTCATATGGCAATGTCAATTGTCAACTATTGATAACTATTATGTCAAAGTGTAAATTGTTATGAATATTTGCGAAATTATCAATTTATTTTGAGAAAGGACATTTATTGTCATTCATTGTCTATACATCGATAGCCCCAAAGCGCAATAGAAATAAAAACATATTGTCATATTTGGAATCACTAGTAAATTATTCAATCATATTATTACGCAAAAAATGTATTACTTTTTGAGGTTATAATTTGTTTGGAAAACCACCAAGAGATGGCACTCTAAGTACATGTGATTGATGCCTATATTGTCGAAGAAAAAAAACTCAACTTCAAGTCGGGTTTTCGTCGTGACGTGTAAAAGTTTCTAAGTCAATAGAAAAGTAAATCATTCTAATATTTAAATAATTATGCCCATTGATAAGCTTCAAATTAAAATACTTAATATGAAATGAAATGAAATTTAAATATCTTTATTTATTTAAGTAAGCTTGTTACAAGCACTTCTGAATCGTCAAACGTCTTTTAGCTGACAAGAAGAACAAGCGAAAGAAACTTACCAGTTCTTTATCATAAGTAATGACATGTACAAAATCATGACATTACCAAAATTATATGTATTATCACAATAATAAATACAAGGTTCAAAGTCTGGTCTTAGTTTGTACATATAATTAGTCGTTATAGAACAAAGCGAAGGCTATACTTTTGGATAGCCTTTTGGATTTTTGGACTTTTGGATTTTGAATCAATTTAATTTAACGTTTTTGTGTTTAATGCTTTAAAAGTAAAGTGATAAAAATAAATAATCTTTTTGATCTGACGTGTAAATAACATCCATCTGACTCAATAGAATTTGACTATATTGAATGTGAATGTTTTTGAATAACTATGTTACTGTTAAAGCACTTTTAAATATTAATTTTGGATCGCAGCTTGTCCATATCGAATTATTATTTAATATCGATTTAATTAACAAGAAAAACTATGTTTGATCAATTTCGCATTCAGAATGCTATACTGAAAATTATTTATGAGAATACGCTCTGTAGTAAGGAAAAGTAACAAGTGCGTCAGTCCTGTTAGGTCCTGGGTAGCTCAGCAATAAACAATCCATAAAGTATGTCTTCTTTTATTTATATAAGTTAGATTCCGGGTCAAGTAAAATATTATTGAGTTTCCTCTGGCGGGTCGAGTGCTGTTCAATCAAAACATTAGATGATGGTAATATAGAGTGTACAGATGTATGTCTGTGCACTATTAAATCTTATTATGTCTCACCAGATATGTAATCTATGTTAAAATTTGCCGAGATCGTAATTTGCTTAGAATTATGTTCAATGTTATAAGGCAGTTATTGAAAAGTGTTTAACAAATTACAAATATTACAAGTATCAAGTCGTCTTCATCCTTTTTCCCAATCAATGATAATTCTGGTACACCTACACAGTAAGACAAGGAGCGGATTCCTTTCAAAAGTCTGACGGACGCATTCATAAAGCACCGAATACGAATATATACAAAAAATATAAATCTATTTCGAATAATAATCATTTCAAAGAAAGGTCGTGGTTTCCAATCCCATCTCAGGGTGCCAGTGACCAAATGGATTTTTTAATATTAAGAATAAGAAAAACTATGTTGTTCGTGAGTTTTGCTTAAATATACTCCATCTTGTAGATATTTCCTCTGAGATGTAAACACGTAAACACTCTAAAATCTATGCCTAAGAGCATTATGGGCAAGAAGTTTATATATGACTTATATAAAATATCTAATATTTCAATCTTTGATATATAGGCTATGAAATGACAGCTAGTGGCAAGGAGACAGATGTTATCATAGAGTAATTAAGAAACTACCACAAAGAGTAAAAGTATATAACTACCGTTTGATCGTTTTTTACTTTAGCCACCTAGTATTTGCAGATATTAATTAAAGTTTGTGAAAAATCGTGTTTAGAACTTCCTTGGAAGCAGCTGAGCGAAAAATAAAAAAATAACCTTATTACCTCATTTTATGAAACCGAGTTAAAATTAGGCTACTTTGAAAGAAGTCCAAAATCTAAAAAACTCATGGTATGTTTTCGTGTGGTGACTACACGAAGACACGATTAATAAATTCCGTCTGTAGTGCAACATGTTTATGAAATAACCAATGTTAAATGAAAATGTATCTAACGTAAGTAATTTATATTTATAGTCAAATAAAAATTAAAATTCTCTTTACCCAAATAAGTAGAAAAATATTTGTAGCTGTTTTGATTAGATACTTTATCTTTTTATTTTTTCTTTAGGATCTATTTCATTGATTTACTACCTTGTGTTTTCATAAGTTTTAGGACAAAATGAAAGTTGCATAACTAATTAACTTATATTTCAAAAAATTTCAGTAACCATTAAATAGATAAACAACAGTAAAATATATATTTATTCAAAATGACCGACCTTGTTTTGAATATAGGCTCTTAGACGATTTGACCAGTCATCTATGGCGGCACGAATCTTTTCTAGCGGAATTCGATTTGCTTCTCGAACAACGGTTCGCTTCAGTGACTCCAAGTTTGGGTGGGACTTTCGGCAGGCCCTTCAGTCAAAAAGAATAATCCAGTGGGTTGAGGTCGGGGCTGGAGGAGGGCCGATCGTCCGCCGCAATGAAGGCCGGCACATTCTCCCTCAACCAAGCTTGGGTGCTTTTTGCCTTATGGGATGGCGCCGATACTTGCTGAAAAACGCAATCTGAAGATCGGAATCGGAAGATGAATGCGCGAGACATTCTGTGCAGAAGCTGGGACATCCTTGCTAGTTTTAGCGTACACTTTATTGTTTTGTTGCTTGAACTTTTCTTCGACAATAAAAATATTGTCGTCGGTGAAGAGTATCTTCCTGGCATCATGTCTCCTCAGTAGTAATGGACAACGTTCACGTCGTAACTTACGAAGACGATCGCTTAAAAAGTGAACTTTTCTACGGCTTTTACCTTAAGATCATATTTCAGTATTCTATTCACTGAAACGCGCGAAATTTTAGTCTGCAGAGTGAGTTTCTTCTGAGTGCAACATGGATTTCGGCGAAGTTCGCAGGCGTCCTCATAGAGCGTGGTCGATCACTCCTTTGACGATCTTGCAGAGAACTTGTCTCATTGTACCGCTGTATTGAGTAATAGACCTTACAAGAAAACTTTTCAGCTCGCGGAAAATCTACATCGGTTTTTTTCCCCGCCTTAAATAGCGAAATGACAGTTGCACGTAATTATTTCGTTCCCTCCAAAACGAGAAATTATAAACAAATAAATTTGCGATACAAGTAAACTAAAAGTTAACATTTTATTTTATTATTTTACAGTAAGTAGTTTATCTGAAAACTTATAAACACACGAGATATAATGATATATTCAAAACCTTTTTGCTTTAAGAATGGACACAGCTATATAATTAATTTTCCTTTGTATTAATTCATAGGTACTTTATTATAAATACCAAAAAAAAAGACTTGACAATGATAGCATATTATGTGGTATAATCAGCCGACGAATTAGGTGGCTTGGCTGACTTTCGATCGGCCGAGTAGTAGAACGTAACGTTCTGTAATACGATTGAACGAAAATCAGCCGACTAATTAACTGTCAATTAATCGAGAATACCGAAATTTATTGGTAGCATTAGAAATAAACCATAATAAATGTTGTGGGTGATTTTATTTAAAACTCAAAAACTCCTTGTTATGTAATGAATACAGGACTGACTGATTAAAAAGTTAAAAACAAACTGCTTATTCGCAACTGGGTATTAATGGTCCGTATGATCCAATATAGGAAGCTAACGTACGTACCCATTACGCAAGTGGGTTAAGCTTAAACTTTCATCATAAATTCTTAATACTAATACAATTAAACGATGACAAGTTATACCGCGATTCAGAACCCACAGCGTCATCTATCGAAATGAGAGTAAGCAATGGATTTGATTGTTTTAGTATTATTTTACACTAGCTTTCACCAGCGGCTTCGCCCGCGTGGTCCCTAAGGGAATGTTTAGTGGGATTAAAATCCTATTAAGTCAGCTAATAATCCTAAGTCAGCTAATATCCTATCTGTATACCAAATTTCATGAAAATCCATTCATTAATTTCGGCGTGATTGACCGACAAACATCCAAATAAAAAACTTTCACATTTATAATATTAATAGGATTTCGAAACTTTTTTGCTACTATAGTTAATAACAACATAAAATAATAAACAACAGAGTTATTTTGGTCCTGTAGGACATGTGTTAGGTTAGAAATTTTGAGGTTAACTATAACAGAGAAAAAACTAAATCAACGGGATGGCGACTTTTAAATCAGCCGTCTTTTTGAACGGTTCATATATCGGAATGATTCAACTAGAAAACTAGGCGTGCAATTGAATAGCGCCATTCAATTAAATGGCTAGTCGGAAAATTGAACGAGTGGATACGATAAATAAACATTGCAATCCAACCTCGCCAGGCACACCTCGCAATGTGGAGACGTGTTTGTGGAGAAGTTAATGCCTCAAGACTATAACTCTGTCAAACCTTTCGAGCAGCCTCTCAATGTGGCACAGTTCTTCAGAAACCTTTGAATATACTCATTAATTTTAGATAGAAACATTAATTTTACTGAAAAAAAAAACTATTAATAAATTGAATAGCCTATTAATAAAGGCTCATTTGTTTTTCGTCTTAAGATGCGCTCAATTTCATAATGGCGGAACAAACAAATTATCAAAAGTTTCATAATTAAGTTGACCTAAAGTAAAACCTTGATACATGTAGCAACACATTCTGCAAAGGCACGTATTATACGCAAAACACCAAGCCTGATTGAGAAAACGTCAAAACAATTACATAAGTAACAATGTTTACGCAAGTTTAACGAAATAGCGAGTCCGACGTGCGATGCAGCCAGTCGTCCCGCGCGGCTCCACTCACCACGGTGCGCCTGCGACTGTGATTGCTTAATCATTGTTTTACTCGCTTCGATAAATAATAACAAATCCCAAGATAAAAATGGTGCGTGATGAATACAGAGCGTGGTGTCAATCAACCAAACTGTCGAAAAAAAATACCACACTAGATTAGTCATCTGAGATAGGGCATCGTAGATAACCGGTACTCTCCTTGCGTTCAATCGATTCCTCTTCAGATCGTATTACGAAAAGGTGTTATCGCTGAATCATTCAAGTGCCCTGGCTGGAGTGACAATATGGTGAAACTTTTTAGGAACAATTTATCAGTGTCGGATGTCTGGGTGTCTTCGAATGACAAGTTGAGTGACTTTTACGCTTCATCATGGCAGCGGGGCGAATCGCCGGTGCCTATGCTGGTGATACGGCTGGTGTTGGCTGCGGTGGCGACGGGCCTGTTGATATGGTCCCTGGTGGAAGGAGCATCGCCATATTGGCTCATATACCTTACGAACTGGGGCCTACTTCTCGTCACTATGATGACAACCAGTGGATTGTTAGTGTCAATCATAGCAATCTGTGCAAAACCGGGTCAGTAAGTATACGTATAAAAAAGATTATTCATTAAACTACCAGTCAAAGATATGGAAAAAGCAATAAAAATGTTATGATACTTTTTACTATAAAATATTAAAGAATTAAATCTAAATTTCTTGTTACACCATAAAAACACGTATTACTTATTACTAAAGTTAAGCTCAAATTAATAGTTTAACTTATGTTATTCAAATATTAATTTATACTTTTGAGTATGTAACGAGTTCCAGTTAACCTTTGAAATGCGATAATCAAGAATGGAATATTTTGAAATGAAGAACGATATCACCGCCTGCTACTTTTTTGCATAAATAATTTCATAATTAAGTTTAATTTTGTGTTTTTTAAACAAATACAATATGCAATGAAGACTAAAATATACACAAAAGCATATTGATTTATGTACAGGCAAAAGTACATTGACGCATAAAATGAAACCGGTTACCATTTTGAAATTAAAGTTACACATTACTAAAATAGATAATTGGTTATTTATTAAAAACAAATCAAAGAATGTGTTAGTTATATAGTTGTTTGAAGAATATTTGGATGTAAGTGGAATTACCATTACTTTATTTAAGATTTTGTGGTAGATAACATTTAATTACAAAAATTCCCATTACCAACTTCCAGTTCTGCATTATCAGACCTTAGACAGACCCAGAAAATCTGTATTTAGAAAATTAAACGAGTCGATACTCGATGAGATTAATAGAGTCTACACTGCGGCATGAATCAGCTCAACCCATAATCGGGTAGTGAGTCTTTGTTTAGTATTTACAAGATTAACTTTACTCAATAAAGACAGACAGACCGTTAAATTATACAAAATCTCACATTTCTCCATTCTTATGTTTGTGAACATAGGTAATTATTTGATCTTAGCCAGCGACGGATTGATACTCGTAAATTTCAGACTAAGATACCTATATGAATTAGATAGGTATTATTATCAGTGGTGGGTTATCTAGGGAGGAGAGGGGCTATCCACCCCGAGGCTCTTGTCCTGGGAAGCCTCCAAATGGCTACAAGTCCCCTCGATCAAATCATAAATTGAAGTTCGAGGCCCCATAGAGAAATAAGTATAGCCTGTAGCTGTAGTTTACATTTTAGTTATTACTTTTGCTGCCTAATCTTTCTTACGTCCCGTTTCGTAGTTTTCATTAACTTTACTGCCCTAGTCGGCAGGTTGTCGGTCCGGGTCTGATGTCTTCCTGGGCCCCCAATGGGGTTAGTCCGCCACTGATTATTATTATACTTATTAGATTAGTCTTTCATTCACCATGCTATATTGTATAATAAAAAAACAAATAGATTGTGTAAACATTGATGGGTGATACGCTTATTTTCAACGAAAGTACCTAACAATGATTAATAAATTCGACAGTCTCACAAGGTCTCGGATAGCTCAGTTGGTTAGACGGTCTACCGTTCGCGAAAAGTTACTTTTCGAATTCCGTCTTAGGCACCTGTGGGTCTATCGTGTAATATATTTCCTTGACATTGCATTGGCTCAAAATGCACTCAACGCTCTATACTGTATTTTTAAATACAATGTGTACATTCAATAATATCGGCTTAGATCAAATGCAATCACCATTCAATACAGTTTCTGTTTTATTTTGACAATTTAACTTTTTTCGAATGAAAACTCGTAATTCTGATACCTCCTGTATATATCTATATCCCGACAAATTAAACCAAATTAAATATCTTTCGCTGACAAAAAATATATCATGATTTTAAAACTGAAACAGCTCTAGATAAGTACCTTTATATATCGCATAGGTTGCGATTACTGCAACGATGGTCCAACTATAAGGATTACGCGCCTTACCGTGGCTAGAGGCACAGTGTGCTGCTTCTGCCTTCCTTCGCGCTGTCCCTCTTCTTCTTTTTAAACTCTTCTTCCTTGTGCATTATTCTAAACTGTCCTCTGCCTCTTTCTATTTCCCGGTCGAAGTGTTGCTTGGTTGTTATTCTCCAAATCAACATTGCCAAGTGAGGGGCTTTAACCTCCCACATAAGTCTCGATGCAATCAGCGGAGAGGCTTCGTCTTGAAATTGCACACAAACCCCAATGAGCCAATATTTTCGTTTACCAATCCAGTGATTAGTTAACTATCAGACCGTATCTATCACATTATAAAGTAAAAAAAACTTTTGTGGTTTTAAAGGAAATCCAGTCACAATCAAGAAGTCAACTCAAACTTAGAACTAGGTACGAGTTGTAACCAAGCATTCTGTTAACAAAGTTCTAAGTAAGTATTATCTTTACTAAGTACTTAACTAAAATAAAACTTAATGCAACTTGTGACTGGTTCGGAAATTATGATTGTTACCGTAGTGTCATACACTTCAAGTGAGAAATGTACACAGTAAATAATGCGTGGAAACGTCCCTTGAATGAAAACCGCAATGAAATTAAAAATGGTTCTTATAAACTTAAATAACATCTACCTAGGTACTAATAAAAAAAAATTGTAAGTAATAATTGACTCTCCTGTACCTTTGCCGGTATTGATTCATTATTATTTTATATATGTTTAGGATTCCATACTAAAAAGAAAAACCAGAACCATTACAAGATTACGCATCTGTCTATTTGTCCGTCTTTACCTATATAGTTAAAAATTTTGATATTCGCGAGAATGTCTAAAACAATCTAAATTGGTATCCTCAATTTTAAGAAATACCTTCTGTTATTATCGTAAAAACCTCATATACTGACTAAAATCACTCATCGATATCTATCAGTCAGTCTATCTGACAGACGAGAAATATATTTTTTACTATTTACGTTTATTTTTGTTTCGTGACTGACTGGCTACATATGAAAGGTTGAAGCTACACAGTAATCATACTACACACCCGATAATTTTCGTCTTTGTCGTTTATTAACGAAGAAACCTTGCAGTTCCGAAGTAGGTACTTATTTTGAACAGTACGTGAGTATCCACTACTTAATCACTTTCGAAATAATAAATCTATTGCCATTTATTGACTATGAATGTTTATGTAAATAGAAACCTACTTTTAGTTGAAGTTTATAAGTAGGTATATATATCACCTACTTGACAGTGTTTAAAACACAACTTCAAACTTAATGTATGGTTTGATGACTTTAGTTATATTATAATTGTCACGTGTCTCTCACTACGGGATGTTGGCAAAATTTCCGTGTATAACGGAACAAGGTCATATTAAAAAAAAATCCAATAAAATGTAAACTATCGTCGTTGTTTCTTTTATATGTCGATTTAACCATTCAATTTGAAGACCCCAGAAACGAATTTTCATCTAAGTATAAAAATTATTTATCTACATTGAGAACGTTTTAAATTAATTGATACCTATCTATTTAATTGAATTTAAAGATTGTTATAAACAACTATAAGGTATATATTGATGTGTTAAAGTAGACAAATGCCTTAGAATTAATTACAAAATATTGTAAATATGTGAAGAGACTTACATTTTTTTCTTAGTCAATGTCATCCATTGTACGTTCTTGGCATTGCCAAGCGTATAAGGCAATGTTTAAAAATAATTACCTATGTTCTGTCTTAGATCAAGTGCCTATACATAAAATGTCATTAAAATCTTTATTGGCTATAATAAAGGATACAACGAATGTTATACCGTTATACATATAACTACATTATATTCTCAACCAGTGGCGTAACTATACCGTAATTCATCGGTTATTCAATTTTCTTTTACACCTGTAGTTACGCCACTGTTCTTAACTTATATTTCAAATGTAAATTATAGATATCACATATATTGCTCAGATTCCCAAATAAGTAGCCAAAGCTCTCGTATTATGGAGTAACTGAGACCCGAGACAATAAAGAAAAGTCCATTTTCTTCATTGATCCGACCAGAATTCAAACTCGGGACCTTTGAATCCTGCGTGCGAATTACTTGGCTACAGTGGTCATCAATAAGTATGTTAAAATATAATAGGTATGTTAAATTTATTTATTTATTTAAATAAGCGAATGTAACCAAATCTTAACTACGAATTATGTCATAATATATTGTATACTATAAAAGTACATCTCAGGAAACGATTTAACCATTTTACATCGACAGTACCTAATTGTCTAAACAATGTTACCACATTATGCATAAATTTTTTTTTCTGCCTTCCTCTGCTCTTGATTTAGGTATACTCACAGTAGGTGGAATTCATTTACATTAAATCATTCTCATACATATATATTTAAGTTAATACTGATGGTCAGAGATGTTGGTCAACTTTAGTAGTGACTTGTGTCGTAAACGCAACACGTTGTACGCCAATTGCCACGTGGTAGTTACCGCATCTGTGTAACCGTGCCGTGCTTGCCAATCGGTCAAGGTTGCGAGGCTTTCACCAGGGGGGCAATTCTACTAAATAAATTTTGTTTAAATCGAATCGAAAACGGATCGAAAAGTAACATACGATACAATTCCAGTTCTGTTTTAGCTGGAATTGTATCGTATGTCACTTAGTAGAATAGAAAAACCATTAAAAACTGTAATTTCATTCGGTTTCGATCCGTTTTCGATTCAAGCAAAATTTATTTACTAGAATAGACCCCCAGTTCACGCTCTTTGAATAATTTGAAGATTTCTAATATGTTCTAATTATTTACCTTTATAATAGATTCAATGAATAATACCTTAATTTTTCCTAGAATATAAATATAGCTTAGTGAATTTTACATTTCTATTTAAAATAATTTTTGAAGTGGCAGAATACAATGCAGTTGCCCGATTGAATATTAAAGTAGAGTCACATTCACAAATCACTTCGTGTGATCATTTTTTACTTAATTTATCCCATCTATCACAGTACATATATACGTGCCTGTTAGAATATATTTAATCAATTTTTAAATTAAAAAAAATAACACATTCTCGCAATTTCACAGACTATGACGATATTGAGGTGCCGTGGTACATAGGTGTCTACTGGTTTATATACAACATCGCGGTGAGCTTAGCACTGATGATTACTGCTCTCTACTGGATACTACTCTATAATCCTGGTGAGTATGATCTTTAAAACTACGCAACCGATTCTGATAGGATTTTTTATAGATAGGAAGATTCGAAAGAAACGTTTGATGTAAAATAAAGGACCACACCAGCGAAACCGCTAGTATTTTATGTACTCATTTCCTTGCAATCTCCTTTATACTTTTTTAAATTTAAGTGTAAGATTTTACATTTTTTTTGCAAAAAAAAACGTCTTGTCGGCAGATAATTATGAGAGTAGGCGAATGTTCTGGTTCGACCTGTCAACGCACGGCTTTAACTCCTGCATAGCAATAGTTGAATTGCTGGTGTCACGGACGCCTCTACGCCTCCTACATATTTACCAACCACTCGGCATCGGAGTGTGGTACGCAGTCTTCACAGCCATCTATTACGCAGCCGGTGGAACTGATTCGTGCGTATTTCATATGATCTATAATAATATTATAAAGAGGAATGATTTCATTGTTAATTTGTTAATGAGCTGTTAAACCACTGGACCGATTTTTAATTATTTCACTGAGAAGCCACATCTTACTCGTGTAACATTGACTATAATTTACGCGAACAAAGTCGCGAGAAAACAGATATTTTTGATATAATCTTTGTCTACAGAGCAATAGATAAAATAATTTTGATTTTGTTGAACTTAAAGTAAAAAAAAAAACTATACCAACAAAACATTGTTTAAATCGGGCCTACAATTCAATAAGTGAATATCTATTACACAGTCAACAGCACGTGTTATCTATTGCACAGAAAAGTTAAACAAATCTGTCAGATATCTCCACTTGAATTCAAGCTTTAATATTTTGAAGGTAGGGTTTAAAACCAACTGAAAAAAGTTTACATATTACAGTCGTGTATACATTATATAGATGATAATTAATCCCACTCTAATGCTTAACGTACCTTACTTACGAACTACAGAGGAAGTTGAAATAATAAATTTTAAGTCACCCATCATAAGGGCCGCCCTTGTGAAATTTGCTTATAAGACTGCCTAGATTAAATCGCAGACTGAGCGCGCTAACTGCACTATTGAGCTCCATTGCTGACTATTTTAATGAAAATGAAATAACAATTTTCAGAAAAGGCGAGCCTTATATTTACGAGGTACTGGACTGGCGAAACGGGCGGCGATCTACCGCTATAATATTCATTTCGTTCGGTGGGCTAATGGTAATCTACATAGTCCTGTGTGCGGTGACACTGGCCCGGGACAAGATCTCCACGTCTCTCGTGCGCATGACCAGCCACGACTTGCCACCGACGCCCCCAGACCTGATGCACTCGAGATTGGTCTGAACAATCTACTTAGATGCGACCTACGAATTATTTGTAAAGATGGAGAGCGACAATGATATTTTACAACGTCAAAAGATGTCGTTAGTGTTCTAACTTTATATTTAACGTTTTCCATTTTTAATACCGATGTCTAACCTTGGTTATGATATTTGGACATTGGTCCAAATTTGAATTCGGTTCATTTTAGTTATCAAAATAACTAATAATGAAAAACGATAAATGTTGAAGAATAATATAACTGATTACTAAAATTAAGGCAGACGTTACTATAATAAATGAAGAAATAACTGATAGTTTTAAAATATTGAATGCTATGGTTTTTATAATAACTTTCATGTTTATACAATTATTTCAAAAAATGTATGTAACACAGTGTACCAGAATTGGCTCGACTAATTTCGATATAGTTTTTAAAGTGCATAGAGTACAAAATTTCGTTAACAGGTTTTATAAGACTGCCTAGATTAATATGCGAGTAAATATTGAACCATAAACTAGTATAAACCCTTGGCACGCATAAAAGAAAATTGAACACACATCTATCAGAATAGAGCACGCCGAAGAAAATGAAAGAAAGGTATTTTAGAATTCTTTACATACAAACATAATGAACCATCGATCGCACACATGTACTAGCCTATGAGCTCGTGACAAATATGTGCAAGAGCTCCCTAAAATTGAAGCTGGTGTATTTTTAAGCATTTTTCATTAAAGCTTCATATTTCAGTATGTTTAAGTACTAAGGGAAGTATACCCAATGCAGATGTCAGGTGCTGGAACACCTAAAGGCGGCGGGCAAAGTAGAGTACAAGAACTTTACGGAAGTAAGCAGTCTTAAAAAATTCGTTTCGTCCGCTTCCTGCGGCTCTGAAAGATGTGCAAGCACCATTAACACTGTGTGCCAGAGCGACCAAAACATTCGTATATTTTTGTGTTGTAATTAGTTGTAATATTTAATTATAATTATGTTAAGAATACACTCAAGTATAGCACTACTTTTTTTCGCTCAATTTTATATATTTTTCATTAAATTGTTTTCCGAAAAATAGACTAGACTACTTATAGACACGGCTGCACGTCACACAATATGTCAAATTTATTAATTTTAAACCCTACCTTTTAAAAAATAAGGTTAAAAATCTAGTGCCAAAATTTCAGATTTGTATGAACCTACTTAAAAAATTTGTTTGAAATATTCTGTATACACTACACACTAAAGTATACACTTATGTTTTCACTTAGTTGAAATTAATTATATTAGGTTTAGTTAATAAAACTGTAAATACGTAATAAAAGCATTTAAGCATTCCAATGTACTTCCAACTTAAATTAATTATACTGTTAAATAAAAAAATTGTAAATACGTTTTAAAAGCATTTGATCATTCCAGTGTACTTTCCAAAGTTAATGTCTTTGTATTGCAATGAGCAGACAAAAGAAAAAAAGATGTGAAATTAACGCGCCCTTCAATGAAACAGTTACATAGCTCAAATTCCAAGATGAGAAGCTAAAGTCCTCATATTATTTCAAATTCATTTTCATTAACCCGACCGGGAGTCGAATCCGGTACCCAAGAGATGAAACAAGACAAGGCGTGCGAACCTCTCGGCTACTACATCATTACTTGGGCACCGAATTGCACATCAAAAACTATTTATGATTAATTACTCTGAAACCATTACCTATTATTATTGTAAAAGTATTATTCTGTTCGTTACCAAGTGCTTACCATATTATTAAGGCTTTGAAGAAATGGTAAATTTTTGAAGTACCGAACTTTGCATATTTTTCCATCAAGATTGTTTTTCCAAGACAATATGTCAAAATTCAATGGATTTTGATTTCTACTCTATTAAGGTTTAAAATCGATTGGTGAAATTTGACGGTTCTATAGGTATAATCTGACGTGCAGTTGACTGTACTCACTAGTTTTGTGAGTTTAGGCGGACACTTGAAAATCATTTCTTTTTTCTTTAAGGGGATAATTGTACAGGTAACCAACCACTTTTATACCAACCAAAAATATTGGCATTAAATCAAATCTTAAAAATATTTTTTTTTATAATATTTGTCCTGTAAAATCAGTATAATTTCACAGCTCTCCTTAGAGGCAGAAGATTTATCCTTTCACCGACTTCACACAATGCCCAACACTCAGTTCGTATTTGTTTACAGTACGGTGCGGAAGCATGGTGTTTTGCCTGTAATCGATGCTATCTACCTTATACATAGCAGAAGAAGACCTATATTGAACCATTTTTGTTTGTAGAAAAAAAAACCAAAATGACGCTTCACAAGGACCATTTGGATTCTTGTTTCATAGTCCATATAGTTCAGATGGCAATTAACAAATGTGGTATGGCCAATCGTGTAGACAGCGGTGCAATGATGGTTAATCATGGTGGCATTCAGAGATCGCAAATCATGAGCGATAGTGTACAGGGCCTATTTGACTAATCGTGTTGAAAAATGCTTCTAGCATTTTTGGCCTTCGATAAAACTCACTTGCTTAAGTTTTTTGGCTTAATATATGTTCTTTGAATAATGCTGTGGTTGTATAAGTGGTGCTTTGTTTGTACCTAATATAAGAATTATTACTGATGAGACGACGCCCCCTACCGAGCGTTTCGAGACAAGACTTGAAGAGTTTACAATGTGCAAATTCTAAGCACTCACCAATTTCTAAATGTTACGATGAATGTTTTCAAATTAAACAAAAAGGTTTGAGTTTATCTAGAACACATTTATTGTTAATATATCAAAATCTGCATTCAAACACAAAGCAATGTAGTATAAATGATTAAGTAATAACAATCTACAATAATTATGATATGTGATTAACTGACTTAGTGTGCCTGTACAGTTACAATGGCATCTAGTGCGCGTGCGCATGCCGTCAACCATCTTCAAACGCTTTTAACAAAAACAGCAATAACCAAAATAAAATGACATTTATAAAAATATTTTTGAAATACATCAACCGAGTATATTATAATTTTAACAAAACGATATTGCAATCATAATTTAGATAACAATGTCAAAAAATAAGCCATCTTACCATTCGCTCACTTGTATCCAAAAATATATTTTTCTTAATAGGTAAGTTAATTTTAGAATAATTAAAATTGATAATTACTTAACTTTAAACATATCCAAATATTAAGGCAGGGCCATCAGTCTATGACTACTGAAAGCATTATTATTGTGAAAAACTAAAATAGATTTAACAGCGGATATAATCCACACAATATCGGTACTTTATAAATCTTAATGTTAGTATTAATTAAAAGCAACACATCACATGGGTTCATAATATTATCGTATACTCTAGAACTATATTATTTACAGATGTTATTTCATTATACAATTGATAAATCGTATTCGTTTACAAAATTTATAATTTTATAAAGTTTAAATAATAATGTAAATATTTATTATATATTATACAAATAAGTATATAATTCATTATTACAGCCTCAGTAGTCTTCTTAAACCTTTTTGTTAATGAATCCCCAATTATTGGGCTTCCGTTCCTTAAAACAAAAGAAACGGAATCCTTACAGCCAGTTGCACAAACGTCCATTAAAATTATCATTAGTTTAAAGCGAGATTACCCATACAAATCTGACATTCAATAGAGCTTAATGGACGTTTGTGCAACTCACCGTTAGTCTTATAGAGGGTCCAAATTTAAAATTGAAGCTACAAACTCGAGTGATGTATCATATGAAACGGCTTGATGGGCATATATTTTAAAACATACGTTATTCGATTGTAGAACTATATGAACCTACAAATTTGAATGGAACTTTCGGAGAGCGGTTGACACGTCTTTTAATTTGTCTAACAAATTCATTCGCGAAGCAGATCAGTTTGTAGTTTTAGAAAAAGTATTAAGAAATACCATTAAATAGATATTTTGTTTTGCATATTATGTACACTAAAACGTTTCGTAGATAATTTCGGGATCGTACATATTTTATTTATAAAATATTTAAGTTATATAAAGTAGGAAAATGTGTTACAAACATTTTAACCAAATCGTTAGTTTCCATTTTTAATTTGTCGCAAAAACTATTCTGCAAATGAAGCAAACAACAAAAAAAAAGAAATGTTTAATATTACAAACCAATATCAATAGATTATTGATATTAATCAGACGGAAACATACAGAATTGTGTCATTTACTTACTTGTAGAATCTGATAAAGACGGCATTATTATATTTAATAAACTTTGCATTCATAATGCAATACCTATCGATTTTTATATTACGGAAAACAACTTGAAAAATTAGTCAGTCCCAGGTGCCAAATTTACTATTATTATAAAGGCGAAAGTTTGTAAATTTGAATGAATGAATGAACACTTTATTGTACTTAAAAATAAAATCAACATAACAATTAATAACAATAAACAGTACAATTAGCGGCCTTATCGCTGAAAAGCAATATCTTCTAGGCAACCAAAAGCTACAAAAAATAAAGCAAGGATGTTTGTTGTTCTGATTAAATTGGGCTTTTCTTCACTGCCACAACGCGATGACGTCGAATAGCATGTCAAACACGACACGGATTCCACTATGTGGTTATTCTGCAATTGCCACAACGCGTTGTGAACTATTTTTTGCTCGATGAGCTATTTCGATTTTTCAGTGTTATTAATAAACAAGTTTAACGTCAAAGTCAATTTACGCTGAGACTGCACTTGGTATTAGTCAAAATATTAAACAGAGACTTAGCAAAGGTTAACCTAGTACGAGGTTCTACGGGAATAATATTGACTCCTAGAAGATAGTAGGTTTACTTATTCTCTATATAATATGAGTTTGGACTAATACTAAAATTGCAATTTTAGCTTAAATTTACTCTCGACGATAAAGCTTGTTTATTAATAGCGTAATATATATACCCACTTCTTAAAATTATATTTATTAGATAATCTAAAGAAGTTTTTGTAACATTGTTATGGTGCCTTTCTTTTTCAGTTATATAATTTGTGATATTGCAAACAAATATTTATAAGCTTTAATATTTATTTGCAACCCACATTATGTCAATGTATATGAATATATTTTATGGGCACGGCTCTATACAAATTCCGGCCATGTAATTAAAAACAATTTTACGAAATTATGTAACAATTGATGGCCTTATCGCTTAAAGCGATTTCTTCCAGGCGACCATTTACTGGTCAATAAATTTTAATTAATAAATAAATTACAATTTATGAAAATGTTATTATCAATAACAATGTTGAAACAAATTTAAAATTTAAAAATACATTTGTAAAAATATTTATTTCAGCTGTTTTGATGGATTCCCTTGATTGAAGTAAATAGTCTCACTTGACTAGAAGCGAAAGTAACAAACGCTTAAGAAATTCGTTAGTTGCGTTGGGTCTCGAGTAGCTCTACAGTTAGAACGGATGCCTATTGCATAATGATTTAAGATTCAAATCCCATTTCGGGCACCTGGGACTCGTGAATTTTATAAGTAATTTTCTGTGATTAGTCGGTTTTTGAAATCTTAGTAACTATCAACAAACTCGTGTTTTCAATCTAAATATATACATTGAGTAAGACCAATGGTCTACGAGCATCTCTCTTAAACCATAGTACTATTATTAATAATTATAATAAATTACATCTAATTTACACTTTAATAGCAATATTGCTAAACGCTACAAGTTATTAGATCAACTACATTCAATGCTATATGTATAATGCTGAAATAAACCGACATATTTATAAGATTAATATTATTATATTTATTTACACATCACATAACGTTCCTACCTAATTAAACTATCGTTCCCAAGGACCTATAAGTCATACTATGCACACTAGCTACAAAGCCGAAACATATCAAGTTTTCCTTTAAATTAGGACTTAGACATGACCTATTGTAGTAACCTCATGTGGTGGCTGTACTTGCTTTCACGGCAACTATATAGATTTTAATATCTATTTAGGAAACATACAGTTGAAACTGTTTACGGGAGACCGACAATCTAACAGATCTGATATAAGAGAGATCTAACAGATTATAAAGGCATTAACTGTATGTAGAGAGCAACCAGAACACACTTTAAAATGTATATATCTCGTAAATGAAAGCAAACCTTTTCCACTATCTTAAAATCAATATTTATCGAAGTCACGCCACTCGAACTACACAATTGTTAATTTAACAATGTCGACTAATGAGTATTGTTTGATTGATTCGACTTCGAAGGAAATGATAAAACACAAATAAATCACAACACCCAGATTTGCAACCGTATTAAAATTACATCCAAGGAATCAATGTAAAATCATTTAGTTAGAGAATCGAATAAGTTCTTGTCACACAGTAACGATATTAAAAAAAAAATTGTAGCCAACTTGAAATTTTTCTTCTATAAAAAACTATTTAACGGAACAGAGTACGAATTAAACGTGAGAACAGATTAAGTAAAATTTTTTTAATTAATTTAAGCAAACTCACTATTCGAGTTGAAAACGTTTTCAAAGTATTTCGTTTCGTTCGAGTATTATTACAAAACGAATTCATGGCGTTTTATATAGATAAATAAATAATTAAACGACTCAACACCTCTTGAGTGTAACGAAATAACTCTCGGTAATGGTATACGAGCAGTTTAAATCTTTGGATCTGTGGGTTTAGATTATGTTTCTATTGAATTCCTTTTGGACCGTAAGCAAAACCATTCAAACAAGAAAAAGAGCTCAAGCTAAGTACCAAATTCATTTAATCGTCAGCTAAATGTCTTAAATACATAGGTATAATATGAAAACAAAGAGATCAATTATCTAGGCACCAAATAACACGGAACAGTCAAACCGGAATAACAAACCTGACAAAGGCACTCGTGTGTTTAAGAAAGCTGTTCTGCTTAATTAGTGGAATAATTCTTTTATCTTGTGCCTCATTAAAATTGCCGATATTTTTTGTTTTCATTGTACGTCTCTGTTACGTTGTTAAAATATACGGTTAAATACTCAATACAGTAAAGGCCATTTCCTGTATTCTAAATAGTTTGATCGAACATATGCTTGATCAAGGTTTTCATGTAAAGGAACCATTACAGATATTAGTAATATCTGAGGGTTTTTGTGTTCGTTTAATTAAATATGAACCAGTTACATTTACATTATTCATATTCGGTTACTTGCTTGACTTTAGACTTAGTCATGTTAAAGTCAAATACCAGACCTTTTATATATATAAAAAAAAAAAACATTAGTGTGTCAAGAGTACTTTATATAAACAATGACAAGTATAAAAAGACTTAGGCTCAGTGAAGCAAGAACGAAATAGCAGTTATGGAGATCAAGCGATAAATATGGACTTTTTTAAACGCCCGCGTATCATATGCATAATAAAATAACCAGCTATTTAGGGCGAAATCAATACATAATTTGAACTTCCTTTTTTATCATATTGCACCAACATTATAAGTATTGCCATGTAGTGTTCGGGCAATCTGATAAATACCAGGTACATTTTACGGGAACTAAACATTCCAGGGGAGTTGTATGTTTCCTCCATTGGAACAGGCGATAGAATTTAGCTATACTGCCAGATCTTAAGGGGAATGCAATTGATTCTACGGAAGATACTATTTATTATTAGGAGACAACGAAGTTTATATGCCATACAGCCAAAGCGTTACTTGAATTTATACACTTAAGAATGTAATCTTACTTTTAATTATTATTAATCTCGAAATTATTGTCCATTAAGCGTCCATAATTATATACTTTAGTTTCCTCTATTTAACCGAGAGAAACTACGCAGGTACCCAATTCAAATTGAACCCGTTCGGCCTTTGCCGCAAAACTAATTTAAAAGACATCTTTATGATATTCACACTTTCACCTTTTGATAAGTTTCGCGTTAAATCACAATAATACCGTTTCATTTGTCACCAGCGTAACGATTTTCCAGAGCTAATGTTAATTATGAATTATTTGTACTTAAGTACTTAAAAGTAACAAGCGGCAATTCTGATATTATTAATTGAACGGTATCTAGCCTCCACAAACAAGTTGCACAAACGTCTATAAAGGTTTAATGACACCTTTAAACTCTAATGAATGTCAAATTTTTATCGGTAATGTTGCCTTAAACTGATGACAATTTTAATGGACGTTTATGCCACAGGCTGTTGCATTTAACCAGTAACAAGTCATTTGGGTTCCCGCCCAAAAGTCTAAATTAGAGTTGCATTCTTGCAAATGGTCAGCGGACAGCTAGATTTATCATTAAAGAAATGTATTTCTTTATGGTAATAGGCATATTTTAGACTACACTAATTTAAGTTTCGACACTATTTCAAGTTATCTAATTTAAAAATTCCGGTGGCTGTTACCTATCACCGGAATATTGGTACTAGTGAATTTAAAAATACTTGATGTCATATATAATACAAATATCTGTTTCGGCTTAACACTAATGTGCATCGACGGTCATTCAAAGCAATGTCAACTAACAAAATTTATTAGTTAATATATTTATAGAATTTTTTTTTTTCAAATAAATTTTAATCAAATCATATTGGCAAAACAGCAGAGTTGCGCTATTGCGTGAATCGAACCAATTTAAGCAGTGGCGTAACTATACCGTTTGAGGCCCGTGGCAAATTCATCGGATATTCTATTTCTTTTTTTACTAATTGCGTAATAATAAATGTCAGGAGTAAGGAGTCTTCTCTGACCGGGGGCTCTTCCAGCTAGGGGCCCCTCGCATTTTGCCGACTAGCCGCCCTGAAGTTACGCCACTGAATTTAAGTGTGATGATGTTTAAAGAAAGCCTTTTAGCTTTTTGAGATATACGAAGTGCATTCATGCAAATTAGCATACATTAAAACAGTAACATTTCCACCGCATACAATTTGATTTTATATTACGTTATAACACTGAAAATATCAAAAAAATTACCAAATATCACAGATTTTTTTTTTTTAACTTCATTTAATTTCATATCCCAATATATAAAAAAAGAAAAGATTTCTCCTAACACCAACAACACAAACGTCCCTTCGGCATAATGGCTGTCTTTTCAGTCAAACAATTTAAACATTACAATGTGATATGGATTACACGTTAAATATAAAATATTAAGATCAATTGATTTTCCACTAGGAGTTATCCAAGTTTCTCAAATATTTCCTACAAAAAAGTATGAGATAAATTTTCCAAGGTACTTACACCGGTTTCACTAACATCTAGCTTAACAGCATTCTGATGATGTACTAACTAGAGTTTAATACCTGTTATCGAACCAATAATAGACATGGATTAAGTTCCTCGTTAATGCACTCACGGAACGTCAGAATTGTATCATCAACGACCTTGATAATTATTAAATCCGCTTACCACAAAAATTCAACGGTTTCTTAGATTCTATAATTTAAATATTGTAAAGAAAGAAAGTCACACTCTCCGCGTAACGCCGCTTAAGACTTAGAGGAACGTACATCAATAGGTACAATAACACTTACTTAATACCTTGTAAGTCCTATGGATACACTGAAAAAGATTTTACAAAAATGGAACACTTGAAACATATATTGGACCACAGCAATGCGCGGCCGTCGCGTTATTTAAAAATAAATCATAATGATAATATAAAAAATAAACAGAATTTACTACATCATAAATATTTGGCACAGGTTATTTTAAGTATATAATCTTGATGAATTTCTCGAACGGTTTTGTGCATGCTACATTTGAGTGTTGTGTACGAATTAAGTAAGTTCCTCACCGCTGAGCAAGAATATTCTGAAGGAAGACTCGTCGGTGGCGACGTCTGTATACATCAACTCCTCCTGAAATGGATTAAGCATCTAGAATATTCATCTACGATATAATTATACACATGTCACGAAAATTTCATTCGTCATAGAATTTATGTCAAGCACAAACGAAGAAAAAATTCTTCATATTCATACGTCATATCCACTGCAAAACCTGAAATTTTTAAAGGAAAAATCGGCGCTTGTGTTCAATATAGAATTCTCATACTAAAGTGACAAGATCTTTATTTTTATATCATTTATTACCCATATGAACAATATTCATTTGTGTGCGGAAACACTTTTAGAAAAAAATGTCTTATCCACATTATTATTTCTATAAACACTTATGTTAAAATTTACAACCATGTTGACTAATTTGAAGAATAATTACTGGACTTCTTTTACATGCATTAATATATACAAATTACGCCTGGTTCTATTATAATCCCTAACATTGATAAATATTAAATATTACCTGCATAAGATCACCTGTAGGGTGAGCGTCGAGAATACCTAGATCTGCGTCCAACGGATCATTCGTTACACCCACAGCGCTACTCGACTGTCTACATGAGCAAAATAAAGCGCATTATTTATAGACATAGTAATAAAAAGCAAAACACAACCTATCTCATTGTAAAGATGTACGACAATTTAATACTTTACCTTAGAATCTAGTTTTATTTTTTGTGCTTACAACTTTTATCGGAAACAAACTCTGATTTCATACAAATCAGTGTTTGTTTCCGAAAAAGTTTCATAGAAATTTTCATACAAGTTCCATACAAATCAGTGTTTTTTTCTGATAAAAGTTGTAAGCACAAAAAATAAAACTAGATTCTAAGGTAAAGTATTAAATTTAAGTCTTATTAAAGATTTCTTGATATAAACTATATAATAGTAAAAAACAAGAAATAACATTGTCGAATAATGTTTATTCTATTAATTCTAAAGTCTACTAATAGATATAACGTATATAGTATATTCTACAAACAAAATAACGCAGTGCAGTATAATCTCTAATTTAAAACATTTACCTGAACATCATTAAGTCGTTAAATTCATTTAGAAACCATTATGATAATGATAGAAATAGTAGATAATGCCTCATTATGTTTTAAAATGCGATAAAATACTATTTTAACTTCTCAATGGCAACAATGACTATTAAGTGTTTCAAACATTTATGTTACACATATGCAACAAAGGGTAAATTAAGGAACATTTTAATCACCACTTGAAATTGTTGATTGCAATTAAATAATATTTTGGTATACAAATTAATTGCATTAAAAACTCAACTAATTCTAACTCCGCTTACATCTTGTCTTTGGCATATTTCATGTATTTTTTTAATACTGGATGCACGATCCTATAAGGTCTATCCTACTAATATTAGAAAGCAAAAGTTTGTGAAGATGGATAATAATAATAATATTTCTTTATTTTTCTCCACAATATCAAAAAATGTACAAAAGTGCAGAGCGTATCAAGGACATTAAATTTCTCGTGGAGACTGATGCCTGCACTTGAGTGTAAAACCCGTTTTACAGGTCACCAGGCCTCCAACATCCGGGTGTTGTTACTCTTTCACATAAAAATCACTAAACGGATTTTGATGATATTTAGTTTACTTATAATTCTAAGCCTGAATTAACTTAAAGCCTATTTTTTATCCCACTTAACAGTTCCCTTGGTATAAATGTATTGTAAAGTAATCGCAGGCGAAGCTACCGGCGTAAAAGTAGAAATTTTTCAAACAGCCGGCCATGTAACTGTGTATATATGTGTACTCACTCGCTATCGTCATTTATCATCACGTTGCCATGGAGGAAGAGATCGCTTCTTACTGTATATATATTGCTCTCAGAGTTTTCAGATTGTTGTTCCACCTGTATAAAGAACAGAATACATGCATCATACTGCAACACATAAATTAGGCGAGCCAAAACGAAATTCCAAAAATATTAAATCTTTTGGTGGTACAACAACCAATATTTACTGTGCGGCCATTAGAAAGAAAATCACTTACATTGACTTTCTTTTTATTATATAGTTCATGTTTTTCTTTGCCTCATGTTGCCATTAGAAAGAAAGTCACTTACATTGATTTTCTTTCTAAACGTCAAAAAATTTTAAGTTGAAAATACGGGTGTAGATAGTAAACGAAAATAAATATATATTATTATTTTTCTGGTGGTGTTTAATATACTATTACCGATAATGACACTTTTATGTTTTTTATATTTATAACATTCCTTAAATTATTATTTATGCTCGTTGTCACGTGACCACAAAGAGCGTCTGATGTCACGCTCCTTTTACTCATATGAGAACTTAAGAGAATTCAACCATATGCATACATAGAACGATATGAGTTTCAGAGGGCCATGACGTCATAGCGACGCTATGACAGGAGTGACGTTCTCGCGGGAGATTTTGAAAATCAAATTAATTTTTAGATCTTAACTTATTACCTATATGTATGATACTTTTTTAAATTTTTTTTTTTTTTTTTAGATATATGTCATGTATATTTGTGAAATAACATCCCTATTAAAGACGAATGAGTCCGGATAATCGAGGTTTGTTATAATTGGGATTCTATAATAATATTCTTTATTGCACGCTAGACAGGACATAATACAGAGAAAATAGAAATAGAGAGAGATTACAAAGGGCGACCTTATTGCTACGCAGCAATCTCTTTCAGGCAACCCGAGGCAAAGAAAAACATGAACTATATACTAAAAAGAGGGGGGTGCAAGATGGAGAAGTAAATAGATAAATATGTATAATGTAATATAGTAAATAAAATAGATTCTATTGTATGAGTTACCGTGTAGTCGTCGTCTATAGTGACGTCACGCGCGGGGCAAGTATCGGTGAGGGTGGCGGTGGCGGTGGCGGTGGCGGCGACGACGCGCGGCAGCGGCCACGTGCAGTGCGTCCTCGCCGCCCGCCACTCTCCATCCTCTCCGCCATCCCCTCCGCCATCCTCTCCGCCATCCATGACGCTCCCCTCTATCACACACTCCACGGACAACGACGTATCCGCCGACTCAGACACCAAAGCCGATTCCGAAACTAGATCGACCTGTTCATAGATTTAGAAACTTCAATATGGTAAAGTAAAAGAAGCGCTTTTGAAAATTATAGAGGAAAAAAAAATTGGACTAAAAATAAAAATTAAGAAACAAGTTGTGTTATGGCTTGGCTAAACAAAATTCTTATTGCATTCGGGGGACCTCTAAGATTACAAATGTTCCATAGGTCCCCCGATTGCAATGATAATATAGTTTAGCCAAGCCATATTACAACTTGTTTCTTTTGTTTTTAGTTCGATTTTGGAAGTCGTGTTTTTTTAATGTTTTAATTATTTTTCCATATTTTTTAAATGACGTTAAACAATCGCCATAACAATTATTTAAAAAATATGTAGTCAGTGCCAACGGATTATATAAGGTTTCTAATGATACCCTACACATATATATCTGTTAAGTCTTTCGAAACTTGCTCTTTTTTTGGGCTGGCTTGTACAAATTATGCAGAAATGAACGATCAACCATTGACGTCAAAAGTTTAATACCCGGAACTCGGATTTTCAGTTATGTATTTAATATCAGATGGTTTAAATATATCCAATCTTAAAAAATAGCAATGATAGTTAATAAAACACTAACCAGAAAGGTACTGTCCTCCTCTTTTTGCTTCGGTAGAGCGACCGACTCAGTGCTAGCCGTTTCTGAGGCATCTGCACTCTTGTGATCTTTCTTCCAGTGCATGAACAGGGTATTGATGCTATTGAATGTTCGCTCGCAACCTGGGTAATGTAAAAAAAAATATACATAGTTATATTTCCTATTTACTAGCAAAAACATCAGACATAAAAAAAAAACATATTATTGAAAAAATATATAGTTATATTTTCTAATTACTAGCAAAAACATAAAAAAACATATTATTGTTTGCGTGTGATGGTTGTAATGAAAAGAGATAGAAAGATGTAATGTCAAATACTTTACAGTGGACACAGTACTTCAAGATCAAATAATGGGCATCAGAAAACATCACGAACAATCGTCTGACAATACAAAGACAATTAATAAAACTAGTGTGGCCCTAAAATTATTTTAAAAAAATAATGTTTGTTGTTTAGTCAGTTGCAGTCAGTGTTAAAAGCGGGAAGGATGTGCGCTCACGTTTTTTAGAACTAATAGTTGAAAATAATAGAAGTGTTACTTAACTATCACCTATAGATAGGTAATAATTGTATTATGTATGTATATTATTGTTGATGTTGTTGAAATATTACACTTAAGTGTGATAAAAAAATCCAAAACATTTTACAACCATGACAAAATACAATATAGAATAAATGACTTTCTTTCTTGAGTGTACTTATCAATGAAAAAAGAAGGGAAACGATAAGCGCGGGATGACACTAGGCTCTGTTGTTATGGTTAAGTTTCAAACCCCCCCCCCCCCCCCTGTACACTTCACTTCAGTACCGATTTTCGTTTTCTATGCAGGGTTTGCTTTCGTGCCGGGTATTGTACAATGGTGCACTCGTCACTGCTGCGTAACACACTCACCAGGCTTGGTACAGTAATGTGCTTTTTGTCGTTGCGCGTGATGTCGGGCGTGATGGTCGCGCAGATGGTCACGGCGGAGGAAGGCGCGCGAGCACTCGCTGCATCTGTGGCGTCTTTCACCGGTATGACGACGCGAGTGCCTCTCCAGCTTGCTAGCCGAACGGAATGACCCACCGCAGTCCTGACAGGATATTTACGGTGTTATAAGGCCACTTAATGTGAAACAAGCCTTTTGTAAATACTTTAATGTAAGTACTTTATAATAGTATAAACTACCCTAGTGTCATGTCAACATAAATTATCATACTCGTATCGACTGATAAAAAAAGACGGCTGACAAAATACCACGTGACATGCATGAACTCGTATCGATTCTATTTTATAATGGTTATAATGTTCCCACCTCTTCTCAGGAGCTGCCATAGAGGCCAGTTCCTGTCTAGAAAATGTGTCTAGATACGCCCATGATGCACACACGCCTGCACTCCAAGTTACCACAATATGTCAAATTTCTACAATCAATTTTGACCTCCACCATCAATATAATGAGGATTAAAAAGTCTAACTTGCATGTGGCTGTACCTACGTATAGGAAAAATATTTAAATAAGGAGCTATATGAAAGCCAACGGCATTGTTAGTTTCTAGTTGAATGATGCAAGACGAGGAGCTCGGTAGCGTAGCAGATAAAATTGTTGTTAAGAAACTTTCGCGAGGGTTGTTCACGGAATTGGTGATATAAAATTATGATATCGAATTAATCCGTGCTTCGGATGGCACGTTAAGCTGTTCAATCCGCATTGGGCCAGCGTGGTAGGTCATGGCCCAACTTCTTTAACCATCGTTAAGGAAGACCTGAGCCCCTGCAGTGGGGACGTAACACCGTTAGTACACAGACTCAATCGCATGCGGATGCGAAACTTTTGCGTAACTATGCGAATGCGAAATACGTTGTCACCTTTTGAGACACAAAATTCGTGATATTCGAATAGTCGTCAGAAATTAGGACGGGTGGCAACCCTGAAAGCGAAACATGTGTGTCTGTGTAACCTTTTCGAAGTTGACTACGAAACTGATAAAGCGAGATAGAGCACATGCGAAACATCGCCATACGCTAAAAAGATTTCGCAAATGTTTCGCATTCACATGCGAATGAGTCGGCTAACACGCGGCGTCGGACGCCTCCTGGGCAGTGGCTGGATGAAGACGGCCGGCGATCATATTTTGTGTCGCACTCTGGGGAAGGCCTACATCCAGCAGGGGACCTCAACAGGCTGATACGATGACGATGACGTAAAAGGGCTAATGATAAGATGCAAGGTGTCTCGCTCACCGGGTAGGTGCAGTGGTAGGGCCGGTCGCCGGTGTGCGCGCGCGCGTGCTCGCGCAGGCGGCACGGCTGCCGGAACACGCGCCCGCAGCCGCTCCACCCGCACACCAACATCGGATCGGCCGCGTGCGAGTGGGAACGCGCGTGCGCACGCACACCGGACGCCCAGAAGAACCGACGGTCGCACTCCTCGCACCTATACAACAAAATATATTTTTCAATGCAGTTGTCGAGCATAGGTAATAAATATATTTGACATTATACTTGTAACTGTTTAATTAAAAAAAAAAACATAAAACAAATGTTTCGTGAAAATAAACACGTTTTATTGCCTTGAAATGAAGTCAAAATTTAAACGTTTTTTTTATACCCGCGAAAACGCTGTCCGTCATATTCATGACGTCATTGTGATCCATAGAGTAGAAGATTAAAAGATGTCAATAAAACAAGAACAATGCCATATAACGAATTACGAAATAAAAATATAAAAATAAGCTAAGATCTAGGAATTTTATTTATAATTAATAGGAATATCTTTATGACTAATCTGACAGTTGTCGCCACAGTGACGTCACACAATGGCGGGACGTGTTTCAAGTCACGTGACACACAGACAATAAATCAAGACTTTTAATTTTATCGTGCTATTTTAAGGCTTAAAATCAGAATCTCTATGTTTATTACGATGTAAAATTATTTTTTTTTTTAAATTTCGCGACTTATTGTTCACTACCGAAACAACCTCATTAAGAAATTTCATAAAATTTTCAAAGATTCTCCCTCTATCACTCCATAAGCTCATTTTGTATGAGACAAATCATGTATCTGTTAACTGTGATACTAAAAATTACTCACTTATAACTTGCGTCTTCAGATGTGTGATCATCACTTAAATGTTTAAGCAACAAATCTCTAACCAAAAATATTCTTCCACAAGAAACTTCTGTTCCATCTGGTGCAATCTTTTTCACTGGACATTCAACAGTGACTTGTCGAGCTGGTTTAATGCTGCCATCTTCGTTATGTAATTTTACATGTTTTTGTAATTTTTGTTCACTCCTGAATTCTTTCTTGCAATCAGGTGCATCACACTAAAATGTCAATGAAAAGTCTCAAAAGTTTTAAATCGTTTTTTATTAGCTAATAATAATAATAATATAAAATCATGTTTTTACTATATTTTATATTTTGTCCTAAAACTACAAAGGAATAAATTAAAACGTGGGTCTGAGGAACTGTGGCCTGGAAGAGCTAGAATTCGCCAATTAGCGCATCTTCTTTCTCAGCAGAAACAAGCATGAGTGTTTGACAACAATAGTTGTATCCGATGCATATAATCCATATACATAATAAGCATTTTAAATGAAATAAAATAATTCATTTTTTTTTTAATTCTACTTATTGACAATACTAAAGATGGTGTTTATTGAAATCCATATTATTTACTCAACATTTGATGTCTATAGCATGGTCGCTGAACAGAAAGAATTTCCTATGTTGACCTTTGTGCCTACTGATAGATGTCATATATTGGCTAGATGCATCTATGCGAGTACAATAACAATATGTTTGCACAATAGTGAAAATTTACCTTGTACTTCCTTACTGTGGCAGAAAATGTGTAATTATTTTGGGGTAATTCAGTGCATATAGCTTCATCATTTCCATTCTTTATACTTGAAAGAGGCATTGTATTTGTTACAAGTTCTTGGTTCTCCTCTATATACATATTATTGATTTGCGACTTGTTCTCTGAAATATTTGAAAAGAAATTGGAAACTTAGCTCCTGAAACGAAACTAAATCACATCATAAATTTATAATTGACAAATTAAACTAACCTACAACCATTACAGTTTCCATCTGAGTCCCAGGTTCATAATCAACATCATACAGCATCACATTCTAAAATTAATATTTTAATATTATTAAGATTGTTTTACACTATTTTTTTTTTTTTTTAATTAATGTAGATGACATGTATTTAAAATAGGTGGACTCAAAGGCATAGCAATTATTTTCTTAAACAAAAATGCCATATTGATATTTATTTATTAAATAATACAAAGTCAAACATTTATCACAATTACACTAATATTGAAAGTCACCACAGCAATGAAATGTTAAACATAAAACTTTTACTTTCCAAAATTAATTGCTTATTCAAATATTTTCTACTGCATAATTGTTATCCACATGAAATTATATAGAAGTTGTGTTAAACTCGCAGCTGAAATATTAAGAAAGTAATTTTGACATTGTCAGGACCTACTTCAAGTCAAAGTGATGAAACTGTTGAATTCTCAACTCACCACTTGTGAGTATATCGCCATTTTCTTTATATATGGTTAGGTAATCTAACTAACATTTGCAGAAACACTTCAACTTTCAATAAAGCTACTAGCAAATTCATTGTGTAGTACATTAACAATGCTATATTATTTGAAATATACTAAAACAAACTGAAGTGCTGAAATGGGATTTCCAGCTTATAACCTTTAAGTTAGACTCAAGAAAGAGAAATATTTTACAAATATTTAAACTTTTAATGTTTTTTTTTTATTATTAAGTTAATAAACAGTTAAGTAGCCAATTAAATGGAATTTTCAACTATTAAAAGTTTAAAAGTCTACATTAAAAGTTTTAATATTTTACAAATATTTAAACTTTTAATGTTTTTTTATTTATTAAGTTATTAAACAGTTTAATAGCCAGTATTTTTCTCCAGTGTTATTGAATAAAGGAAAAACCTAATTAAATTAATGAATTTAAATTATCCCCTGAAAACAATCAGTCATGGGACAATCAGAGCTGAAGTCACATTTCAATAAACATGGATACTGATTACACTTGCCACACTGATGTTGATGTGTGTACTGAAATTTGATATCCCATAATGCTCTGTCAGGGTGCCAATTCTTGTAATCCACAGGTTATAAATAGTGACTTAATTTTGTAAACATGTAAACAAATTTATTTTATTCCTACATAACTATTTAATAATTTAGTTATTACTGTCAAGTAACTACATAATTGAAATAAATTAAATAATAGGCAACAAATACCTTTCCAGATGTGTCATTAAAGAAAGCTTCAATATTAACCATGGTTTGATTTGATTCCTCTGCATCTGAAACCAGTAAACAAATTTTAATAAATGTTGGTATTTTTGTAACCAATTTTATATTAATTAAAAGCATCCTTTACCATCATGACAAATGTAATATAATACAAAATTCAATTAATATTCTCACTTTTAACAGCAGCATCGGTAAGTCTTCCTACATCTATAAATGGAGAAGACGACAGTGTTGTGCTCGGTTTAACAAAAGATACGGCAGTCTTCTTTCGTAATATATTGGGCTTTTTAAATTTCTTATTTTTATTTATGTTCTCAGATTTCACAAACATAGTTTTCATTTTTTGGATCTTTAGGAAAATTAGACCTGGAAATAAAAATTTAGTACCTAACCTTCAGTCAATATTCATACTGTGTAATATAACTGAAATATTTCATTATTTTTTTCAACATATATCAAACAAACATTTAATTTAAAATTAATTAATAATCGTTATTATATTTGATCAAATTTGCACTCACAATATTATACTGGGGCCTAAGGGTACTTAGGCCTAGTGAATTTTTTGAGCTTTATTCATTAAAGATACACAATATTATACTGGGGCCTAAGGGTACTTAGGCCTAGTGAATCTTTTGAGCTTTATTCATTAAAGATGAATAAATAATTGTTGATGGATTATTATTATTATTATTATTATTACAATGTCGAAATTCAAAATACTGTTTGGTACATATATAAACAGGAAATATAAAGATCACTTGGGTTTGTAATTAGCAAGTGCAAATCAACTCATACCAATGAAAATAATATTTTCTCAATTTAAAGGTATTGATAATGACATAATTATAAAAAGGAATTGAGGAAAATCTAACAAAAGATGATAAAGAGATTTTGTGAAGACATCTGGTAACAAGTGATCTAGATACTAAAACTGTCCAGCAGTTGCACAATGAGACTATAAATCTAAAACTCTATGACCATGATACCAAAAGATAAACAAAGCAAAAGATAATATTCAGTAAGAAAATTAATTTGTCATTATAAAATTAAAAGAGTTAAGCTGAACAGAGATTAAAGTGTGAAGAATAGCTGATAGAAGGCAACACTAACTTATACATAGAACATGTAAAAATATAACAACGTCTTTGAGAAGCCAAGTCAGGTGCCATACCACTGATCTATTGTGGTAAAATTTACATCTGCTTTAAACAATTTATCAAAGTATTTGATATCATAAATGGGAAAATGTTAGTTACTCGTCTTTCTTTTAGATCAGCATGAAGTTGTTATGGTATGACTTAAAATTTCATTACTTAAAAGATCTATTAGATTACTTCAAAAACAGGCAGTATAGAAATAATGTTTTATTTCAATTTTTTGATGCCGAAAATCTATTATACCTTTATTAGGTCTAAAATATAGTATCTATTAATTAATTTATTTGCAGAGATACTTAATAATCCAATTTTTCACCGGAGATAGTGCAAAATTGCAAACCTACTAGTTTATTCTTATTCATACTGAGTTAAAAATTCAATATATAAAGACATTTATTGAACACACATATTAAAATATTACCTTCAAAACGGCAAAATTACACAATAAATATGTTTTAAAAACGATTAAAGTCTGGACAAAGTAAAAGAAAAAAAACAAATCAATGTTTTTTTTTTGTTCACTGTTTCCATTTAGTTTAAATGGAAAAGGCAAAGGCGTTTAAATATGCCATACAACAGCCAAGACAAAAGTAGATTATTTTTTGATATCACGTTTTTGTACACTATAGTAGAGTAAAACTGACGAAGACAAGGACTTAACATCAATTGGAGATTAAATATCAATAATTAAGGATAACGAGCAGTTGAGTAACCGCATATCAAATCACGACGTTCACCACTATGCCGTATTATAGGTATACAATGATAAGTGTGCTAGTGATAGTAGGAATGATATTGTTGTATCATCGTATACGCTGCCCACAACAACCAACACCAGTAGCAATGACTGCGCACGAGCAGCAACCAATACCAGCACCGCGTTCTCATCGAACCAGCATACTGCCAGCCCTTATCCTGATGACGAGATATCTCACGTAGAGCTGAATCCACTCTTATTCAAGATATGACAATATTTCATAATTGGGAAGGATTAAAAAAAAAACGAAAGCACTAAAAAAGCACTTCCACTAGATGGTGATTCTAGCAAAAGTTGATTTTTGCTGGAAATGAATAGACCAAAGATAGTCATTTCCATTCCCTGTAACTAACATATTAAAAACTAAAATGTTCAAAGTTTGAAACTTAGATATCAATACAAATACGAAAAATTTCAAATAAAATATAAGTTGTTTTTTGAGTTTTGAAAACAAATTTACTTTTATACATGAAAGAAAACCGGAAGGGTTGTCATGGAGAAATCAAGAAAGTACCGTAGCGACATCTAGTTTAATTTCGGGAACTAATGTATTTTTTAAATACTTCCTCATTGCAATGAGGAAGTATTTGACGAAAGCACTAAAAAAGCGTCTTCACTAAATGGCGACTCTAGCAAAAGTCGATTTTTGCAGGAAACGAATGAACCAAAGACAGTCATTTCCGTTCCTTTTAATTAATATATAAAAAAACTGAAATTTGAAAAGTTCGAAACTTAGATATCAATACAAATACGAAAAATTTCAAATAAAATATAAGTTGTTTTTTGAGTTTTGAAAACAAATTTACTTTTATACATGAAAGAAAACCGGAAGGGTTGTCATGGAGAAATCAAGAAGGTACCGTAGCGACATCTAGTTTAATTTCGGGAACTAATGTATTTTTTAAATACTTCCTCATTGCAATGAGGAAGTATTTGACGAAAGCACTAAAAAAGCGTCTTCACTAAATGGCGACTCTAGCAAAAGTCGATTTTTGCAGGAAACGAATGAACCAAAGACAGTCATTTCCGTTCCTTTTAATTAATATATAAAAAAACTGAAATTTGAAAAGTTTTAAACTTAGATATCAAAACAAATACGAAAAAGTGCGAATAGAATATGAGTTGTATACTGAGTTTTAAAAACTTATTTACTTTTAAACATGGAAAAAAACCGGAAGGGTTGTCATGGAGAAATCAAGAATGTACCGTAGTGCCATTTAGTTTGATTTCGGAAACATATGTTTTTTTTTTAAAGACTTCATGGTAAACATAGCTATAGCTTGTTCCATATTGTTAATTATATTTTGTAAGCTGGCAACCCCAACACTACTACTAGACTTATATTACACTACCCCATCTATCGGGCACGATATATCGGCCGCAATTTAGGGCGGTAGATTATACATATCCCTAACTCAGTTGGTGCTCAGTTGGCATGCAAACGTGGCGTTGAAAGGATGGCTCACCGACTAAACGAGTCCGAACCTATCAAATTGGTAGCGTAAGATTTCATAAGTTGCCTAAAAATGCCGTTTGATGGAGCGAAGAAACAACTTTAAGATTCGTTTCCAAATATGGAAAATGAATGCTTGTGGAATATTAAGTTCCCGCATTATAAAAAACAAACAAATTAAACAATCACATACTTGGATTAAGAAAATACAATGAATAAAACCGGATTTGGTGAAATGAAATTTTCCTCATCCACCTCTTCTAAAATAGCCGTTATAATTAGCTTAATCAGTTTATTTACTTTATTGCGTTGTAAGCAGTTCATCTTGCAAAACACAACTCACTTGTGAACTTAACTCAAAGAAAGTGCGAACGATTTTTGGGCAGTAGGTAGTGAGTATTTTAGCTACTAAACTACTCGCTACCAGACTTAAATACTAGCTTAATGCGAACTAGGCTAAAAATTAAGTAAGTGTTAGTTCTTGCTAATAATAAATAATAATGTCTTTCCTTGTTTGTCACAGATTTCTATACAAACAATTATTGTTATTTCAAACTTGGATGGAATATCGCTAAAGTGGATTACGTGTTTTTTGTTTGCTCCTACAAAAACATTGATTTTGATTAGAAATAATGCAGTTACCTTTCTGGATTGTAAACGAAAATATTCCTCTATAAGAGTGTTTCCCAGTGAATGAAAAATCTGACTTAAAGGGATGTGAAATTGGTGAAAAATTTGAGCGAACTGTGAATCTTCCGTGGGTATCCATGAATATTTTGGTAAAGTTTTACCTAGCATTGAACAAAAGAAACGAACTTTGGAGGATGTCAATGTCTATATATGAAGTGACTGCTGGCCTTATGACTTCTAAATTCGCATAAACTATTAGTTGCTGCTTGGCGTGTCGTACTTTTTGTTGCAGTGCCAACTGCGATCACTGGATCGATCCTGGGTTTTGCGGAAAAGCTTTTTTTTTCTAATTTTGTGTTTTTATGTCAATTTTATACTTTAATCATATTAACATATTAGTGACGGACTTTTTTTATAACATTTATAATAGAATTCTAAATTATTTTGTAATTTTTGCTGGTGTCTAAACTATGCCAATCTCTGTAACATAATGAATTAGTGTTCCGCTTGTCAATCAGCGATTCGGTATGGTTTCTGCCTGAAATGCCATTTATGTGCTTCATCGTATCATAGTCTCTGCATTAATATATCGCCTGAAGACTTAAAAAAACTCTCAGCTGCAACTAGAGCAGAGTGGCTGTGTCCTGAATGTCGCAATAAAAAACCAAGGTCTGATAATAAAAATACCCCAGTACGATCTTCGACACCCGCCATTGACAGCGGTCACGCAAATTTTACTTTGCGACACAAAAAAGGGAAAACGTCAAATAAGCTTTCTTCCAGTACAGATGTCTCACTGTTCAGCTCTGATGAAACCATGGTTTTTTTAACCATAACCATTTATATAACCATAGAAAATATTTCCACTCTACCTTACTCTATGGTTTAATGTAAAATCTCAGACCAAGTCCGAGTGTAAAAAATTTTTTTATTTTTTCTGTTCATATTTTATTTTTGATTATAGAGACAAGCTGTCCGTCTTTGGATAGAGTTTGGCAAGCGAAACGTGACACCACCTATTTTTCCGTTTTCATATGGCAACAACATAGAACTGTCAGTTTGACACTACGTTAGACAATTCAAGAATATTGAATTTTGTTGTTTTTGCGAATTTGAACTTGTGTTTTTGGTTAAAAATTATGTCGAAGCCGATAAAAAGTTCATCGAGGAAACTTCTTTCCATCATGATTGACAAGTTTACTGAAGTGAAAACTGAATTAAATAAAAATTTCATGGAGAAATTACAACGATTAGATAAAGTTGTATCTTTTTTAGGTTAGTTTTGTATTATAATTTTGATACTTTCGTTTTAATTTTCTGTAATTAACTAAACAGATATTTTTTATAAAATATTGCTCTATTTCAGATAACTGTGATGGTGATATTCAACCAATAATGGAGGAGATAAATGCAATAAAAACTTTAGAAAAACAAGAAATGCTGAATTCGGAAACGCAGTACTTACAAAAAATTTCTTCAATGACAGGTCTCTTTTCTTGTTTTGATTTAAGATAGATTGATAGTATTCCTATAATATTTACATAGGTTTTTTATGATGTATTGGTTTTTATTGTTGACATCCAATGATGTCATAAGAATGTTTTGTTTAACAAGGAAATTCACAGAATTCATGAAACTAATCAAACCATGTAATTGTTATACATGCTAAATATGCACATAAACTTAACTAAATTAAACATAAATTGCATTCATAGTTGAATAGGTATTTAAATTATTTTGATGTATGTGTCTATCATTATTTGCTTTTAAATACATTTAACATATCTTTGTTTCAAAGTGTTTAATCTTTTATAGATGTAAGTATAAGGACACTAAGAAGGATAAAAAATGAAGCATTAATTAATAAAGGAAAATGGGACACTCCTGGGAAAAAACGACCTCATCAACCAACAGTGTCTGCTTTAGATAATTTTGATTTAAGTGCAATTCGGAATAAAGTAAATGAATTTTACTGTGTGAAAAAAATTGTTCCAACATTAAGAAGCCTTCACAATGAATTAAAAGATGCAATAGGATTCAGTGGTAGCCGTGAGACTTTACGAAAAATTATGCTTAAGAATGGATTTTCTTTTAAAAGCAATGAAAATGAACGTTCTATGCTTATAGAAAAATACCAGATTTCTGCATGGAGGCACAAGTATTTGAGAGAAATAAATATAAAACGAAACGAAGGAAAGCAAATTGTGTACCTTGATGAAACTTATGTACATCAGAATTATAAAGTTAAAAAGTCTTGGCAAGGACCTTCAACAACTGGTGTCACTACAAAGATATCCTCTGGAAAACGGCATATTGTTGTGCATGCTGGATCTGAGGAAGGTTTTGTGCCTGGTGCATTATTAGTGTTCAGTAGTAAATCCAAATCTGCTGATTATCATGATGATATGAACTCATCGAACTTTATGAAATGGGTCAGAGAAAAATTAATACCAAATTTAAGTAAGCCCAGTGTAATTGTTATGGATAATGCCAGCTACCATATAAAACAAATCAATAAACCGCCTATAATGTCTAATACCAAAGCAGATATCCGTAAATGGCTTGTAAATAATGGAATACATTTTGAGGAATATCAGACAAAGGCAGAGTTAATGTGTTTGGTTAATGATAAGAAAACATTGCCTGTATATGAAGCTGAAGA